AGATGCCAGCCACAGAGACTGGCGAAACGTTAGGAAGAACAACCTTCAGAACACGGCCAAAGAGCCCGAAAAACCCACAACAACCATTAGATCCTAGCCGTGAAAGCCTTCGTGAATAAACAAGAAAATAAATAACCAAAACCAAAGTGGAAAAGGCCTATAATCATCCTCCATGGGAATAGCATCCCCTGACCTCCCCATCTCTCTCTCTCTCTGTCTCTCCTTTGCCTTCTGAAGCTGAAATTTCGAAATCACACCCTCTTTCTAAGATTGTCCGCTCACTGGGCTGAACCAACTAGTCCACATGGGTTATAGTAGCATGCATTTCTCAAAATCAAACCATGTTATCATATATCTTTTGTTGATAGTTACAGCCTTGGTAGATCAAGAGACTGTTGTAGATACACATACCTTGATTTGTGTAAAGATTTCAGCAAGGTTCTCTTTCATAGTCTTTTGCACAAGTAAAATGTAGGCAAGATAATGCTACTGTTTGATTGGTTTGTAATTGGTGGACAGACTACCCCCAAAGAATACTTGACAATGTTTTCTCATTCTCCTGGAGAGAAGTGACATGTAATGTCTGGACCTGTGTTTGTTCAACATCTTTACAAATCACTTCAGTGAAGGAATATAGGAGATGCTCATCAGCTCTGCAGATGACACCAAACTGGGAGGGATAGCTAATGCTTCAGAAGATTCAAGATGGCCTTCACAGATTAGATAACTGTAACACGCTCCCCCACTCCCCCCAAAGAGAAAGGACATATCTAAAGTTCTACATGTGGGTAGAACACATTCAGATGCAGAAGTATAGGATGGATGACTCGTGTTTCATGTCCACTTTGATTTATTAATTCCTACCCCTCCATTTTTTGCCCATTGTTCTGTGTAGCAAATTGCCAAATTCTGTACTGCTTCATGTCCTTCCTTGTGAATTCTGCACAGGAGAGCTGTGCAGTAACAATTGTGCACAATTTGACATTTCTCATCCTTCCATGTGAATCCTGCACAGGAAAAAGAACATTAAAAAGAGATTGGATGTTCCACTTTAATTATTTCAAACTGCTCCTGGGAACTTTCTAAAAAGAAGTAGCTGGCTGGATAGCTCAGTTGTTTAAGTATCTGAGTTATTATAATTGTGGTGAACTGTTTCCTAGTTGAGTGTGTTTAGTATGCTTATATTTGGAGAATGAACAGGTTTGGTTAGAGGTTGTGGAAGAGACGGGGAGGAAAAAAGAGAGACAAATTTGCTGAATGCCATGGGGCTGAGATAGTTCTAAGCAATTTATTTAGCAATGTATGTTTTTTTTTCTTAGATTAGAAACACTGTTTAGCTGGTTGTACCTGTTCTGAAGCAATTGTCACTGTTAACTGTGTTGTAGATGCTGAAATATGAAGGTCTAAATTATGCTAGGTAATATATAAATAGATAGATGGAGCCATTCAAGGTTTAAGAAAAAGTAAACAGTGAAAAAGAGTGTGAGTTAATGAAATTAGCAACGTTATAACCATTCACCTAGGAGCAAGCCCCACTGAGCTACAAGGGTACTTCTAATGGAGCATATGTAGGATTGTGCTGCTATTAATGTATACTTCAGTACACGAGACAAAGAAAATCTCCTGCATAAATCTCAAAAGTTGGCTCTGAATAACTTTTTCTGTTGTGCTCATAGGAACTTGAAGCAAAGTGTTCAAGTACATGTCTTGAGATTTCTGAAGCTGTTAAATCTTTTGTGAGGGAGGGCAAACTGGTTGGGGGATTTGTCTCCTGAAAAAAAGTTCCTTCAAATGGGGTGTAGAAAGAGTTTGGGACAGACATTCATCCACTTTTCAAAACATTTAGTCTTTCACCAAAATTGGTTTGGTGATGTTCATTTTACATATTCACAAAGAGAAAAAACAACTTCTACCATGCCCCTTTTAAAGAAGATCAAAATATAGTAACATTGATACTATACAGAAAGCAAACAAATAAGCAAGCAAGCAAACAACAACAACAGCAACAAACTACAGACAGAAAGAAAGACAGACAGAAAGGGCAAAAGGGATTTCCTCTAATTTTTCAGAACCATTATAAGTTCTCTCATAGGTTTTAGATACTGAAGTTCTCTTTAACTCTTGTAAATAGCTTCAGTTTTGTTCTGTCATCATGGAAGTGCTGTTGTCCTCTCTCCCGGCCATTAGTCATGAACTCACATAGCAATGGGTTTCGTCAAAATGGCCCTATCACAGCCCTGCAGTGTTTCCAGAAAGTGTGGCTGTGACATGTGCCCAATCAGGTGACGCTGGGTCACTGCAAGCCATCCAGTGTGTGTGAAATTAATAGAATCTGATTCATTTAGGTGGACAGAGATTAGCTGAGGATCTCTGAGGAATGCATTTTAAAATGTTCACTCATTCATTATAAAGACCAGTTATTTCAAAGCTGAGCCTATTGCAAAACATTAAAACAAAATATGAAACAAAACACTAAAATAAAATATGAAAACAAGAGTTCATATTGCTATAGAAATTTGCCTTTTTGACATAAGTTTCTACTTCTGAGTACCTTAAGCCTAAATGCTTTCAATCCAATTCTCTAAACAGGCTGAGAGGAAGTTGCTGTGGTGGATTTTGTGTGGCATAGTGACAGTCATGTTTGTTGCAGTGTCAACGAGTTCCTAGCAGCAATTTGCATTAAAGTGACATGGTAAAGAGAAGCCCCTTTCAAGGGCACACTTTTGCATGCTCATTTTACCGGATGCATCCGCTGATTGCTTCACATGTTTGATGAATTAAACTCTGATCCATTAAAATTTGTGCCACAGTACTACATGTACTAGCCTTTAAGGTGCCAGAAATCTGTCTCGTCTTAGTGGCTACAACTAACATGCTACCATTTTGGAAGCTTGTGTGACAGAAATATATACTGTACAGAACGCAGGACTAGAGGATGTGAAAAATCTATCAGACTTGGTTTGGTTATATTTATCTAAATCCTGTCTGAATTTTCTTTCCTTCCTTGTTATATTGAGGTGAGAGACTTCTCCCCCTATCCCTGTAATTCATATACATTTTGGGAGGTTCTTTCCTAATGTGTACTTTTATTTGTGCATTTCACCTAATCGATGCATTTCTCCTATTCACTGAAATCCTGTTCCAGAAATTACATTGCCTAAGTCTAATGGTATCTTCATTAAGGGTGGCAGCTGGATAGCTCAGTGGATTGAGAGTTCAGTTCCCCACTGTACATCCCAGAAGAGGCAGCCTTGGGCAAGCTGCAAAGGCTCAGGATGACCTCAGAAGAAGAGAACAGTAAACCACTTATGAGTACTCTTTACCTAGGACACCCTGAAAAGGGTTGCTGTAAGTCAGAATTGGCTTGACAGCGCATCAGTATTTATTATCATTAATGACATCACCAGGCATGGCAATTTTTTTGGAAATAAAACACATCCAATTTTCCCTTGAAAGTCCTGAGGCTCCTGTAAAATCCCTTTTATCATCAGGAAGGTGTTTGGGGCCATGAGACAGGGATAAAATGTTTAATTACTAAGAATCATAGCTGCCAGTAACATCATTCCAACAGTGGCAGTTGAAGATTTCCTTCCTTGCCCCACGGCCCACAATTGCTTCCCAGCAATGAAAGGAATTCTACAGGAGCCTTGGGACTTTCAGAGTGATTTGGGGAATTGGAAATCTTTTACTTCCAAAAAATTGTTGCAGCTAATGCCATCATTCACCTTATGTGGTGTAATTTACAGATCAGGATTGAGTCACTAAAGGATATCCCTGCATAATATTTTAATTCTGTGCAGGCTAGCTGTTAAAATGTCTATATAATTTTGTGCATGCATCGTTCCTTCAAAATATATCACCAGCCTGACAAATGTACACATTCTTCTCGCAAGCCTCTAGAGGTGCAAAACTTTACTGTTGAATCGAGCAAAATTCTTCTCCATTCTGAATTCAGACCCCCTTATAAATCCCCATTAGTTTAAAACAACTAATGTTGCCCCTGAAAGCAATGGGATTTGAGGTCCCAGATTGTAACTATTTATTTATTTATTTATTTATTTATTTATTTATTTATTTATTTATTTATTTATTTATACCCCGCCCCTCTAGACCATGTCTACTATCCAGCCTTTTGTCTATGAACCTTTCCTTTTGTAGACATATGTCTATGTTGGCTTGGGCATGTCGTGAGAATGGCTGACGGTCGGATTCCAAAAGATCTCCTGTATGGAGAATTAGTGCAGGGAAATAGCCCCAGAGGGAGACCACAGCTGTGATACGAGGATATCTGCAAGCGGGATCTGAAGGCCTTAGGAATAGATCTCAACAGATGGGAAACCTTGACATCTGAGCGTTCAGCCTGGAGGCAGGCGGTGCATCACGGCCTCTCCCAATTTGAAGAGACATGTGTCCAACAGGCCGAGACAAAGAGGCAGTCCCGAAACCAGCAAAATCAGGGAGCTGGACAGGGAACAGATTGTATTTGTCTTCAGTGTGGAAGGGATTGTCACTCTTCAATTGGCCTTCTCAGCTATACTAGATGCTGTTCCAAGACCTCTATTCCCGGCATGTTATCATAGCCTCTTGAGACTGAAGTCATAGCCTCTTGAGAGTGAAGGATGCCTACCTGTGCGTTTGTACTGATACATTATCATTATGTTAAATGTTCCTGTTTGTAATGATACATTATCATTATGTTAAATGTTCCTGGCTTCCCAACCTAAACGTAAAGCAGCTACTAGTTTTCTACTTGCCTTTCATTTCAACATGTTCGTTTGAAAACGTTTGAAGATAGATGTCCACTAATTGGCAACACTGCTGCTAACCTTGCCATGGATTCCCACAGTGGGGTCTTCCACCCCAAGTTCCTTCACCTTCCAGGAATTCGCAGCTCCAATCATTCCATCTGTCCCTCTGCTCTCTGGTCCACTTAACCCACAGAACTGTCCTGTGCAGTTTGAGAACTCAGTGCACAGAAAGAAAAGCTGAATGGATGCTCTTGTTTGATCGAGTTGCCCCATCAAAGTGATCCAGGACCTAGCCTTATAAGTCACAACATCGTCAACGTAAATTCCTAGCTGCAATTAACTCAGATGGTTAGTTTCAACAGATGGAGGAAAAGAAGGAACGAGTTATATGGCTTGGAATTCAGAGGGGTGGAGTCATGATTCATCTTTTTAGACACCTGCTTGCCTACTTCATTCAGGAGGCATTGTCGGTAGAGAACTGCATCACTTGTGCGCCACTCCAGCCACCTGGATTACATGCATCAGATGCCACTATGGGAGCAATCTCAAGCTCACCTGAGGTAAGAAACCTTCCAAGAGCTTGAGTTACTTTAGCAGCACCTTGTGGACAGTTTCAAATGTAGGTAGAATGTGTTGAGGTCATTTTGACAAGTCAACAATCCTTGTCTTTTTATCTCAGGCTCCTTTTGGAGGTGTGTGTGTGGAGAGACACCACCACATGTTTGCTTTTTATTCCTATGGTACAAAAATCCTGAGAGCCAGACAGAAATCCCAGTAATATAATCAAAAAACCCAAACCTTAGTAGGGGAGTATATACAATAGTGTTAAATAGCTATTTCTAAAACTACGTCTTGTTCTTTCTTTAGGGCTCAGGCATTGATTCAGGCCATCGGGCAAGGAGGGTATGTACAATATATACAAGTATTACTGTATATAGAAACTTGTGCATATTACTGACCATTTTCATTCCATTTGAAAGAAAATAAATTGCTTTAAAAATGTTCGGATGTGTAAAAAATGTCAGCGAAATGGGTGTGGGCTCTTGTGTTTCTGTCCATCAGGAGTTGTCTGACTGGTGTGTGTGATTGTCCTGTCTTATACTGTACAATCATCTCTCTGGTGGTCTGCAGCATCCCCATTTTACCATGTTTCATTTTAAAAGGAGCTCTCTAAGTCATGCAGGTATGAGCGGGCTGGATAGTTCAGTGGTTTAAGTATCTGGCTGTGGAGCCCAAGGATGGGCTCCACAGCCTCCACTGTGCCTCCTGTGAATAGAGCTACGAGGATGGGCTCCATATCCTCCACTGTGCCTCCTGTGAATAGAGCTAACCTGTGTGGCCTTGGCCAAGCTGCACAGTCCCAGGGCACCCCCAGAAGAAGGGAATCGTAAATCACTTCTGAGTATTTTCTGCCTGGAAAATCCTGAAAAAAAGAGTTGCCATAGGTCAGAACTGACATGATGGCACATGACGATGATTATTAATGTCTTTATCATTTTTGGTGTAATTGCTTTTTTAAATAACAGATGGGCAGAAAGATGTAATCATTACTAAAAATAAATATAGCATCAGCTTAAACAAAAATAACACTGAGACTGCAGGGTTGGAAGGCCTGTTCCTGACTTGGATACAATTCAAGATTAAGTTTCAATCTGTCAGTGTGGTTTGAGTACCTTTGTTAGAGTTATTCTTAGTGATGGGTAACCCTTAATAAAAATGAGCTCATGTTGAATTGCAGCTGAATTCCGTGGGGCTTGTTTCTATGTGCATAAGTTTGTTTTACATTTTGTCTGAAATGTAAATATTCCTGCATGATAAACAGAAACTCAAGAGGCCCAGGACTCCTGACACAGAATCTTTACGCTAGAGAAAGTCGTATCTTCTACATTTCTGTCACACACCTGTTTAAACGACACAGAAAATGAGAGAATAGATTTATTTATTTATTTTATTTATATCCCGCCTATCTGGTCTTGTGACCACTCTAGGCGGCTTCCAAATACACACATAAAAATGACAAATACATATTGTCCGGCTGAACCCAGACAAGACAGAGGTCCTGAGGGTTGGCGGCCCCTCCATTGGTGGGTTGGGAAACTCCCTCTCCTTTGGGGGAGTGACTCGCACTACAAAGAGTGAGGTTCGCAGCTTGGAGGTCCATCTGGATCCGACACTCACCATGGAAACCCAGGTGGCATCAGTGGTCCGCTCTGCCTATTTCCATCTGTGGTGGATTGTGCAGCTGTGTCCCTATCTTGATGTTGGGGCCCTCTGCCCTCTGGTCCATGCGCTTGTAGTCTCAAGATCAGACTACAGTGGTGCCTCGCATTGCGACATTAATTCGTTCCGCAAAAATCACTGTTGAACGAAAACGTCGCGATGCGATATTAAAAAGCCCATAGAAACGCATTAAAACCTGATTAATGCGTTCCTAGGGGCTTAAAACTCACAGTTCAGCGAAAATCCTCCATAGCGCGGCCCTTTTCGGTGCCTTTTAAGGGAGGAATCTGTCCCAGAAAACATTTTATTTACCCGGTGGCCATTTTGAAACCGCCGATCAGCTGTGAGAAAATGGTCGCTTTTCGATGATTGGTTCCTGAAGCAGGGAACCGATCATCACAAAGCGAAATTCCCCCATAGGGAACATCGCAAAGTGATCACAAAAAGTTCATCGCAAAGCGATTTCGTCGCTAAACAGAGCGCTCGCTAAGCGAGTCACCACTGTATTATAATATGCTCTACGTGGGGCTACCTTTGAGATTGATGCAGAAGCATCAAATGGTGGAGAATGTGGCGGCCAGACTTCTCAGTGGGATGAGAAAAAATCAGCATATTTTCCCCACTCTGGCTGCCTTGCATTGGCTGCCCGTTCGTTTCTGCATTGATTTCAAAGGAAGGGCGGTTGAGGGGCCTAACGCCGAGCGAGGCCAGGAAGGAAAGAACAAGAAACCGGGCCCTCTCGGCATTGGCCCCTTGCCTTTGTCTGCCACCAGAGATCTGTCTGCCTCCCTTGCTGGGTGTTTTAAAGAGCCAACTTAAGACCTGGCTCTTTAGACAGACTTTCCCTCCCATCATCACTTGAATATTTCCCCCCATCTTGAACCATATTTCTACTGTTTTTTATTTTATTATATGTTTTTATTGCATCTATTATTGTTAGCCTCCCAGAGTAGACTTTGTTCTAGATGCGCAGGGTATAAGTTTAATAAATAAATAAATAAATAAATAAATAAATAAATACTGCATCAGACTGGTTGCTTTTGTGAGATGCTGTCCTCTTTCTGTCAGGCAAAACCATATTGTGAGGTAGTTGTGCTTCTTAAGCAAATTATTGCATCCTAACAATTCTGTAAGTTAGGATCCTTTGGAACTGGGAGACCATGAGGTTATGATTGCTCTGTTCAAAGTGTTTCTTTATAAAGATGCTTCATTTTAGATAGCATGCAGTTTTCCAAAGGTTCACTGTACCTTTTAGCCATTTTCTGTCAACTTGAACTTGACTGCAACCTTTTCACAACCCTTGACTGAAATAAGTGTAGGTTTTGAGTACTGTTACTGCATAGGGACGTGGTGGCGCTGTGGGCTAAACTGCAGAAGCCTGTGCTGCAGGGTCAGAAGACCAAGCAGTCGTAAGATCGAATCCACGCGACGGAGTGAGCGCCCGTTGCTTGTCCCAGCTCCCGCCAACCTAGCGGTTCGAAAGCATGCAAATGCGAGTAGATTAATAGGGACCACCTCGGTGGGAAGGTAACAGCGTTCCATGTGTAAGTCGCACCGGCCATGTGACCACAGAAGATTGTCTTCGGACAAAACGCTGGCTCTGTGGCTTGGAAACGGGGTTGAGCACCGCCCCCTAGAGTCGAACACGACTGGACAAAAATTGTCAAGGGGAACCTTTACCTTTACCTTACTGCATAACAGTATTTGTTTTCAATTTAGAATGACTTTAAACTTTTCTCATCCATAGAGTTTGACACTATCAGTCTTGGTTTGCATGTTAATCTTTTTATGTTGTTATTAATGGCACAAAGAAGTCAAATGGCTCATTGCATTCCTATTAATTTTAATGATTTCTTTATTTATACTATGGTTTTCATCTAGATTCAGTTCCCAATGTTACTTTCAGCAATTAAACTTTGAATTAAACTTTCTAAGAAATCCTTCTGTGTTTGTTCAGTCCTAATGTTTGCCAAAAAAAAAAAAAACAACAATAAAAATACCTGTGAGCAGTTTCCAATGGTGAAATGATGAGATACAGCAACAATAGCAGGGGGTGATTTTTCCATTGCAGCCTCAAAATGGAGAGCAGAGAAACCCTCTAAAGCCAATTCTCTGGTGGCACAGAGGGTTCAAGCGGATCAGAGCACAAATTTCCACTGTGAGCATCACTAGAACGTGGGTGTAGGCCACTTTCATCCCCATCTTGCCCAGGGTGGGTAGGCAAAGTGCAATTAAAATCTTCAGTGCTCCAGGGCCACTAAACAAATTGCATTCTTGGGTGGCTTAAAGATATAAGAAATACCAACAAGTATGTTCTTCACAGGAAGTCCAGCTTACTGAGTGGCGACCAAATTCGTCTTGATGTGCGCTGGGACCAATTTGTGAATAACTTTTATGAACTGTTTCAGTGTCAGTTCCTCTTCTAAGAAAGGATTCATCCACTTTGATCTCAGAGGTTTTGATTTCAAATGATGACATAATTGTACGAACCATAGAATCCTACAGAAAATGGAAGTGGCATTTGGGCAGCTAAGGGGGCAAATCAAAGGCTATCCATCTCTAATCACCAAAGGAACCTTCCTAACCTGATGTCCACGAGTAAGGTAGGACTACAGTTTGTAGGGGCAACACCAGACAGGGTGAGAAGCATTGTAGTTCAATGCACCTGAAGGGCACCAAGCTGGGGAAGAATACACTGAAACCTACTTCTGGCCCCTTTCTGAGAATCTCAGCAGGGAACCATTTCAAACATCCTAGTTCACAGCAAGCAAGTCCAGACTTTTTCTGAAGCAGTAGTTCTCTACTATTGGGTCACCAGATGTTCTGTGACTCCCAGAAGTTCCAGTCATCAAGGCTAAGAGTCAAGGACTCAGGTAACAGATGTCCACAATATCTAGAGGCCAGCTTGAACTTGAGAATGTCCAATCTGAAACACACTTAAGCTTCCCATCTGCATTCAATTTTAACGGGTATTTTCATTTCTGCTTTGTTTTCTTCTTTTTCTTTGAAGAAGTAGCGCATCTAGGTATATTCTTGGTCAGTTAGGCTTGCACTGGTAGCCCCTCTTCTTGTCTCTGCATGCTTCATAATAGTTGCATATCCATTCATAACCTTTGTTATGAGAAGACAGAACTTATGACTGATTTGTAGAGATGATCAATTCTTCAGTGATGCCTCTTTCTGTAGATTGGACATGTTCTGATAGTTCAACCTTGCAATATCACCACAGTGTCAGAAGATTCAAAATTTCATCATGTCCCAACTTAAACCAGTTTCCTAATTAATGTATTCCATAATTTGCCACCTCATAAATCATCGCACTGACTACTGCAGTATGCAAAATTTGTATTGTAGTTCACTGAATTACGTTTCAGCCCACAGCGATGGAAGAACAGGATGAGACTTGAAACAGATAATAACTTCCTTTGTGATTCATCTCTTATAGACTCTTATAGCATACTTAAATCTGTTGAAGTCAGTGAGATACTAGCAGTTAACTGGGGCCTAAATGTGCTTGACTTTCTTTTGCTTCTAAACATTACATGTTAGTACTATCTTTAGAAAGCTTGCCTTTTCTCATAATAGCTGGTGCCACATCTCTATCTTCTAAACCAGCGATGGCGAACTTATGGCACGCTTGCCAGAGCTGGCACACACAGCCCTTTCTGCAGGCATGCGATGCAGAAGTTGCCAGATCACATTCTCCCCCCCGGCCAAACCTCAGGAGCTGGCTGCAGCTGTGGTGCTGGCACTTCGACAAGCAGTGGGCCAGGATCCAGAGCAGCAGGCACTGGTGGTGGATCCAGAGTGGGGTCTTGAGGCTCCTCCATGTCCAGGATTCTCCCTTCAGCTGCCACTTTCGGTTCCACTCCTACCATGGCATGCCACCTGCTGTGTCCTCCACCCACCCAGTTTGGGCTCTCGGGCCCAAAAAGGGTTGCTGCCACTCTTCTAAAAGATATATTCATAGCTTACAGTGCAGTATAAATCTTAATAACACAGTAATCAAGGATTAGCCATCATTGGCATGACTGATGGGGGACATTTCATATGCACATCGTGTACTACAGCATGCACACGCACATGCGCACACGCATGCGCGCACGCACACACACACACACAAAAGGAGAAATCACATAGTTCCCTTTGCTGGATCAAGGATATGCAGAAAATGTCAAACTGATGGTCTAACAACACTGATCATCTTTTTCCAGGGTTGATCAAAATATATATTTCAGCTCTCATTTTCTTGCTGACAGACAGGAAAATGGAACCATAGAATAGTGAAGTTGGAAGGGGCCTACAAGGCCATCAAGTCCAACCTCCTGCTCAACGCAGGAGATCTGCCAGGCAATCAAAGGAGATATGCCAGGTGGTTGTCTAAGTTTCTCTCGAATGCCTCCAGTGCTGGAGCACTCACCACCTCCTGAAACTGATTCCACTGTCATACTGCTGTAATAGTTAGGAGGTTTTTACCTGATATTCAACTGAAATCCGGCTTCCTGAAATGTGAGCCCATTGTTGTGTGCCCTGCACTCTGGAATGATTGAGAACAGAACTTGTCCCTCCTCTGTATGACAGCCTTTCAAGTATTTGAAAAGTGTTATCCTATCACCCCTCTCTTCTTTTCTTAAGGCTAAATAAGCCCATTCTTTCAGTCTTTCCTCAGGGCTTGGTTTCCAGCCCTCCTCTGAACTTGTTCCAATTTGTCAGCATCCATCTTGAAGTGTGGTGTCCAGAACTGGACACAATATTCAAAATGAGGCCTAACCAGTGCCGAATAGAAGGGAAATGGTACCTCATGGGATTTGGAAACTATACTTCTGTTAATGCAGAGAAGGGAAATAGTACCTCATGGGATTTGGAGGCTATACTTTTGTTACTGCAGCCTAAAATAGCATTTGCCTGTTTTTGTAGCCACATCACACTGTCACCTCATATTCAGCTTGTGATCTGCGATCATTCCAAGATCCTGCTTACTTGTAGTATTGCTGAGCCAGGTATCCTTCAGCTTGTAACTGTGCATTTGGTTTCTTTTTCCAAGGTGCAGTACTTTGTACTTATTCCTATCCAATTTTTTAATGAACTTTCAAAAATCATTTGACAGAAATACTCTACCCTGATAATTATGGCCCAAATCTTCCCAGTCACTTTTTTTATTGAAAGCAAATAAAGTTTTACTGACTTAAGCATCCTGAGAGCCTTCAGTAAGATCAAACTTTATTTCCATATGGGGTTTGAAGCACCATTTCCTACCAGTCATCATTATGTTTTTATCTATAAAATCCTGTCTATTTTTAAAAACACATTTACTGCTTTTTAAAAAATATGTAACTGAACGGTTTATTTTAGTGATGTTTAGAATTGTTTTGGGTAACTCCAAAAGTATAAAATGGCATAGGAAAAATATTTTATTCCCTACCATTCATATTCTATTCCATTTGTGTTTGTATGTTTTCCTGAAAGCCCTTACCCAAGCATGGATGGTTAAATATGTATTAACCAAACAGATGCTTATTTATGTGTTACTGTGCCAACAGAGTGAGGAAACACCTTTCAGACTTCTCACAGTAAGAATAATGAGAGCCAGAAATATCCAGAAGGCGGACTTATGTGAGTATCTTGCACCATTCATTATCAGAATACATCAATTCATTCATAAAAAGATTTTTGTATCCCATCCTTCTGCCATGTGCTGATCAGGGTGGTTCACAGAAAGAATAATAAGCAAGATGAGCTATGGAAAAAAAAACATCTTGTGTCATATTCTTGGAAAATTGTTTCATGCATCACAGAACAATAATGGATCTAACACCTTCCAGAAGGCCCTTCTAATATAACATTGTCTTCAGTGGGCAACATATGATCTAAGGCCCATTTTTGCTCTCACCCAGAATCTGGTAGGTGACACCTCAATCCAATCCCCAATCTAATGAAACCCACAGCTTTTGGCTTAAGAAGCCAGATAAAAGAGAATTGTTTGAGGTTTTGGTGAGGAACAAGGGGTATAGTCAACATGTCATTCTGGCAACTCCTGTGACGTCGCTGGAACCAGTTGTATTGGCTCTTGCCTTTCCATAGGACTATTTCAGCGACGTGGAGAGGGGGGATTTGCTGCTTGGGTAAAAGCCTATCCTCCATATTATTCTACCCAGGCTTCGTGCTCTGGAGAGGGCACACATACAGAGCATGTTACCATGGTATTTCAAGACTGAAGGATGCCTAAGATAAAATAAGGGGTATAAATATTACACACTATTACCGAGGCATGAGACCTATTATCTAAAGAGGAAGAAAGAGCATGAGGCAGAGCATGAAAATGATGACAGCTGAATGTCTTTAGAGCAGTGGAAAGATAACAGCATGGCCCCAGAAAGCCAACAGTGGATTTTATCTAGACTTATAGCTGAAACCTGGCTTAAAGTGGGTGAAAACATTCTGGATTGATTTTGTGTGTTAACGACACTCTTAGAAGTGTTTTCATTTTACATTTTCTTATTATAAGAACTCTGGTATTCTTCCTTGTCTTTTAAAGAAAGCTTTCAAAGCTTTTTTACTTTTAAATGAAATGTTGTAGAGAAGTGTTTTCTTTCATATATTTTTTAAAAATGTGTCCTTTACATAAACTGCTATCAAGATATCCAGAGTTTGGGGCATTGAAAATGGTTTAAACACACTCTTTCAGCTGAGGGTAAAAACCCACTTGGACCAAATGGAGTCACAGTCCCTTCTTACTTCTGCCTGTGGTCCAAGTGGTTTTTACCTTCCACTGAAAGAGTGTGTTTAAACCATTTTCAATGCCCCAAAGTCTGGAGTAGACAAACTGCAACCCATCAGCCCTTGAATCCCTTCTATCCCTTAATCTCCTGTACCCCCAAAGTATGTTTAAATTGCCTCCCTAGGAGCTTGGCGATTTTAATGTAATGTTATGCTCTTCGTGCTGTTTATCCTCTTTTTTTTAACTTCCTGTTTTCCTTTTAAAAGGAAGGCTTTTCTGACTTAACCCAGTCTGGGGTTGGAACTGTATTTAAATTTCAAACTCCTATCCCCTTTCCCCACCCCACCCCCGCATAGTTTCTACTAGTGTTATTTGCTATTTTGGGGGGGCAAAAGGGGTTGCCTATGAGAGACATTTAGATATCTTGATAGCAGTTTATGCTGTGTAGCAATTTGCACTAGAATAGATCTATTGGCCTACTCTAGTTGGAACTTACTATGTTAAAGTAAGTCACAACAAGAATAGGCCCATTTAAATCAATGGAACTTACGGAGGAGCTGACTAACCAAATCCTACTGAGTCAATTAGTGTGTTGTTGTTTAGTCATTAAGTCATGTCCGACTCTTCGTGACCCCATGGACCAGAGCACGCCAGGCCCTCCTGTCTTCCACTGCCTTCCGGAGTTTGGACAAATTCATGTTGGTAGCTTTGATGACACTGTCCATCCATCTTGTCCTCTGTCGTCCCCTTCTCCTCTTGCCTTCACATTTGCCTTCACACAGCATCAGGGTCTTTTCCAGGGAGTCTTGTTTTTTTCATGAGATGGCCAAAGTATTTGAGCCTCAGCTTCAGGATCTGTCCTTCCAGTGAGCACTCAGGGTTGATTTCCTTCAGAACGGATAGGTTTGTTCTCCTCGCAGTCCAGGGGACTCTCAAGAGTCTCCTCCAGCACTACAATTCAAAAGCAACAATTAGCCTACTCTGATATAATTTACTACACTAAGTTACAGGATTTTAGCCATTGTGTTGATGTAACGAGATGGATAAATATGCCTAAATTTTCCTGGGAAAGAAGGAGAGTACAACACCTTTTTAAAATGGAAGTTCTGTATTGAAAGTTGTAAATGTTTACAAGCTTACTATAGATTAGCATTTTTTACTAGATTTTAACCGAATGCAATATCTGGTTTTCTTTCTCAGACTGTCTTCTTTGCATGCAGACAATAACCAAAGGATGGGAGCTGGGGTTGGCCTGAACAATCTGTCCCTGCTTATTCATTAATCCTTTTCTGTAAGCCTGAATAGGGCTGTGGTATTTATTTTTTTGTAGAAAATGTGGTTTGTTATGTCTTTCATTTAAAGCTGCTTCTCTCCCCCCCCCAACTGCTACTCCTTATCATCTCTGCTGCCACCGCCTTTTCAATATCCTAGAAACTGGCATGAATGTTTCAAGACCATTAGAAACATGACAAACTCTTGTCACACTTTGTGCTTCCTCTTAATAGCAGCAGGGCAATGCTTTGTCAACAGTGACTATAAGACATACATTGCTCTTCAGCATTGTAAGAACATGGAACATCTTAGACCACATTCCTTCTTAAATGATTACATGGGGGCTCCTATAGCAAGTATAATTCATTAGGAGCGCAAGATTCAGATGAATAATCTAACTATAAAATCATTCAAAGGAGATAGTGGATTATCAAGCCTGCTAATAGAAGGGAATCCATTTGGCAACGTTTTGTTAAATCCTAGCTAACACAAAGTGCTTGCATCCTTTTTCTCACATTGATCTCTATTTATTTTGGAGAATGAAAAATGGTTAAGATTCAGTCCACATTTAGAGGCACTTGTGGAATGTCTCCCAATCATATTTCTATCCTTGCATCTGACAGATGAAAAAGAGAGTACTGAGAGAGAAATAAACAATGAATCTTGAGATTTTCTAAGAAGACAGAACATCTGACTGTTGGTTCTGCTGGTATGGGCTTCTTGGAATTGTAGTTCAAGCAGAGCTGTGGCCCCAAGTGTGGACAGCTAGTGTGGTATAATAAATAGACAGTCAGACTAGGACTCAGAGATCGGGTTACAAACCCCAGCTGAGCCATGGAAATTCACTAGGGAGTGGTGAAGTTCACTGATAAAACAAATGCTTATACTACTGTACATCTCACATAACTAAAAAACTATGTTAGGGTGGCACATAACACTTGAAGTGACTTGATACCACATACAACACATGGATTGCACTTAAAAGACAATAGAATAGAATAGAATAGAATTTATTGTTATTGTACTTCCATACAACAAAATTAAATGCCATCTCCAGTACACATAATGATAAAAACTCACAAGAACATAGGATCCATAACATGAAAACATAGCACATTACACATAAAACACATCCCTCTTATTCACGTCCACATCCTTCACATTCAATTTCCCATCGCACAACACATTAATATTGCACTATACTGTATAGTGGAATTCAATATGGTTGCTGCTCTGGGATAGAAACTGTTTTAGCAGCTATGGGCCTCATGGCGCAGTGGTTAAACTGCTGTACTGCAGCCAAAACTGTGTTCACGACCTGGGGTTCTATCCCGGGTAGCCGGCTCAGGGTTGACTAAGCCTTCTATCCTTCCGAGGTAAGTAAAATGAGTACCCAGCTCGCGGGGGGGGGGCGGCGGCGGCAATGTGTAGCCTGCATAATTAACTTGTAAACTGCCCAGAGAGTGCTTGAAGCGCTATGGGGCGGTATATAAGCAGCACGCTTTTTTCACATTTCACTCATGGAGCTGGTAAATTTGGAACTTCTTTAGACTCATGTTAAGATGTTTGGCACAGGTGAGGAGAGAAGCATATTAATGATATGGATGTTATTAACTGGCATGAGACGAATGGTAGGGTGCTTCTTCTGTTATGTTCCATTGGACATGGGATTGACCATCTGTCAAAGAGGAAAAAAGATTTTGTAAAAGAACAAAGAAGTGCTACTGAGAGGTTACAGGTAGAGCTTTGAAAAATCAGTGACCCAATATTGTTTACGGCAGTACATTTGAACGGCAGTGGAAAAGAAATGTGAGTCCTGTAAAAATCACATCCTGCTAGTGATTCATTACTGCTGATTTGCATTGTTACAACGTGATAATCACTAATTTGAATATGTGCAGGGTCAACTGCATGTGCCACGTCTTTGTTGATGCATGCAAGAAAGCCAGATCCTTAATAACTGACAAATGATGACAGCTGTATTAGGAAACATGTGACATATTAAGAAACCATGATTAATAAGTATATGTCAGATGCAGAGAGATTGCAGAAACTGAGACTCACAATCACTCTCTGATATTTAAACCTTCAGCAGAAAAGGGCATACTTCATAGAATAAGATTTCAGCTCATTGGAATTTTGATTAGCTTAGACAAGAACAGACTATAGATTACATTAACTATTTTTATGGAGGGGAAATTCAGTTCCCACAAAGTTGTATGTGAGAATTTCCCCACTTATAGCAAGTATATGGTCATGTACTTGACGTACACTTTCCTCAATAGCCATTACACATGGAAGCATGTTTTAAATGTGTGTCTAAAATCTGTCTATAAGGCAGTGGGAAACACTCTGAGTCACTGGCAGCCCTTCATTTATGGGAATGGAGAAAGGCAATGGAATCTACATCCACTGATAGCTCAAGTTGATTCCACGAGCTGGCAGCCACCATTTTGAAGTTTCATTTCAAATGTTGACAGTGTGGCCTCAACATCTGGTCAGGATTGGGTGGTGATAGTTTCTATTTCTTTCTCCCATCCTGTCCCCACTCTGATGAAGAGTCAAAAGCTAACCTGTTCTGAGATTTTAGTGGCCCTATCCTTCTTTTTAGGAAAATGGCTCTTTTTTTTCAATATCCAGATTGTTGTGTGTGGGTTACTCCCTGGGAATCCCTAGAGCTAACTGTCGACTAGCCACTCCTGGCAAGAGGTGGGACTATAAGCCTCACTGCCAAGTTGAAGAGTGGCTGGCTGACCAGGTGCTCTGGAGCAATAGGAAGGGAGCGGGTAGCCCAGGACAGCAGCGGAAGATGAGTGGACAGTCTGTCCTCAGGGGGGCGGACTCTCATTATGTCCACATGTGCGGGGGGTATACGGATATGAATACCCCCCATCTCTAATTAGGATAGCAGTGAAGGAAGTGGGCCGACATAAAGGGAATTATAAGCGTAAGCTAGCTATTCTTCATGCTGGCTTACCACCAGCATGTGCATATATATTCTTAAGACAATTTATTCTTATATTCTAGTCACAGAATCTGATTGCTATGTCTGTCTATCGCTGCCAACTGCTTCAAGTGAAACAGTCCGGACCAAAACTATTCCCAATTCAAAAGATCCAGTATGGAATCAGGCCTTTACGTACAGGATCGACAGCCGTGTGAAGGTGAGGCCACATATATTTCTTCTTAGCTTGACTGTTTACAAGTCATTTCGTACGACAAATTACAGTGCATGCATTCCGTTAAAGCAACCTAACATTACAGAAAACCGTTACAACATTTGCAGTCTCCTGCTACTTTTCAAATTCATGGCATATTAAAAATTTGTTTACTTGATTCTCAAAAATGTATGTGAATTTCCTCAGAGAACTTTGTTCTCAATTTCTGGAGCAATTGATAAAAGGATCCTGTGACTTGTAATTAATTGCTTTATTTCCCAAATGGATAGAAAGAACGGTGGGAGGACCTTGTTGACTATCTGTGTGATTGAGATGCCAGAAGAAAGGTGTGTGTTATGGAAGATTTAGACACACAAGCCAGGAAGTCAGAGAGAAATGATATTGTTGGACTAGCCACAGGAAACCAAATCCAACTAGCTAAACCTTGAAAAGTATGATGACACTATAATCCACAAATTAGCACTTGGAAACTTTGGTAGATCAAGGAAGTGGTTAATAATCTCTTAACATTAAAGGTTTTCAAGTAACTAGATCACAGCAAGGGATCGTATGAGTAGTAGTGTCCATATCAACCTTTCAATTCTTGCAAGACGGAGGTTCAGTAGATGATACTTGGACTATTTAAAATGATGAAAATCAGTGTTTATTATACATATGACCTGTAAATGCCATTAAAGGTTTCAGTACAGAATTATACATATAGCCTCTTTTAGAGGTAGCAAGAAAAGCATGCAATGTATAGCTGGCTACTTGCTTGGAAAACTGAAAACATGGGAGTGTGGGAAGCAAGAAGATATGCCACGGAGAGTGTTGGTCTTTAATTACAGTACTGCTATCGCCCTCTGTAGGCACACAATGCTCAGTGTAAGCATTCTTGTATTCTACTTACATCACTGCTTCTTCATTTGGTGTTTATAACTAAATATGGGCCTTTTGGGTTTTAAGAAGTTAATCATTTAAATAAATTAATAATATGGCTCATCTAGAAAAGTCAATGTTTTGAAATGATGAAAGAAGGTTACATAAATGTTTCCTTGTGTGTCTCCCCATGTTCTAGACGTTTTGATTGGTAGGGGAGGCCGGTTGCATTTTTACTTCTATTTCCTTTTCTTGGTTTTTGGAAGAGGGCCCTGTGTGTGTATGTGTGTGTGTGTGTGTGTGTGTGTTGGTGTGTGTGTGTGTGTGGGGTGTGTGTGTGTGTGTGTGTGTGCGTACGCGCGCATGCGTGTGTGCAAGCATGCACCATATTTTGCTTTTCCTCCCCCACTGCCCATGTATGGGGGGTGCTTTGGTTGATGTTTCTTTATTTTTTTAAAAATACTGTTTAAGTTACTCTGTACTTACCATATTTTTCCATGTATAAGACCCCCCTTTTCTCACCCAAAGTTGAGTAATCCAAGTGGGGCTTAGCAAGTGGAGGGGGAAGTGTGTGCAAGCATGCACCATATTTTGCTTTTCCTCCCCCACTGCCCATGTATGGGGGGTGCTTTGGTTGATGTTTCTTTATTTTTTTAAAAATACTGTTTAAGTTACTCTGTACTTACCATATTTTTCCATGTATAAGACCCCCCTTTTCTCACCCAAAGTTGAGTAATCCAAGTGGGGCTTAGCAAGTGGAGGGGGAAAGCAGAGAACAAAGCACTGCAGAATTGCATTGATCCCTGCTTTCCCCTTTCTTGCTAAGTCCGCTTAGTAAGTGGAGGGGGAAAGCAGGGATCAAAGTGCTTTGATCCCTTTCCCCAGCCTTACTTCCGTACATAAGATGCCCCTCAATTTTTAATCTAAAGATTTTAGACAAAAGCATTGTCATATACACGGAAAAATACGGTATTCTGTTCAGCATGTCTATTTCCATGGACTGCTTTGTTTGATTCTGTGGGTGTTGGCTTTGTGGCTGTGCCAGTGTGCCACTGGGCTTTATGGGCATACTAGGCATTTCTGTCTTGTTGTTCTTGGTGTTGTGCTGTTGTTGGTTGATTTGGTGAGTGGGTGTCTCTGTGTGTCAGGCATTCAGGGTCTGGCTGGCTGGCCCCTTGCTTGTCTTTTTTCTACTACACTGCCCAGATCCAGAGTGTCTCTGTCATGCTGGGTAGGTGGCATTGAACTCATGCGGTTGCTTTGTCTTTTAAAATCTCTTGGCACTTCAAATGTTTTGAATTGGTTGCTGAGTGAACAAATTAATTTTTTGCTCTATGCATAAGTCTGGTGGTAGAAGAATGTTTGCATAGGAATAGCAGGAGAGGAATCTTTGTGTGGCATCAGGGAGTGGTGTGCATTGGGTGATAAGCACTGCTAGAGGCATTCTCTTCTTTTGTGTTGTGGTGTGGAAATTTTGCTCTGTAGCTCAAGCTGAACTTCATCTGGTGCTGCAGTGGGCCTGGTGGCACTGGAGCTTGGCCCACTGAGAATGAGCCTAGTTGAGTTGCAATAGGCAAGAGGTAAGCCATGCCTGGCCAACATGTATTGTTGTTTAATCCTTTTGTCTTGGTGTTCTTAATTCCACCACCTACCACCTTCCTGGCAATGGGATGGCAGTGCCAGGGCCCAGTGATGTTCCTCTGGCTCTATAGGCGGTGACCTCTCCTGTATTCTCTACACCTTCTAAGCAAAAGGTAGCTTCAGCCCTGCTGAGGCTCAGACCTCTCCAGGTATGGGTGTGCCAACATTCGGCACAATGATCCATGAGGCTTCAGAGGAGCAAGAGATCATCTTAGAACTCCAGCTAGTCTCTCATCTGCCCCTAGGAACCCCCATTTGCAACCAGAGTACCATATTTTTCCGTGTATAAGACTATACTTTTGTCTAAAATCTTTAGACTAAAAATTGAGAGTCGTCTTATGCACGGAAGTAAGCTGAGGAGAGAACAAAAACAAGTGGAGGGGAAAGCAGGGATCAAAGTGATCCTGCAGAACTTTGATCCCTTTCCCCCTATATTTGCTAAGGCCCGCTTAGATTTCTTAATTTTGGGTTAGAACAGTGAGGGGTGTCTTATACATGGGGGCATCTTATACACGGAAAAATACGGTAAATCTATTTGAATCAATGGAATTTATGGGGGAGCTGACTTAGCAAATACCCACTGATTCAATAGGTTTACTCTAATGCAACACACAGTACTACACTAAGTAACAGATTTCACTATTTACTCTATCTAAATAGATGTGATTTCTAAAGTAACTTTAATAACTTTCTAAAGTAACTTTGATTTTCTTCATCTACTTGAATGTCTGCAACTTCCTTTCATGGATTCTCCAAACCTCAACATTCAGATGTTTAAACAGTTTTTTATTATCACAATATGCTTCTGTTACTAGAATATCCTGCACCTGAAAATCTGTGATGAAGATTCATTTAGCAAAGATGATCACCTTTATACAGTCCTCTTTGATGTTGGTAAACTGAAAACTGGACAAACCAGTCGTGTGAACTTCAAACTGAATACAGAAGTAAGCGGTTAAATTATATTGAGAAATACATGTTAGCATCTATCACCACTTTTTCTGTGCAGAGAGAGGCATGCAGCCTCCCTTGCTCTGAGGAAGTCACTGTTTTTCAGTACTCCAATAAACTGTGCAGGGCATATGAAAGGGTGTGTCATATGTACTGTAACCCAGTGGCAGCCTTCCTTGGGGTCTCTTGAAAGCATTTAAGCTCTACATGTGAACAGACAGGAGTGGCACAGGTGGCTGTATCTGCATGATTTAGAATTCTTGAAGTTAATGCTAGACTGAAATCTGAAATAGGAAAGAATATTTGTAAAACTGGAATGGCTGTTAAGTATATGGTGATAACAATGAGGAATAACGATGGAGGAAATACAATAATTAGGCTCCATGTAATGGAATAATAATACTATGCCTTGCATTAAATGCTATCATATGGGAGATGTGTAATATGCAAAAAATTAAGTATTTTTAACAAATGTTTGGAAAAAAGTAAAAGATTTTTAAGCACAGGGAATCATTTTCTTCTCCCCCTTTTTTTTAGACACGTGAAGAGATGGATGTGGAGTTCACGTTACAGTCCATGTGAGTATACTCTTATTTTTGCAGATCATCTGTCACTGGCAGAAAAGTATTTTCCATGGGCAATGCCACATCATTGTATACAGAATGTGCCTGTCTATGCAGCATGTTAAAAATGTTGTCTCGGTAAGGTTGCAAACCTCAAAGGCAAGGATGACGAATGTCCACTTTCCCCATCAACTAAGAGTGGGCAATATTCGCTGGTGCTATGTGCTTGATAGGTTTACACGAGGTTTAGTTTTACAAAAAGCAATTGCCACTTTTATACAAATATGACAACTTTGGCTTCATTTACTGACTTCAATATCTGGAGCATCAATAGGTTGTTTGCATCTTTTTTAAAGCAATCAACGAATCCCTTCTTCATGTATGTATGTGTGCTATGCTTCCTAAAGGGACAGGATACGAATTTTCTGCCGGTTGCCATATGGACAACTTGCAGACATTGCAGAAAAACACTTCTTCTCTCACTCTTTTGGGAATCTTGCAAAGCTTGACAACTTTTCATCTAGGTGTCCTCTTGTGTCAAGATAGCTAAAATAACAACAGCAACAACAAAAACCTGGGGAATTTAGCAAGTACTGTTCATGTCTCTAAGTGCAAGGTAAAGGAAGACTTTCATCTTAACAACTGATAGGATTGCCTCAGACCTGGAAAAGAGGGACAGAAGAGTGCTTGGACCAGAATCCTTTTTCAAACTCATACGGAATGTAGCACTTCATCCTTGGTGTGAGGCTGGAGATCAGTCCTTTGGATCTTATGACTGCACAAGAAGATAGCACCGAACGGGACAGTTGGATTCTAGTCTTGATGTTCTATACTGATCATTGGACAGAATGGGTTCACTGAGGTGATGATGGTTGAGTGACAGAGCTTCAGAAATACACGAGAGAGTGTGCTTCAAATCAGTTGCAATGAGTTTACCTAGTTTTTTTTAACTTGGGCAATGAACAAATGAGGGGTCACAAAGGTAATTTCGCCCTATGAAGTACCAAAAGGACCTTAAGTAGCTTATAAATAATGTGCAGTGTTCTGTAATGAAGGTGCTACAATGAAGAATGCTCTTACTCAGGTAGCAGTTAATGTTGGGTGAATGAGGAGGCTCCTCCATCTGAAGTTCTCAGAGTTTGGGCTGGTAGAGCCCCCAGATATCGTGGGACTGATGCATCCACATCACAACCTTGATGCTAGCTGGGAAGTGAGCAATCAGCAAATGCAAATTCTGTAATGAAGAAGAGGTGGATCATGTTCCCAGTTTTGCGTATGGCTAAGGAACTAAGCAGCAGCTTTCTGCACAGATATCCTGCAATCATTACATTTTAAGACTCCTAGAGCAATGTTATGAAATGTTCAGCAGCATTTCAGGTGCAAGGTACACATGGTTATGTAGGTTACCAGAACTTCTAAGAACATCTGCTCATCAATCTCCACTTGCCCAGAAGCTATCTGAGGCAGGTAAGAACTTCCCAGGGACGTAGTATTCAGTTCATAAATTGCACTTTACAAGGAATGGAAGGCCACTCTGGGGCCAGGTCTATAAGGGTTTTGACAACCTTACTGAATGACATACATTGGCACTGGCCATTTGGAACAGCTGTACCCACAATGGTCCAGAATTCTTCAGCTATCTGCATTTGCGTCAAGAAATCCCATGAATTGGCTGAGACGCATGTCTCAGGAACCAATGGTTTGAGAAGGTGAGTTATTTTTCCTTTAGATAGCTGACTGGAATTTTTTCCATATTCATTCATTTCTCTGTTGTGTTTAACAAATAGCAGCATTTTAATATATTACTTTCTTGTTTGTTCTCAGGATCCAAAGACAGGGAGGTGAAGTTCGCAATACTGTCGCTCCAGCTCGGGCTGCTGCACCTGCGCCTGCTCCTCGTACTGGTATTCTTGAATTAGGATCTCGCTGGTTCAAATGGTTTCGCAGTATCCATATTCCTAAGCCTCCCGGTTTCTAATATGGCCTCAGTTTGCAGATCCTGGAAAACAAAATGGTACTCGTCATTTTTAAGACGTTGAAAGCATTTTAAAGACATGCATAATAGGAAAGGCCCTGTACAGAGTCTGGTATCTCTGAATAAGGTAGAAGAGTATGTAACAAAGTATGGAAGATAGACCTCATCCTTTGATATATGAATATTGGAGCTCCTTCTTATGGTGTCCTTCTACTGTGCAGTGTAAAGATGGATGAGAAAACAGTAACAAACTGACTCATGGAGTTAGAAATACAAAAAACAAACAGTTCAGATCCCCACAAAGATTCTGCTAGATGTGCTGCCTGAAGAATGGCTGATGGCTAATTTGATGTCCTTTTCTCATTTTCCTTCCAACAGAGCTGAATTTCTGCACTTTTATTTGTTTCCAGACCAACAAGAAGTTTTTTAATGAAACTGATTATGAAGGACAAAGACATACAGATGAATGTAAATAAATGTACACAAAAATGTGTGAAGTATGTTTTAAAAGATGACTAAAAAAACAAGCTTAATATATGTGGTTTGCTTTAATTAAATAAATAATTACCATTTCTAAAATTTTGTTTTACTGTTTGTTTATGTGTTTTTTTTTATTTATGATTATATACATTTTAATCACGTCGCTTTCTTTACAAGCTTTCCCCTCCTAGCCATTTTATAGAGAGACAGACCTAGAAAATCTTGTGGTTAAACAGGGGCTTGAACCTGGATCTTCCTTGCCTTAGTTTGGCACTGTGGCCACTTGTCTATTACTTTAGCTCTTATCTATTGTGATCATATTCTGAGAAACAGGATTGTAATCTTTGAAAGCACATACTGAAATATCTCTCAGTTTTTTAAGGTGCTACAACATCCATCCATCCATCCATCCATCCATCCATCCATCCATCCATCCATCCATCCATCCATCCATCCATCCATCCATCCATCCATCCATCCATCCCCCCCCCTCTCTCTCTTTTTACTCTGCCCTTCCATTAACAGATGGTATTAAAGGAGGCTTACAAAGTGTTTTCTTTAAAATTAAGAACATTTAAAATCAACATTACATAATACGTTAATAAAATCATATCTACAATGCATCGTGAAAAACATTAATACAGCTGCCTCATTCAAAATGATCTAAGTCTTTACAGCTAGGATTCTTTTAGCCATCCCCTGCAGGAGGAGTTCAACATATTTTTTTTCTTTATTGACAATTGGAAGAAACAAAAACATTATCAGGGATAATAGAGACCTATAACTCAGTTAGCAATATAGTCACATGCACAACAGTCCACTTATCTCTATGATGAATATGGCTCATTCCTACAGTCCATTTACCTATGCTTTCTATTAAACGTAAAAGGTAGCAAACCATTCGTCTATATGGCTTCTCAAATCCTCATTCTCCAATAAAGGGTGCCAAATCTATACAAATTTATCTTCTTTTATTTCTCCTCTATTCAGTTTAAAGTGAGTAATCAGTTCCTCCATCAGTGCTACTACTCATATGCTATCCAATTATCTCTGAAAAGGGAGTCCTTGAACATTTTACCAAACTCTAGCAATTCCAGTTTGCAGAGTTTCCATGAGGAATATCCAGTAAAAAAGGACACCATGTGCCATCTTCATTTGCATAGCAGGACTGTGCTAACAGAGTATGCAGTGCCAGAAGTACAGTAAAATTCAGGTGTCAGTCTCTGAATTGACTTAAGAACCTGAAGCCTGAACCTAGGTATGCTCTAGGGCTACTGGGCATCACTTGGGAAGGAGGCAAGTGGCTAGAGGGAAGAGTAAATTTTGTTTCAGGTTTATGTCAACATGGTGTCCACAGGCTCTGTTCTTATGGTGGTGGAGTGGATACTGCAGAAGCAAAAACAAAACAAAAAATAAATAAATTAACCCCTGACAAATGTTTGAGAGGGCACAGAAAATATAGGTGGTCACTAGAGGCCTAGTGGCTACAGCTGCAATCTGCCGACAATCACTACAAAAAGGAAACAACAGAGAAGCCAAGCCTGCAGGAAACTGTGGTGGCTTACATTCTTCAAACTGTAGCTATGGACAGCCACTCACCTGTTTCCAAGAGGTTCCCCCAATACATTTTGATTTCCAACATTCTGAAGGTTGGTCAAGATGGATAAACAGATTTCTCAGATTTTCCTAAACCTCTGGCCTGGATCAGCAAGCAAGAGATAAGCAAGTTAATCGTGTTCTATATATATATAATGGCTCCTACAGTGAAGACTGTTATCACTCTCATCTGATGAAATGAAAAAAATCAGAACAACTGAAGTGAGCTAAATAAACACTTCCTACCTCACAGAAATGTTATTATTGGTTTTTATGAGGCCCAGTTTCACTCTCACAAACAACACTAAGGAGAGGAAGCTTCTGCCTTTATTACAAAACTATATACTTTAATCCTACTCTGGCTATAGGAGAGGGAGCAAGGAACTAATTAGAGACAGGCTGGTATAGCGTTGCCAGACGTCTGGCAAAGAGAGGACATGTCCTCCTTTTGAAGCTAAAGTCCTCTGTCCGGCAGGCCAAGCTAAAAAGCTTTAAAATGTCCGCCTTTTCTATCTTCACCCCCTTCCCCTGCAGCCAAACCTCAAAATGTAAATCACCTCTCCCTCCTTCCTTGGTTGTAAGGCATTTGTAAATCCTCCACTTGTAAATCCTCAGTTCTGATCGGAGATAAGCCAGTTTAATTGGTCACCGCTGTGCAACAAAGCCTGGGGCAATCAATGACTGCTTCCGGGGGAGGTGACTGAGAGCACGAGGTAAAACTACAATTAAGAAAGGAAGAAAGGTGCGAGAGAGCGACTGGTGGCTTGACAGAGCTTGTTTATAAGTAAGATTGTAGAAAATTTAGGGAAGGAGGGAAGGAGGGAGGGTGTATGTGAGTGAGAAAGAGACTTACTTTTATAAAACCATGAAAAAAGGTTGTGACTGCAAGGGAGAGAAGGCTCAAAAGTGCGAGGGAGGGATGGGTGGAAATGGACATGAAAGGAAATGGACATAGTGAACTGAAGCAACTGATTGTTTGAACGTTGAGGAAGGGTGTGCGTGTCAGAGAGAGGGAAGGAGAGGGACACACACACACACACACAGAGAGAGACTTGACTTTTCCATAAAACCATGAAAAAAGGAACATTGCAAAATTTAATCTCCATTGCATTTAGCTCTGCTGAGAACAGCAAGTATTTCAAGATTCTATTTAGACTCTAAATTGAACTGGGTAGAACTGGAATATTTAGCAGACACCTAGTAAAAGACAACTGACACACCTGGGACTAAAATGAACAGTTTTTTGAAAGACTCTTGCATGAACAGTGGAGTTTATTTTTCCAAAGTTGCCCAAATGCAAGTTGCTTTTCAGAGTTACTTAAAATTTGCGAATTATTCTTCTGTATTCCTGGACACAATGGCGATGTGGAAAGAGTGTTCTCCTTGATTAATGCTCAATGGACAAAGGAAAGGAACAGATTCTTCATTGACTCTGTAAAAGGAATCATTTTCACAAAGTACAATTTGAAGAATATTACTTGTGAACAGTTTTATGCATATGTGATTGCTAATGAAGATCTTCTGCGAAAAGTTGGCTCCTCTGAGAAATATGCCGCGTAATTAATAAAAATTAAAAGGTAGTAATTGTACAATTAGCTGTTTAAATAATGTTCTTTGGTATTTTGAAAAAAGCCTCCATTGAATTTATTTTTATTTTTTTAACATGACTGTTTCTTGGTCAGTTCACTAAGAGACGTTTATTGGCAGGAATTGTAATAAAATTGTATTGATTGCGGGTTTAATGTGGATTCAAATGAAACATTCAATATGTCCTCCTTTGTCCTCCTTTTTATCTTTCTATGCCCTCCTTTCGGTACCAATGTATCTGGCAACCCTAGGCTGGTATCAAGCCTTCATAACAGTGCCTTCTTTGAAGACTGCATTGTATTGGATCTATGGAGCCGTGGGGAAAAATGAAGCCATGAAAGTAAAAAAAGACAATTTTATCAGCAACTACCAAGAGCTATGCTGGATTAGATCAATGGCCTAGCATTGGAGTCACATAGCAGCTAACCAGTTTCCTTTGAGAGGCTATCAGACATGGGGGCAACTGCTTTATTATTTTTTATTTTCTATGAACATGTTAGGACTGACAAAAGCCTTCATGTGGTACAAGCAGACAATTTTGGTTCAGATTTGGTTATGGTTTTAAATAACGTGAAATTAGTCTCTTTGCAGCTGTCTAGTATACTGAGAAATATGGATGAATCTCCAGTGATACTGAGATGAGATATATCTTTTTGGTTGGAATTAATGAAGACATTTTGATAAGGATCTTGTAGTGATGGGTTTCTGAAATCTCCCAGTCAAAATATTTAAAGGACAGCATATGTTTCAGATGGTTGGTTATTGAATAATACAAACAATCAGTGGTCAGAATTCTCTTGGTTTCTGTATGTTGCTGTGGCTAATTGTGCTTAATTGATGAAGTTCTGTGGTATGTCTTGGCTGTGTGCCTGGTCCTGTGCCTGATTACACACCCAAGTTCTTTCCTGGCACCTTGTCAGTCATTTGCAACAAGAGAGGTGGGTAGGTGCGAAAAGCCTCTTAATGGGAAGAAACAGCTGAGCATGGAGGTGGAGAGGAGGGAACCCAAGCTGACCAAGCACCACTGTGTTTCAAACTTTGTTATTTTATTAAATGTAAAATATTGTTTGCTTTTCTTTTTAACAACATTTATGACTTTTCACCATTTTGTCTATTATTTTTATAAACATTTTATTGGTTTACTTTTTGGCATGATGTTGGCTTAACAATTACTGATAAATTCGCTGATGCAAAATACTTGGTATTAACAAATCTGATTTTCAGCAAGAACAGGGGAAAAAAAACTAGATTATCAAAAAATGTTGTAAGAGCACTTAATGTGGAAATGACTAAAAACCACCTTTGGTTTGTCAAAATCAAGTGATACCAGACTAATTTTAACCTCCTTTTTGGATAGAGTTGCAAAACTGGTACATCAGGGAAATGCTGTGGATATAGTTTACCTTGATTTCAGCACAATGGTTTTGACACGGTTCCTCATGATATTATTGTAACCAGGCTGGTGGTAAATGTGGCTCAGACAATGCTACTGTTAGGGTCATTTGTGGCTGATTTATATATTTATTTAATTTTTCAGCTCCACTTTTCTCCTTAAAAAGGATCCAAGGCAGTTTACAAGACAGTGTTTAAAGCTAACAATATACAAATACCAAGGGGTGCTCACAAATGGATTTCCATTAATTTAGAGAGAAAGGATGTGGCCTGCTGAAAAATTCTGTCCTGGGCCTGGTGTTGTTCAACATCATAATAAATTACTTGACTGAAGGATTAGAAAGGACGCTAATCAGATCTGCAGATGACACCAGAATGGGAGGAGGACTGAATAATTTAGAAGACACAATCATGATTCAAGGTGACTTTAACAGATTGGAGAATTGTGCCAAAAATTTAGAAAATGAATTTGAATAGAAAAACAGACAGAAAAGAATCAGATGCAGAAATATAGTAGAAGTGACGTCTGGAATTACTCCCTATTTTGCTGATTGATATCTGTCCTGGGTCAAGGGGGCTTCCATCAGTAAAGAGGCACTACTGGATATAACTTAGATTCTGTAAAACAGGATAGGAGCAAACACCTTGATTTTAAAGCCTACCACTTGATTTTAAAGCCTAGCATCCGGAGCTCTACCAGGAGTTTGCCCTGACAGAAAGACCACTTGTGTTCCTTCTTGCCTATGATGGGTTTTTCTGCTTGCAAGTGGGACACAACCTTTGAATGCTGCCACAGAAAGTATTAACAGATATTACTATTTGCCATTTTGTTTTCCAGCCCAGGCCTTTCTGAAAACATCATTACAAATGGAGCATTGGTGGTAATTAATCCTTTTGCTGCCCCTCATCTATTTTTCATATTGAAATATTGAGCCTTCTTGACCTATACTAAGTGGAGAAGCCTTTGTGTTTATGCTTTGCAAGCAGACTATGTGAAGAACATGTATCTTCTCATTATCTTATCTGATCTAATCCTACTACTGTATATCTTTCAACAGTAACAGATTTCAGTCAAGCTGCTATTCTTTCCAATGGTTTCTTTTATTATTTCCTTTAGATTCAGCTAACCTGTTCCTCCTCCTCCTCCTCTTTTCTCTTCTTCTTTTTCTTCTTCACTATAGAAAGTATTTTCAAAATGCATTCATTAACAATTTTCTTTACCATAGCTTGCCATGAATTTCTAACTCAATAGAAGATTCCAATTAAAACCGCAACCTTTCTTGCCATTCAACAGAAATCAGTAACTCATTAGGCATTTATAGCCTGATAGAAAGCAGGGCAATTGGTTACAATTAATGAAATAGAATTACTATATGTATCAGACAGCTGGATTTATCCAACATGTTAGATGATACTGCAATAATTCTGTAATAACCATCCCCAAAATCTTTAGCATTAGTCATGGCTGGGTAGAACATAGCTCATTAATAGGTAGCAGTGTAGATGCTTGGCATAAAGAAAGTCTCAGGCTGATTCTGGTACTTCTAGTTAAAAGGGTCAGGTGGTACATCACATGAAAGGTCTCTGCTTGAGATCCTAGAGACAAATATTGCCAATTGGAGTAGTCAATGCAGGGCAAGAAGGACCAGTAATCTGAGAGACATGTAACAGGTCAGGGAAAAACTATGGGCCATTTTATGTGTGAGATGGCTTCCTCACAATTACCATTGGAGCAAGGGAGGTTGCCAACATGCTCACAGGCAGGGTGAAGTTCTGTGTGAGTGAATGAAAACAGCTAGCTTGATTGTCCAGAGGGTGATCAGACTTTTCTGAGCAGCCTCCATTATTTTTCACATATGTACCAACTATGTAGACAGAAGAGGGATTCGTACAGCTATGGGTCTTTAGCTTTTCCTGGATTAATGAAAGGGAAGGCAAGGGGGCAGCAAACAGAGGGATGGGGAGTCAATAGAAGCACTTTGGACACTATATGGGTGTTGTAGAAGAAGGAGAAAAGATTCATTGCAAAATTGGGGAAACTGCAAGATCGGGGAGAGCACAGATTATGACCGATGGTGCTGGAATCTGTACAATGATTTAGAATACGATGATTTAGAATAACTAGTGATATATCGGTGTAAACATATGTAGTATATGAGTATACTATTTATGGATGCTATTTATGCTATTTACAGTATGTCTCTTTTTTTGCAGCTACGTGATGTTTTATGTCTGGAAGTTATGCTAGATCTTGAGAAACTGAAGCAACACTATACAAGTAAGTTCATTGCACCTCTAATTGATTATTTTATTTATTTATTTATTTATTTAACTTAATGCTGCCCACACTACCCAAAGGTCTCTGGGCGGCTTACAACATTTAAAATACAATAAAAAGTCAAAACAATTAAAATGCAATTAAAATATATACTCACAGCTGTTGTGGCGCAGTGGTTAAAACGCTGTACTGCAGCTAAAACTGTGCTCACGACCTGGGGTTCAAATCCCAGGTAGCGGGCTCAAGGTTGACTGAGGTCGGTAAAATGAGTACCCAGCTTGCTGGGGGGGGCAATGTGTAGCCTGTATAATTAAATTGTAAACCGCCCGGAGAGTGCTTGTAGCGCTATGGGGCGGTATATAAGTCCAACCCCCCCCCCCAAAAAAACCCCTAAAAGCCTTCTGGAACAGGAAGGGTTTGACCAGGCGCTGAAATGTCATCAGCATCTGCGCCAGACGAATCTCAGTCAGGAGGGTATTCCATAGTCTGGGGACAGCTGCCGAAAAGGCCCTTTCTCTATAAGCCGTCCCTCTTACCTCCTTAAGGGATGGCTCTTTCAAAAGGGCCCCCTGGCTAGATCTTAACTGCCGGGTAGGCTCATATGGAAGGAGGTGGTCCACGCATCCAGGGCCCAAGCTGTTTAGGGAGCAGGGTCTCTGTTGCCCTGAGTCAGTATTTTAGCAACAGTTCAAGATGTGTTACAATATCTCTTAAATTTGTGTGGACCTTTAGTTGTTTCAAACTAAAAAAAAAACATGCTGAATTTTAGAAGTGTGTCATTCTCACACTTGTGTGAATTTATTTAGAAGTTGTGTGTTGTTCCACGAGTAAAAACTGTAGCCCATGAAGCCTATGTGAAGAGTTCATCATGTTTTCTTACCCTCAGTGCCTCCAAAATGGCATTACTACAATGCCTGTGAAATGCATCTTAATGAATGTTATGTCTGAAGCACTGGGAGAGGAATATGATGGTCTGTTGGGATACCTGTTTTGAAGGGTTTTTTTAAGTAGATTATGGTGGTGGACTATTAGTTATGGAAAGTTCATTATAGAGAAGTTGCGTTACCGCTTATTAGGGTAAGTCCACTCCAGAAACTGAAATTGCTTGGAGTTTGGATTTTTGATTTCCTATGGAGTCCCCTACAGTTCCTTTCATATTGAAGCAAAGTATCTGGAAAATTTGGATCCCCATTAGCCACTTCACATTTAACTCCTGGGGATTCCCTGTAACTAGGTCATAGACAATGTTGCCCTCTTGTTAAACATTTGAGAAACAAGTCGGCAGGTACTGTTGATTTTGTTTTGTTTTTCTATTCAGAAGGTGACCTGACACTTACAGTCAAAGGTTCCTATGAGGAAATGCATAGAATTCCACTGGCTCCTGACTCTCACCGTAGTAACAGTATTGTTGTTCAGTTCCACTGTATCAAGAATCTTCAATCAAATCTGAAAATCACACTACCCCAGAAGATGCAGTGGTCAAAAGTAAGTTAAAATCACGACATTACATCAGCGGTAGTTTGGCAAAAGCAAATGGTGGAGCAAATTCTCTAATAACTTATTTGTAAGATTATCTTGCAAACGTTTGCAATTTCTTACCTGGACTTTTTTTTAAAAAGTAGAAAAAGTTGTATGTAGAAGTCTGGGAAACAAAATTAATTCCATATTTTCATCACATTAATATTTCCACAATCTGTCACAAAACCAGTTGAAGTACGATATCTTTAAATTTCAAAATTCACAAACTCCAATTTGTACTGTAATTTTTCGGGTCTGATCCATTTTAGACCCTCCCACTGAAAAGATGTCTCTTATCAACAGACTGATTCCTATTTAGACCATTTACTTCACCTCAAAATTTGCTCCAGAGAATTCAGGGAACCTTTAAAGCAGGTCATGAAAGAAGATCTGTTGTAAAGTGGAAAAAAAGGTCCTGCTAGGTTAGCAGAAGTCAAGTCACAAATTGGTACATTTCCCCTTAACAATGTTTTGTTGTGCCTTTATAATAAATACTTACAGGGATGTTAATCTGTCTTGTGTAATCTAGAAATCCTGTATGAAATCACCAGACATAATTCTAAACATCTGTACTTTTATGTATATTTAGCTGACTTCATTTAAAGAAAACACAGGAAGTAATGCCACTGTAATTATACCTTTGGATGATTTTCCCATACAAGAGAAAATAAGAATTGGAGAGGTGAGTGCTCTGTCTTTATGAAAACAAATTAGTTTTGAACTTAATTGGTTGCCAGGAAAAGTAAGCAATTCCTTGAAAAACATGCCCCTTGTATACAGAAAGCCCAGTGTTCCTGGTATTCCAAGGCAACACCATGAAATGTACTTGGCTTATGGCTTATCTACATTGCTGATTAACTCCATGAGATGCATAGAGGTTTTTTGAAAGTCATGTGATAGTCACATGGTACATGAGTCGCTGTCTGCATGTATCCATTGAGATAGTGGTTAAAGCGTTGCATTTTTTACACTGATCCTCTTGGGAAAGCTTTTAATATGTTTTAAGCTGTGTTGTTGGGGGGTTACGCAAGCTTTTAAAATCGTTTTATTTGAAGCTTGTCCACTCTGCCTTCATTATATACAATGGGCAGAGATGGTTCCTATTATTGAGTTTATTTTGGGGATGATCCTACATAAAAATTATATAGATCCATGAGGATCTGTGCCTCTGATCCAGTTTTCCCCCCAAAGATAGCTCTTTACTCTTTCAACCCTGCACTGGACTGGCCCCGTCCTCCCCTTCCTCTCAGGCTCCCTTCACCTGCTCATCCCTCTTTCCTTCCCCACTTCTCATGGCTCTTGTTGCTGGTGCCACCTCCCACCACCACCTCTGCTGGTTATCCAAAGAGGCAGGTGTGGTCGGGTAGGGAGGGCAAACATAGGGAGGCAAGGAGCAGGGTGGCAGAGGGTGATCAGGCAGGGAGCAATTTATGGTGGGAGAGCAAGGCACTTTGGGCAATTCAAGGCATTAGACTGCAGTTCAGCCCCGAGGTGAAATCAATGACTCTGCCAGGAGGAGGTTAAACAATGCACTTCCAAACATAATAATGCAAGTCCATAGGGAGAAACAGCAAGATTCATTGTGCATTGTGTGATTGATTTTTTAAATATTGATGCAATTGCAGGTAAACATAAATCATATACCAGTCCTTTTAGGACTTTACTTCACATGAAACATGTGTAGGGTTGCACTCAAAGGTGCTGGGCCAATGTAGCCTGATCCAGTGTCAATGAACTTTCTATGTTCCTGAAAAAACTCAGACCTACCCCAATTCAGGAGTATAATTCTGGCCTTCCTTATTAGGAAAGGAGGATAATTTTGTGGCAAGTTATTTCCAGAAACTACGTTCAGAATAGCTGGGTTTTGGTGCTAAAGATATTATTACATGCAAGAACCAGACTTTCATGTACTTCAGTACTTCTTGACCTGATATTTATTTCTCTGCCTGGGATCACAGCACTCCCCTGAGGCTCCACCCAACATCCTAAGACATGGTGATACTGTTGGTTACAGATATGACTGAAATGGCTTTTTTTCTTGATTTTCAGAATGAAATGTGTGATGTGCATGTGAAGGCGAAGGACTGGTAAAATATATTTCTGGGCTGATTTCTTTTAAACAGAGACAATTTGATCTTGCTCCTTTAAAATGTGGTTTTGATTTTAAAAGTATATTATACAAACCTCTCATACAAATTACATTTGTACAAACTGCTGGCCGTGTTGAATCTAGACAGAGCTCATGTCTCTTGACAATAATCCAGTGAATATTGTGCAAATCGTCTCCCTCTTTTGTAAATGGTTGGCCATGCCAGAGATGCTGTGTCACTTTTAATTTCACATTGACTCCATTGCTATCTTTTCCAAGAGACTTTTCCAAATCTGATTGGCTATCATTACATCATCTAGGAAGCATTTCTTTCATTTCTTCTTACTGACATAATCATATAATCAGCTGTATCATGATGGCATCCTGTCATGTGAAATATCTTTGGGTAAGGTTTCTCATATGATTGATCAAGGGATAAGAAAAGAAATATATAGAAGGGGAAAATAACTTGGAAAAGTGACTGGTTGGATTACCACCCCCCAGAATCCCCTTAGCTGTCTGGAGAATTCTGGAGATTGTATTCAAAAAGTACTTTTCCCAAACTCTGTGGGGAAAGTGTAAAATTAATTAATTAATTAATTAAAAAACACTCTAATGTAAAGAAACAAGAGAAACAAGGAGCCCAAAATGTAATAATGGAAGCATCCACAGCTCTAAGGGCCTCCTTGATTCTCTTGTTTCTTCACGTATCAGTGTTTTTTAAATTAATTCATTCATTCATTTTACACGGACTTTTCCCCTGAAGAGTTTGGGGAAAGTACTTTGAGGTAGTGAAGAGAAAATATTCTTATACCCTCAGAAAGTGCTATTTTTGACTCTATTGCCTGGAGAAGGAAATATTTGGTGTATATTCAACAAGGCCAGCAGATTGTACAAAATGCAATTTGTATGAGTGGTCCATTAACATCTCTACCAATTCCCTCTTTTCTTCTTCTTAACTTAAGTAATACATAGTGTGTAGTTATTGGTTCGTTATCTTCTTACCTCAAAACAGGTGCAAGGCAATCTTTCCAGCTAAGTCTCTTCCAGATGACAGCACATGGAAGCTTTGTGATGTCTTAAATTCTTTTCACTTTTTCTACACATTTACAGATTGTAAAGGAATGGTTTGGTGACAGTAGTTGGCTAAAGTAGTTCCACTTTGGGGGCAGAATCAGGGCACCCCACCACCACCAACTTCTTCCCTGTCTCTGTATTCAAGACAGCTAGTTCACAGCTACTTCCCTAGCATTCTCCACATCTGTGTATTCGTGGAGGCTTTCACGGCCGGGATCTAATGGTTGTTGTGGGTTTTTCGGGCTCTTTGTGCTCTCCTCTGAAGATGCCGGCCACAGAGACTGGTGAAACGTTAGGAAGAACAATCTTCAGAACATGGCCAAAGAGCCCGAAAAACCCACAACAACCATTCTCCACATCTATTTTTACTATGTTTAAGAGATCCATATCCCTTCAGTTTTGTTGACCAGTGTGGAAGCCTTGGGGATTCGTGGCTTTAGTAAAAATGTCACTGATTTGGTCTTCTTGAACTTTTGTTTCAAGTGCAGAACTGGTTACAGTGAATACTGAATTGCAATATAATGTAAGAGATTTAATCATTTGCCCCTTAGACAGACCCTAATATTAGAATATGTGTTAACAGACAAAAATTATAAAATCAGAATATGAGCTACTAAATTGATAAAATCCTAGTGTACAACGAACTGGACGACATATAGGCAAATCTTCTGGAAAACAAAGAAAAATTAAAGTGCACTAGCAAAATAGGGACAATTTTTATCTACATGGGATGTGCCTAAAGCCCTCTCCCTATCCTCTTATGTACTGCAGTCTTGGGGATACTGTGCAGTCATAGACTATTTCAGGAGCACAGCTTGGAAAAGTCATTTTTGAACCAAAGCTGCCAGAATTCCCCAGCTGGCATAGTTACTGATCATGCTGGGCTGGGGATCATGGCAATTCTAGTCCCAAAAGTACCTCTTCCAAACTCTCTGTAAGAGGTGATATCCCCCAAAGATTCAAGTAGTCCAGCTAGTTAAAAATTATGTTAATTACATATTCTAAAGCATGCTAAAGTACTATATTGCAGGCCCAAAGGTCTAGATGTTCGCTTAGCATATGACTTATGTACAGAGGAAAAGAATTTCCTAAAAAAAAGAAGGAAGTACGTTGCTGCTGCTATGAAGAAGGTTCTTCGGCTGAAAGAAGAGCTGCAAGATGATGAGGTAGGTAAAGCACAATCATGTCCACTTTCCCTCTTTCAGTGCTAATATGCTCTGCGGCAGTCTGCTGCTGGAAGGAAATGTTGCCCTCAAGCATACATGGAGGTGCTTTATGGGGTGGAGTGGGACTCAGGTTGGAAAGAAGGAAAAGCATCAGTACGGAGAGAGAAAACCTCAAAGATGCACCGAGATCAGCCATAAAATTCATTTTCAGTAGCAGTGGACAATTTCCTTAGGGGGAAAAACACTATTTTTGTATGTTAAAACTTAAGTAATGGTAGCAGGGTTCACACAGTGTTATGCCCATCCGAAACAAGATTCCTATGTGATGCAGTTTTCTTCTATGCAGACAGCGGAAGCACAAGTGAACAGTGGAATCTCTTTAATCTTCTCTGCTACTAATAGTACAAAAAAACTAGCTGGTTAATTCCATAAACTTCTGTGATGGCCACAAATGAAAGTTGTTAATTATACTTGAAGTTTCCAGCAATGCACAACATTTTTTTTAAAAATCAAACATTGTTATTTTAGAATCATGTTCAGAAGCTTGCCACCATTAACTCCCTGCCTCTGTTTATTAAACAGGTACCTGTGGTGGCAATCATGACAACAGGGGGTGGAACCAGGTCATTTACAGCAATGTATGGAAGCCTTCTGGGTTTGCAGAAACTGAACCTATTAGACTGTTTTACGTACCTTACAGGTTTATCTGGCACAACATGGTAAGGAGAATTTTCACGTGCCATCATTTTACATGCTCTGTTCAGTTTATTGTTTATATACAGCACTGTTTATTTCAGGTAGCAAATAACATGTAAAACTTTCCAAGGGGTCAGCACTGTATTATGGAAGAAATTTCTACTTTAAAGCAATGCAAGGAAGTGTTATAAGCATTTGTAACTCATTAGTCAGACAAATTGATTTTAAATATTTAACAGACAAAACAGTTGGTCAGTCAATTGATTACAGTTTGAAAAAAGGGCTGGGATTTTTAATACAAGAGTTTGTAAAAAATACCAATACCTGCTTAAAAAGGCCCTGTACATTAGGAGAATCGAAATGCCCCTTCTGGAACAACATCTACTAGAAAACATGAGTGCATTGCTTAGTAAGAAGGGATGTTTGCTTCTTGTTTCAGAAATAATGTTTTTACCCATATAAACCAAATAAAAGTATTTTACCAAATAAAAGTAGGTAAATTTATTTGATTTATTTGAATAAATGCAATCCTATTTTAAATTAATTAAGGCCGTAGTGCTTTATACAATGAAGTACAGTAGTCTAATATACTCTTGAAGTAAGTTCCATTGAAATACAATGGGACTTATGTCTGAGTAGAGGTAAATTTATTTAATAAGATTATTGCATTATGAGACGAAAATGTAGATGGCTGTTCAGATACATTGCTAAATTGTGGGTTAGTGTTATAAGAATGGGCCTAGCCAAGCCTCAACTTCATGTGCCACATTCCCACATGCCAACAAGGAGCTGTTCTAAAGATTTCCCTTCCACTTTAACTTGTCATGTTGTGTGGATGCATTTAATTAATATAGTAATTGTATTTTTAATGATTATATATATTTTTATATTGATTTATTTTATGTTGTAAGCCACCCCGAGTAACATGGTCTAGATGGGCGGGGTATAAATGATGCTTAATATTAACAATGTTTATATGAAGCAAACTGACTTTGGTAATGGTCACTTCAAAGGGAGAGAAACTAAATGAATTGAAAAGGCATCTGGGTAATCTAAGCAAAGAGGATACCTCGGGCCCAGAACTATGGGCGTTGGGTAGTGCTAGGAATGGATTATGAGGAACAGACAATGTGTCAGGTGGATTCTGAGAGTATCAAAGGCCAACATAAGAAGGGTTTATACATCACATCATGTGATCATACTGAAGATGTGCAGTTGTTCATAGCTACAGGCGACAAGCGAGGACATAAAGGGGGCAGAACTCTAGCATATTCTTGGGCTGTATCAAATAAATATTCAGTAACACAGGTCCTGGACTGAATTGTAACCTTCCTCAGATTCCTAGTGTCATGACTAAATTTAGGGTGTGAAGCCATGCTTCTGATGCTGGTGGAATATGGAATTTTCCATCAGATAAGAAATTTCTTCACACTTTACTTACCAGGAATAATTCTGGATAACTGACAGATACTAAACAGCCTCAGGTATTTCAGGAAGTGAAATCTTTTTCTTGGAGGAAGAGAGGGTAGAGCCATTATAAGGCCTTGAGGCACAGCTATAATGTGGTTTTCTCTGAACTTAAACTTCCTATTCCGTGGATTGTATCTCATTCTTATATTTTAACACTACTGAAAATTTAGGACTATTGCGAAATTGTATGAAGATGCTAACTGGTCACAGAAATACCTGGAAGAAGCTATTAACAAAGCCCGGAAGCAAGTGACCAAATCCAAGCTTAACTCTTTTTCTATGGATAAACTGAAGTATTATTATGATGAACTGAAGCAAAGAACCGAAGATGGCTACAACACTTCATTTATAGATCTCTGGGGACTTGTCATTGAGTCCATGTTACATGATGGGGTAATGGCTGAAATTTGTTTTGAAACGTGAGGATTAAGACAAGTGAAAAGGAGTGTGTGTATGTGTCTGAGTTGAATGATTGAGTTGAATAAAGTGCAGGGGAGTAATTTAAATGGAAAGTACTTCTGCATGTTTAATTTATGGACTACATATTGTTCAAGCTCAGAGACCAATTGAACCATTCTTCTGAATGACTGCAGGCTTGACTGGCCCTGCCGGTTTATGTGGGTGCTGACCCAATGTTCTCATGCACATTGCTTCTGCTGTCCCACTTCCCCAACCTTGCTGTGATGTAGGTCTGTAGGGACAGAAAAATGTCTCTTGAACGCAAGTAGAACTGTTAGTGTGACCGGGAATCCTGGTGATACAGAAGTATGTGTTATGTTTAGAGTTCTTATGTTCATATCAATGTGAGTAGAAATGCTCTGCTGTTGTTGCCCTTCAACAACAAGATCACAGAGCTGCAGAGACAGAACTGGTGGACACAGGGACAGGAAGTATCTAAGGAACACTCTATTTTTTGAAATTCAGATATTTTAAAATGTTTTAATTGTTTTCAAAATTGTTACATGACATTTTAAACTGTTATTATTGTATGATTTTAATTGTTGTGAGCCACCTTGGGAACAAAGGAGGTAGGCAGGCAGGCAGGTAGGTACCCTGTTTCCCCGAAAATAAGACCTAACCTAAAAATAAGCCCTACTATGATTTTTTACAGGATGTTTGTATTATAAACACTACCCCCCAAATAAGCCCCAGTTAAGTAAAATCCCACCCTCCACCATTGTGCAGCATTGTGCAGCAACTAGAAGAAGATGACATGACTGTATTGAATAAATGTAGATTGTTGTACATGAAAAAAATAATTAATATAAGGCCTCTATATTATTTTTGGGGAAACACAATAGATGATAGATAGATAGATAGATAGATAGATAGATAGATAGATAGATAGATAGATAGATAGATAGATAGATAGATAGATAGATAGATAGATAGATAGATAGATAGATAGATAGATAGATAGACTTGTACTTCATGCCACAATGAACTTTGTAGTTTAATAAGTCATGGGCTTTGTAGTCTAAGAAGCAGTCCTCTGCATTTCTTCTAGTTGCCACTGAAGTTTATTTAATTTTAAACATTCAAAGTGACTCCAATTAAACTACAGGTATTACATGCTAGTCAATATGTGTAAGCAGTTGAATGTTTATTCAGATCTTAGATTCAAAATGAATATTAAAGCAGTGAACTTATAATATTGAATAACAAACATTCCTCTCTCTTTTTTTCCAGAAAGACAATACTAAACTGTCAGATCAGCAAGTGACAGTCAACGACGGTCAGAACCCCTTGCCCATTTACTTGGCTATCAGTCTAAAAGATGACTATAGTGCTCAAGATTTTAGAGGTGATGTTACTATTATATATGAATTGTGTCATGCTCATCTTATCTATACTTAGTTGTGTTAACAAAAAGAGTCAGTTCAAAGGCAAATATATTTTGTATTTTTGATACAGAAGGAAATTCAGTATAATAATTGAATAAACATTAAGTTGTTCATTTTTAGCAGCAAACCTATTTTGAAATGCAGTGTTACAGACTAAATAGTTTTTTTCTGTGTAAGTAATCTAGTCTTCCTCAGCTGTGTTGCTGCTAAAGGGCTTTTATGTTGTATGTGAGCAAATTACTGCCTTGTTTCCCCCCTACTAATTTACAGAATGAATGTTAGATAGAAAGGCTGAGGTGCTATACAGTCCTTTGTACTTTAAAAACCCTAGCAATAGTCTAATCTTGCATGACAGCATTAGGCACTGATTAAGAAGTAAACTTGGTTGTAGAGTTGGCAGGTATCTAGGAACTAATGAATGAAATCCAGTATCAGGTAAACAGAATTCCCATTGAGCAATGGCAGTTTCTCCCCCTCTCTTCATGTTGTTCCTGTCCAAAATCTGTTGGAGAAAAGATCTGTGAGGATGCAGAAACGGGAGCCATTTCCAGAAGCTGTTTAATTGGTGGGAGAAGTTAACGTGATGCCATAAAATGTCTAAAAATAACCAGACAAGAGCAGTTTAGAGTTTGAGATAGTCATAGATAACAGCCTGAAGCTGTGGTTGAAGATGATACTGATGTATAAAGAAAGAAGGATACTTGCAGTAAAGTTTCCTAAGTCATGATTATATGTTTGATCTATACCTTTCCAATGGATGAGGGGATTCTTTCTCAATGAGTGCATAATTCTGTAGAAACGAGGGATCTCTTTCATAAAGGGTCAGAATACTCAACTGAAGAAAGAGTAGTTGCCACTTTATCTGCTTCAGCAAACCTTCTTCTTCAGCCCTCCTGAGGGTATCCTTTGCCCACCTACCCCGGAATAACCACGCAAGACCAGGTGCATGGGTCAAACATGGGCCATACTTTATTAAAATCCATTCCATTTCATGAACATGCCAGTCTTTTGGGAAAGGGGGGTCCTGCTGTAGTGCGGATTCAAATTCCTTGTTGGGTATTAGGTTGGCCCTTCCCCAGCTGCGAGGCTGGGCTCAGGCCTCGGTTATTCCCTTCGTTATTACCATGGGATAACTGACGGCCTCCCAAATTTCCCCGGACCCCTTCCTTCTCTCTGTGCCTTCCGGGGGTCCGGGAGCGTCCCCAGTGCATCCTTACTTCCTAGCACCACGATTGCCTGCCTGGGCGTGCTGCCAGTTCAGATGTGCTGGAATTTGGTGCCACTACCCAAGAAACCAATATTCAATACCACTGAATCCGCACTACCCACCCCGTGTGACCGAACTGCAACCACCCTTGCCTGGCCGACACTCCTAGTCCCGTGTGGGATAAAGACAATGGGGTGCACCCCTTTAAATGCCCCCCTGATGGCCCATGCCCCTCGGCCGTTCTGGCGTACAGCCCTCCAATGTCACGTGTCAATCCGGGCAAATTGGCAAAGCCCCGCCTTGATAATTGGATCTCTTTGGTCCCACTATCAGCGTGACCATTTAGAGCAATTTTTTTTGCTCTTCTTTGGCTAAGTAAAAGCTACAACTCAGAGAGCAGAAGAAGCTGTAGTTTGCATAACTTGATCACTGTCTTGTATTGCAAATCTCTGGTCTAGTACATTAGCAATTGTCATGGTCTTGTGCTTACAGAATGGCTGGAGTTCACTCCTTATGAAGTGGGAAGCTTAAAACATGGAGCGTACATTCGTTCCAAAGATTTTGGTAGTGAGTTTTTCATGGGACGCCTGATGAAGAAGCTCCCTGAAATGCGAATCTGCTTCCTGGAAGGTAAACCTAAGTGCTGAGGAAAAATAGTCAACTAATATAAAAATGTAACTAAACCAAAACAGATTGAGACTATGTGGAAAAATTCACATTCTTTATTCTCAGTATTCCCTGCTTGGCATTTTCTGATGCCTAAATTAGTTTTCTTATTTTCAGAACTGTTATTGGGGCAGTTTTTGCAGTGAGCTATGTATGCCACACAACACAGGATCTTATATGCAATATATTTAAATTGAGTGCCCCCTAACTGTATGAAGGCCACTTCCAAATTAATCTGGGTAGCTCAGTGGTTTAGTTATCTGGCTGTGGAGTCAGAGATTGGTAGTTCCTATTGTGACTCATGGGAGAAGAGCCAGCCTGTGTAGCCTTGAGCAAGCTGCCCAATCCCAGGATGTCTCCAGAAGAAGGGGCTGATGAACCACTTCTGAGTACTCTTTATCTGGAAAACCCTGGAAAAGATCACCATAAGTCATAATTGACTTGATGGCATGCAATTATTATTATTATCATCAAAATATACTTGTTTACCCATTGTGACTCATGGGAGAAAAGCCAGCCTGTGTGGCCTTGAGCAAGCTGCCCAATCCCAGGATGTCTCCAGAAGAAGGGGCTGATGAACCACTTCTGAGTACTCTTTATCTGGAAAACCCTGGAAAAGATCACCATAAGTCATAATTGACTTGATGGCATGCAATTATTATTATTATCATCAAAATATACTTGTTTACCCCATCCAGGATGGATTAAATAGTACTCTACAAGATAAGCTTATAAACCTAATCCTTTTGTGTATCCTTTTAGAATGATTTCTATTGCACTCTACAAAATATTCTTTCAGAACTAAGGCAGGATGGAAGAACTGGTATGTCTGCTGAGGATTAAAGGCTGTTCCTTCTCATAGAACAGCTTGTGTTGTCCACAACCTCCACTGTAGTGGGCAAGTGACCATGCCCAATAGAACCCAGTGTTTCTAGGATTTGTTTTCCATGTACAGTATTCTTTTTTTTGATGCTGGACCTAAACTAGAAGTGCTGTCATGCTATTGTGCTCCTATCTCTGTCCCAAAGGGTTTTCAGAGTCAGATAGGTGTAACAGTTTGGTGAGCCCATTCAACAAGAATAAGCAAGGAGATTCTGTTAGCAGTAGTCCAAACCTGTAACTTTTCCAAATTATGTAATGGGTAGTTCTGGTATAAACAGAAGAAAACTTGAAGGAAAAAAAAGAGGAGTGAGTGATTTATATTTTTGACATGAGAAAAATATGCCGAGCAAGCAGCACCAAGCCATAGCAAAATCAGAATGTTTAGCACAGTACATTCCCTCCTTTAGGATAAAAATTATCATATCCCCAAACAGAACAAAGAGAAACTGTGATCAGGACTTGTGAAATTCCATTAGTAGAAACAAAGATTTTGATAAAAAGACATGGTCAACAATAAAATGTGGGGAAAAAATAGGCTGGTTCCATGACTGTGGTTCTGCTCTATGTTGTAGGCAATAGAACAGTGGTTCTCAGCCTTGGATCCTCACGAGTTCTTGAACTAAAACTCCCAGAAGCCTTCACTACTAGCTGTACTGACCAGGATTTCTTGGAGTTGTAGTCCAAGAACCTATGGAGATGCAAGGCTGGGAACCTCTACCCTTAGAATGCTAATTGTTTCCAATACATCACTTGTTCAGCATTTTTAAATCTCTTCCATTTCAAGGTATGTGGAGCAGTATATTTTCCTTTGACTTTATGCACTTCTGGTATGCAGCTACTGACTCCGAAGACTTCTGGCACAAGTGGACAAGAGACAGAGTAAAAGATATTGGTAATGTGATCGCTTCTTGCGTTTTCTGTTTTTTTTAAGATACGTATTTTTATGCCTTTGTTTGATGTTGGTTAGGTCATTTCAGTGAAAGCAAACAAGATATAATCTATGATTCTGGAGAAAAGTAAATGATTCTATACAAAATGATTCTGTGAAAAATTATTTACTTGTTTGAAAAGATGATCAGAAGAGTACTGGGAAGTAAGAGTTGTTCCTTCTCATAGTTTGCTTTGTCTGCTACTTCCACTACAGTGGGCAAGTGTTTCTTAGCTTCTAGGTTTCTAGTAAAATGTCTTGACCGAAAAAGAATGTAAACCATCCCAAACAAAATTGTGCCAGTTACTTGAAATGTGTAGTTGCAGATGAAAAGCTCTTCATCTCCAGCTTTTGATTATGAAATATTTTTATTTTCAGGGCATGTTCAAAACTATTTGGACCCGTATTTGCATACATTCGCAAATGTAGCAAAATACAACACAAATATTTGTATGGATTTGTCTGTATTCCCCCCCCCCATATACGTTTGTATGTACTTCTTCTAGTGTGCTTAGCACCAATACACCATTTTTTTGTATAATTTCCACTAATTATGCCCATTTTTGCATGTGTGTTTCTTTAATGCACACATTTTGGAACATTTTTTAAAATTGCAAATTGTATTGCACAATTCTGAAAAGTGAAACTTTTGATGAAGGAGTCCCCAAAAATTAACTGATCAATACAGCAGGACTGAATTTAGCGAGTTTGTATAAAAATTCAAACCTGACAAATTTCTTACATTGCTCCTTCAGATTATGATCAGTGATTTAGGTCTCTAGCTGTGGAACCAGTGGCTGGGAGTTCGGTTTTACACTGTGACTCCTTGACAGAAGTGGACTCGGTGATCTATAGGGTCCCTTCCAGCTCTGCAGTTCTAAGTTAATAGTGATGGTGATTATATTTTGTTTGTTCTGCTTTAGTTATATATTTGCAGCAGTGATTGACAGGTAGAGATACCTTGAGTTGTATTTCTAGTTACAATTTGTATATGTTATGTATAGATCTATTACACACACAAACGAACAAACTCTTATTTTAAATGTTTCAATTTACCACTGGTTGATGCACCTAGTATTTTCTTCTTAGATTGGTAGTAGTTCAAGTATTTTCTAGGCTCACTTCATGGTGTCCTGTAACTGGAGGTTGTATAGGTTGAATCGTGAAGGCAGCCATCTGAGTGTCTATTGATACCATGTCATCCTATAGCATGATTACCAGGATGGTGGTGGCTCTCTTTGTGAGTTTAGAGCAGCCATGTTGTTGGGCACTCTGTTATCCAGCTGCAGAGTAAGTATTACAATCCTGTCTCTGGATTTCTGGGCCTCCTCAGTAATGTCTGCCTTAATAGGGTGAGCTAATATTGCATGGTGGGACCCAGTGTGGTGTAGTAGATAGAATGATGGACTACAACTCTGGAGATCAGAGTTCTAATCCCTTATCAGTCATGGAAACTTACTGGGGGAATGGAAATGATAAAACCACTCCTTAAATAACTCATTTACCTTGAAATCCCTATAAGGGTTGCTATAAGTTGATTCCAACTTGATGGTACCCATTAATATTACATGAACATATATACAATCAAATAAATTATTTTTGTGTTTTTCAGATGATTTTCCAATCCCTTCAAGACCACACAGTCTGGAAACTCTCCTGGTCACTTCTCAAAGTCAGTTTTCTTATACTTTCCGAGATGTCTTAACAGGACGCCCAACAATAGCAGACTATCCCAATTTTTTGAGAGGCCTCCAGTTTCATGAGGAGTATTTGAAGAATGAGCAGTTTTCTACATGGAAAGGCACAGTATTAAATCTACATTTGTGGCAATATTATCTTAGATGTAGAGCACAGCTTTACTTGTCACACACACCTCATATCTAGATGATACTATTTATAATTTAAAATGGATGTACTGTACTTCAAAATTTGACTTAGAAAAAAAGGATAATTAGTTCCAACATTTGACTGAGGAAACTGAGTAAGGAACTCATAGAATTATGTAACTTGGGAAGGACCCACTGAGTCCAACTATTTGCCAGAGGAAGAAATATATATGTCAGGTCAGGGTATGAAAACTTTACTCCATTCTCAGCTCTCACATGAAACCTGCTGACATGTGATCTCTGTAGGATCAGAAAAGTCTGTTTCACTTATAATTGCCAATAAAAGTCAAGCTGCTCATAAAAAGGAATTAAGCAATCAATATTCAGTGCTTTACATGAACAGAATCTTATTCAGTATGACACACAGCTAAAGCATCTCTGATAGGTGGCCATCTAGTCTTTTTCATTAAGTGATGTAGGATTTCAGTGAACAACACAAGCAGACATGATGAACACGTAAGTTCTATTTGCATCTGGGTACTAGTAGCATCTAAGATATTTTGCAAGATTAATTTCAGAATATACGTTTTTTTTTTCATTAAGACAAAAAGAAGTTCAAAGCATCCATACAACCCATGCAAAACCATGGACAAAACAGTTCTGGTGAGGTCTGCTCAGTTCCAACACTCTTTGGGGTTAGGTTTAGAGTTACTCAAAGGCAGTGGGTGAAACCAGACTAAGGCTGTTGCTCTCAAATCCAGTCTTAGAAGGTTAGAGCCTGGTTCTACCATTAGGCAAAATGAAGCAGCTACCTCTTGTGGCTCTTGTTGGGAACTAGAAGCAACTGTAAGTTTTTTTCCAAAACAAAGTGATGTGTCATCTGTCTTAGCCAGCATCTCCCAGAATTAGCCTGACCTGGGGTAGAGGGTGCTGTTCCGCTGCTAGTGCTGAAGTAAGACCAGTTCAGTAAGTTTTCCTACATGGCATGGGTACATGTGCCTTCTTGCCATTCATTTTAAGCAACAAAAGGTCTCACGTTTCTCCATCTTAATGCGATTAGGTAGAAAATTGGAGCGAATGAACCAGAAGAGGAACAGAAGAGGTTTATCTTTTACAATTGATGTTAAACACAATCAGATCAGTCTCTTTGTTGTCTCCCAAAACAGTAGCTGATGCTGAAAATCTCTATTCATTTCTCCACCAGCACTTCCTTTCTGAGTGCTGTACATTTTGGAAGCTCACTGGTTTAGACCATATCCCATAGGCCAATGAGTGGACTATCAATTGTTTTGAAGGAAAAAATGGATAAAAAGAAATAAAAATCATGGACTGATTAAACAACCTTTTGCATTATGTCCGCTTTTTCCATATTTTATTTACAGTATTGGCTTTGAAGCATCTTTCTCCCCTCTTTCCTCCAGAAGTTCTAAAGTCAGCCAATAATTCAATTTTAATCAATTAAAAAAATAAAATAAGAATGATGCTACAAGAATGAGTAAAAGAATCAGTTTAACCAAATTCAAAGGATTAAAAACAGCACAGGTTAAGTAATAAAAACAATTAATACATGAACTCTGGAAAAAGAAGTCATTTTCATGCTATGCTATGCTATGCTATGCTATGCTATGCTATGCTATGCTATGCTATGCTAACCAGCCATTGTCACTTTGTCCTTATATAACATGGAGCCATGAATAAATGATTGTCACTCTTATGTCTGATGAAGTGGACTTGATCCGTGAAAGCTAGCATTAAAATATGGCAGTTAGTCTTTAAAGTGCCATAATGTTTTTGTCTCTCTTTATTTTAATTGGTTTTTTTTTCTTATCTGATATCCGTTATTTTTTTCACCAGTATTTTGTTCTTATAGAAAGCTGACTGGAAATATTTGCTTCTCAGACACTGTTTTAGATTCTCAACCTAACAAACTAATGGAAACAGCAGACCAAGCTCTGTCTCTGGTGGATACTGGATTTTTTATCAACACAAGCTATCCTCCCCTTTTGAGGCCTGAGAGGAAAGTGGATGTTATACTGCATTTAAATTACTCTGGGGGTTCCCAGACCAAGGTGAGATCCTTCAATTTATCTCAACACCTCCTCCCTTGTTAGCTCTAGTGATGCCATGTGATATTCGAAGATTTCAAAAGGTTTACATTTTGCTTGCTTTGCATAGATTAATGTGAATAATTTTTATCAGTTGCTCTATTCAGCTTTATGTATTTTTTTGGCATCGATAACTGCAATTATATACTGTCAGGTTGATCTTTCCCAGGAGTTTCTGGATGTAAAGTTCCCAGAAGGGGTTTGCCAGTCCCAGTGCTCTGTGCCCCTGCATCCTGGCCAGGGCTGTATGAACTGGCTCTTCTCCCAGGAACTACCAAGTGGAATCGAACTTGCTCTAAACTGTTCAGCTATCCAACTTGCTTGAAGAGCACAGATGTTTTTAGAAGGAAAAGACAAGCAACACGCAGCATATGGTTCCCATTTTCTCCCTTAAGCTCCTGTTGTTGAATGTGGTATAAAAGACTTTTTCCCCTGTTGAAATGGAAGGGTGGTTGAGTTTTGACATTGATGAACACAATGAACACAATGATTTCAACCATGTAGAAACTCTAGTAAGGTCTGGAGAAGGAATTTCACTCACTGACCCCTGAGTAGTTCAGCTATGAAGACTTGGACAGTTAATTGGAATATGGCTACATGACTTTTCGTAGGGAAGTAAACCCTCATCTGCCTCATCCTCCAACCCAGTGAGCTATATCAGCAGTATAAAATACACTAGGCTTAATTGAAATACACTGTATTTATGTTTGTTGGTACATCAGTTGTTTTATCTTGTCTTTGATTTTTTATATTTTGCTTTGGATGATTTGTTTATTCAGAATCTGGACCAGTTTTTAGCATATGTCTCTCAGCAAGGAATCCCATTTCCCAAAATAGAGATCAGTGAGGAAGACAGGAAAAACCTGAAGGAGTGCTACATGTTTGAAGACAGAGATAATGCCTCAGCACCTATAGTGCTCTTTTTCCCACTGACAAATGATACCTTCAGAAAATATGAATCACCTGGTATGTTATGAAAAGCTGTTTATTTTTCTAACATTAGAATGAATATTCGGGTAGCAAGAATTGTATGGCCTATCTAGTCCGCTTAAACATTCCTTTGCCGAAGTTAGCCGAGAAATGCCCTGAAACAAGGGTTGATGGTTCAGGAGCTGAGTGTGAGCACATGGTAAATTAGTTGCGAAGTGGCTTCACTAGGCAGCTAGTTTCTTGTTTTACAGTGTTATTGTTGCCCAAGTTCCACATGCTTTTGTGGTAAATGTAATGAAATGGCCAAATGTGTCATCAAACTGGAACTTGCGACCATGGTGAAGCATTAACGTATCAATGCCACAAGACATTGTCGATCATAAAACAAATACTTTCCTGTGACACAAACTGGTGATGCTAATTACTTGCTCAAGCGTTTAAATATAAGGCAGAGGGGAGGACTGACCTCTTTTCAATTTACTGTTCTCTCTTATCCTTTCACAAGTACTCTTTCTTCTCTGCCTCCTGCCTCCCTCACACACACCTAGGAATGTGCCAATGGTTCCCTGTGTCCACATCACTTCAGATGGTCCAACAAGCCTTATTGATCCCTAGCATTTCCTCCACAACCCTCCCTTCTTCAGCTCCAATCTTCCTTTTCCCACACGTTGAGTTACCTCTAAACCAGCTCTGGTTTTCCTACTTCTGCCTCCCTCTCTGCTAAGTCACTCAGCTGTGGTCCAGAGCTACTAACAAAATGAAGTGGGCAAACTAGACCAATGATACCTTTACATTTGTGTGAGTGGGCTGATCACATTGGATGAAACCCTAGATTAAAGCATTGAACTGTTGTTATTTTTCACAGGTGTGGAACGCAGCCCCACAGATGTGGAGGAAGGCAATGTAGATGTCTCCAGTTTTCTTTCCCCATTTACTACAAGGGAAGTATCATTTTCCGAGGAGAATTTTGACAGACTGGTGAAACTGACTGAATACAACATCCTAAACAATGAGAACAAGATCCTTGAAGCCTTGCGTGTGGCTGTAGAGCGGAGAAAATGGCAGAAGTCATAAGCCCCAGGGTTGCTGATGTTTGGCTACTGTCTGAAACATACTTACTGAAGCCCACTTACTAGTGTGGAAGCCCTCTTAAACACAGTGAGATATATGTTCAGATAAACACTTGTAATTCTGCTGTTAAGAATTATATATATTTAATCTGCAGTTCTGAACTATTTCTCTCTGTTCTGGTTTAATTATGGGATTGAGTTTGCAGGCATAATTCTGTTTGTTGTACAGATTTGGTCTCACGTTCCTTTTTTTAAAACAAATACAATGAAAAAGAAAATGTGGAGTTGTCTTTTCCTTTTCCTTTGGATGCCATGCATAACAAATTAATAACAAAGTGCCAGATAAATCGTTGCATGTCAGAAAATGTCTGAGAATCACTCATGATGACCAGTAGTGTGTGTTGTTGAAGAAAGAGGTCAGTGTGCAAGATTATTAAAGTTGAAGGCTTCTGATTCAGGAAACTGTGCTGTGTTGTTTTGTTTTGTTAGGAATTTGGAATTAAAAATGTGAATTCTTTTTTCTAATAAAAATGTATTTGCAAATATGCATAGTACTACACATCCAACAAATCACAATATTGCCATACTTTTTTTTTGGAGGGGGAACCCCTCACTCACTCACACACAAGTTTATCTTTGAAAGTCCAAAACTTTATATCACCAGTATTATTGATAAATCGTAACATCAAATTTCAATTCTTCAACCTTAACTTTGCCAAATACCCAAGTACATCATGAGTGGCTTCACCCTTGGGTTAGCACTCCTGTTTACAAACTGAATAGAAACCATCAACATATTTATACACTTGCCAGTGTATGATGGATTCCTGCCTACTCTTATTTCACTTGTTAACTTTTCAGCGAGGGCTAACTTCTATACTCTTTTGTGTGTGTATGTTCTGTACCCTTGAGTTGGAACCGACATATAGCGACCCTAATAGAGCTTTCAGGGTATGTGAGATGTTTAAGTGAGATATGGCCAAGTGGGAATTTGAATCCTGGTCTCTCAAGAGTCCTAATTCATTACTCTATCCACTACATGACACTGGGCATCCACACTCTTTTGCGCCAACCATTAATAGACAATGGATGAGCTTCAAATGAAATACTTCATTCCTGAAGATTTGGGACTCACAGTCCCTCTTCCTTAGATGGATTAAATAGTACTCTACAAGATAATCTCACCTTTTCTGCTGTCCTCTGAAGATGCCGGTCACAGAGACTGGCGAAACGTTAGGAAGAACAATCTTCAGAACACGGCCAAGGAGCCCAAAAAACCCACAACAACCATTCGCCTTTTCTCCTCTGAATTAAATTACAAAAAAGTTTTTACCATGTTGAAATACCATGTTTGCCATGGTCATCAAAATGATGGCAATACAAGGATGAAATAATCCTTTGCTTTTGTTATGATGAAACACCAGGTTGTTTTGTTATCCCAAACTGAAGAAAGTGTTAAATCAACTTCAATGGATATTACATTTATTACAGACTTTGAAGGGCCAAAGATAGGCTTTGTTGTGGAACATATTTAATAGAACTGGAATAAGAATGAGTCATTCTTTTAAATAATTGCACCCAATTTCTCTTCTGCCCCCTTAAAACAATCAATTGTTGAAGCATGGGGGTACTAGGGAGGTTGATAAATGTCCAGTGGGCTGTCTGATTAGTCTAGCTGAGGTAGAAAAAGAGGCAGAATCCTCAGTACAGCAAACCATAGACAATAACAAGACAGTTCATATAAAATATGAAGTGTCTTATTTGGTTTTAACCTCATCCTGGACTACTGATTACTGTACAATACAATACAGAGAACCAACTGGGTAATCAAAATACAACTCAGGGCATTAGTAAAAAAGGGTTCTGTAACAGTAGACACTTCTCAAATCAAAGGATGTAACATACGATTTTAAAACGATAGGTGATCTGAAGTTTTATTGTTTAAATGTTATGGGCTTAGGATCACCTATTAAGAGAAATAGAATATACTGTAGTAACTTACATGATAAGAAGAGGGAAACCATGCATTACTTTTCTTTGGGAAACTCATCAAAGAAGATTATGTATGTATGTATGTATGTATGTATGTATGTATGTATGTATGTATGTATGTATGTATGTATGTATGTATGTATGTATGTATGTATGCATGCATGCATGCATGCATGCATGTATTCATTCATTCATTCATTCATTCCATGCACACATGCACATTACAGTCAAGAAGATTTGTCTCTTTCTCCTCTTTCCCCTTGAACATACAGTTGATTCTTAGAGGCCTTGGGGAGGAGAGACTTGGAAGAACTCAGGTGTAAAATATCCACCCACACTACCCAAAGGTGTCTGGGCAGCTTACAACATTTAAAATACAATAAAAATTCAACATTTAAAATACAATTAAAAATATATATAAAATTGCCACCGGACCCACAGCTAATATTATTTCAATTAAAAGCCTTCTGGAACAGGAAGGTTTTGGCCTGGCGTTGAGATGTCATCAGTGTCGGGGCCAGACAAATTTCAGTCGGGAGGGCATTCCATAGTCTCGGGGCAGCTGCTGAAAAGGCCCTTTGTCTACAAGCCGTCCCTCTTACCTCCTTACCATCTTTGGTATAACAAGCACCATGCATCTAGAGGTACAGTGGGGTCTTGACTTGAGAACTTAATCCGTATTGGAAGGCAGTTCTCAAGTCAAAACGTCTGTAAGTCAAGTCTCCATTGACCTACAGTGCATTGAAAACTGATTAATCCCGTAACAGGCTGTTTTTGTTCCATTTTGGGTTTTTTCTGGTCTGTAAGTCAAATCTCAGTCTGCAAGTCAAACCTAAATTTTGCGGCCAGAGAAGTCTGTAACTCAAAAAGTCTGTAAGTCAAGCTGTCTGTAAGTCAAGGGTCCACTGTACTTCAAAATCTTGAGCAGTGTCAATAATTTTGGCAACACCTTTACCTCTTATAGGTGGACATTTTCTGATTGATCTAATAGACCAATTTATTTTTGTTAAAGGTCTATTGTTGGAAGAACACATGAATGTGGATTTGGACATCATATTGTGGAGGCCTGGGAGGAACACAAGTCAGAAAGCTAGACAGAAATGTATTGTCTCCTACAAAAACAGAAGACAAAGGAAACCTGTGAAGACACCCAGACACAATGTATGCATTGTCATCTACTGACTAGATCATATCATGGCACAGTCCGTACAATTATATCTTTGGTCCAACTGGTTTTGCAGGCTTTTGAAACGCGTTGCAACGTCCATACCTCTGATAATAATAGGAGGAGTGGTCACATTGTAGAAGCTATACTTCTAATTCACTGCCTTCACCTCGCTGGAAAAGGCTATCTTGTCTCCAGCCTACAAGAAGCATGATGCATTTTTGCAGATAGGACACATTCCAGTCTTGCTGTACAATTTCATAACTCTTTTGACTCTGCTTTCCCTTTCAGGCTGAATTCTTAAAGATCATTACTTAACTAAAGCTTCTACATTTATATGTCCTAGAATTATGTTTCCATGTTCATTACCATATTCCCACAATTTACATAAGCCATAATATGCTTCGCCTTGATATCCCTGAATGAAATCATCAGTAATCTAATTACAGTACTGCCTGAGAGAAATTGTACCATTGCATTCTCCATGTGATCTCCAGCTACCTGCTCTGGAATGCATAAAGCAGGTAGGCCAGGTTGGATTATCTGAGAAGCATTATACTCACGCCTCTGTCTAATCCCACCTCTGACACTTAGGTAGATTTCCTAGGTGATCCTGCTCTTGCTATGTGGGTTTACATTCTTCTGTTATCAGAATGATGTGGGATGACGTTGAAAAAGGTGTGTGTGAGGAGGAAATAACAAACATACCTCCTCTAAGGAGTCAGAAATCAAAACATTTTTCTTCTTTTAATTGTTCTTGAATGTTAAATATTCTCAACTTCTCCTCAGCTAGAAGTTGTCTTTACCAGTGTTCTGATTTGTCATTTAGACACAATGACAGGCAACTAGGACTGAACTAACATTGTCCAAATTCATGAGGGAATAGGAAGCCTGAGCTTTTGCCTATAGTTTTGGTAGTACTTGCCCTGAAAATGAAGAGCATTGATGATTTCTTTTTTCTTCTTCTCTAACATTTTTAAACAGTTTAGGAAAAATGGCTTTGTCTTGCTTGATTTCGATTCTTACCACAGGAACTGGCAAAATTTACTTTTCATAAGAATCTTCCAGTGCTATCCTTTCCATGACAGAAGCCACCAAATAGGAGTAGTTTATTTGCAGTTGTTAACCCAATCTTACATAATACTAAAGGATATAATACAAAAAAACCTTATAGAAATATATTAGTAAAAAGATACATGGTTTACATAATAAAACCACTTATTAATAGAGCACTATGTATGGCTTGCAGAACTAAAACCTCTGGCAATCATACATCTGCAGGTGAGCATAGGAGCATTACAGAATCTGACAACACAATTTGTGGTCTGTAATGACCTGTCTGAAAGAAGTAGCTTCACATAGAATTCAGTGGGCTGCCCTGGAAATTTGTGAATAACAGGATGAATAAACTCCTTACATAGTTCTTGAGAGAAAGGGCAGCATAGAAGGACATGGGTCACGGTTTCTACTTGGTTGCTTTTGCAAGGACATAAAAACTCTGAAAAGGGGATATTATGGAATTTCCCATCCAGGAGTTTGGAAGGGAACATACAGTGGGGTCTTGACTTAAGAACGGCTTGAGTTAAGAACATTTTGACTTAAGAACCACTCTCATAGGAAAATATTGACTTGACTTAAGTACTTAGATTTGAGTTAAGAACTAAAAAAAACCCACGTGGGAGGCAGGGAAAGTGCAAAATGTGAACTTTCAGTTAACTGTTGGCCAGTGAAAAGGGTGCCTGTCTGCTTCCTCACTCCTCCCAGCGTTTAGAGAGTGGATTGGGAGACAGTCTTCGGACTGCCTGGTACTGTACTGCCTGGACTGCTTTTTCCCTGCCTTCCCTGAACCTTTCTTGACCTAAGAAAAAAAGAAACAAAATATCCCCCTCTAGTGGTCGAAGGCAGAATAGCAGCATCCCATTAGTTTCTATGGACGGAAAAGAGCAGATACGGATCAAATGGTTTTCAATGCATTCCTATGGGAAATGCAGATTTGACCTGAGAACTTTTTGACTTGAGAACCGCCTTCCAATACGGATTAAGTTCTCAAGTCAAGACCCCACTGTATTTGAGATAATGTTTTCAAACCACTGGAAAGCAAATTTTAATTTAATGTTCAACCAAATTGGTAACAAGCGTTCTACTGTCTATTTTTTTCAAAGTATACATTTAGAAATTAAAATTGTGGGAAGAAAGTTCTCAAGTCAAGACCCCACTGTACTTAGTCTAGCTCATAAAAACTCATATTATCTTTGTGGACATTAGGCTAGAAAAATATGAAGATATTGTGAAAGCACTTTATGTAACTGCACTGTTCGTACCCATCTGGCTCACATGATCCTGAAGTTCTCTATCCCAAATACGTAAGCCACCAAAGAAATGAGAAGGGAAGTGGGAAGTTCTCTACATTTACACCCTTTGAGAGCACTTACAACTTAGTGGAGTCTACTGGGATATGGGACAACAACTTTGCAGTTGTACAGAGTTTCTGCATTGGTAATTGTCCAGAACCAGAAGGTTTTACCAGGTTCCGTTGTAATTATATTTGGAAGAAATTTCCTGAATGGCTCACTAAAATTATCAATAGCCATAGGATACAAAGTTCTATATGCTTAAAAGTTATGGTAAAGTATATGATCTAGTATGTAGCCCTCTTTATTATTCAACAGCATAACTTAAATTCCCAGCCTTCTCTCCCACTATACAGTAAATCCTTGACTCTCCAAGCCAGTGTATCACACATTGACTGGTGGATGTTGGGAGTTATTGTTCATAAAAAAAAACACAACAAAACTCCTGCATCCATGTTATTTCAAGTTCTACAAATACTTAGCAGAGATAGCTGTTAACTTTGCAGAGAATGACTTCAGCTCACAAATTGTTCTTATTCTGATCACTAATAACTAATGCTAGTGACATCAAATCAATTCAGATTTATAGTGACTCCTTTTGGGGTTTTCTAGATAGAGATTACTTAGAAATTCAGTAGTTTACCATTCCCGTCTTCTGAGGGCATCCTGGGACTGTGCATTTTTCCCAAGGCCACATAGGCTGGTTCTTCTCCTGGAGGCATAGTGTGGGACTAAAGTTCCAACCTCTGGCTCTGCATCCAGATAGCTAAGTCACATATTGCTTGAATATAGTTTGTATTGCATAATCTGAAAATACGTTTGACAAAAATAAATATATCTGGTTGCTTCACAACACTACACTACATGATAGGTAGCTGCAGTAGATCGGGAAGGCAAACGTAAAACTGAGTAACGTCTGGGTGCCCACTCAGACTAAGAATGTATTTTTAGCACCAGAGTTGTCACAAATGTTTTTGCCCACATATCTATTCATGTGCCCCTTGTTTAGGAGTCCTTAATGTCAACAGCCTAATTGAGGAGGGAGAAGGCCCTCTTTGGAAGCAAAGTCACTATTGTTAAAAACACAGGGAGCCGAAAAAACTTGCTGACCCACCACAGATAATTTGGTGATCCACCAATACATCCTGGACTAATTTCTCCCAATTCCTGTTCTAAAGATTAGAACTGAAGGCTGTAGAACTTGTTACCAAGACATAATAGTTGGTGCCTTTCTAGAGACAAGAGTAATGTATGATCTAGCTCTAAAATTCTTAAACAGCTCAATTGATTTGCTTCCTCTACATCAGTTTGCTTAATATGAAGACTCTCCTTTTCACACCAAATTATGGTTCTCTTACAATTGTAGCACATGTTTAAACAGTGTATAAGTGTATGGCGCTTTGTACATTTTTGCTATTAGTCTGTGCCAAAGCATGAGTGTTTTCCTGGTCTCCTGTTCATTGAACATGCATCTGTACTTCTATGGAACTTAATTGCTCTCAGCATAAGAAGTTTGATGAATGAGATTGCTTCATTTTTATGAAAATTAAATGAGGTGGAGCTGTGAGTCATATTGCAAAATACCTGCTCATCAACTCCCAAATTTAAAGACTTAAATCTCCTCCTTCCATTGCTGCCTGCTGGGAAACTCTTGGGATTTGTTAGACAAGAGCTGCTGCAATGGGGGTGTATGGAAGTAAACAAAAGGTAAGGACATGGGGGATTCTAAATAAACCTCTTTATTATTTGAATCTGGGCATTGCAGGAGAGATTTTGTTTTGTAATGATGCTTCAGTATGGAATTAAATTTGGATTCCCAGCCCCCCCAATATTGGGAACTTCATGGAACATTTCTTTTTAAACATTTGATGGACATTTATTAGTTATGCTTTTTTCTTCACCAACAAGTCAGGGCAAAAGAAGCTGTTAGATTCCTGTTGAATGCTCCACTAAATAAAAATTTGAAGGATTCTTTCAACTAGAGTGTCCACCTTCTGGCTGAAATAGCAAGTGTGAAAAAAATTGGGAAGGTAACTTAAAACCCTCGAGACAGTAATTTTCTCTCAGATTCAAAGCAGATTACATGACTTCGACAGGACTCCTACTTGAGGGCCAATGTTACTGGAAGATACATCCTGTCTCTTCAGTCGAAGGAGATTGCCACCATCACTAATGGTTTGCTAGCCCCTTCAGCTAACCTGGGAACATTATGGGACCAGAACAGACTCTACAGCTGGCTTATTGCTACCGGCACGAAATGTGTCCTAGGGAAGAACCTCCTTAGGAAAGTGGCCTGTATAGGAGGAATTTTGCATTGAAATGTTTGCAGTTACATTTAGAGGTTAAACAAACAGATGTGTTTTTGTACTTTTGTTTGACAATGATGAAAATGCAAACCCATCATGACACATACTGTAAGAGCTGTATTTTGTGCATGGTAAACCAAAGCAAGAAAATCCCACAGGGGTAGCCAACCATGGTAGCTTGTTGTAAATTAATAATCAGTCCAGTGAGCATCATGACACATAAGAGCTGCATTTTGTGCATGGTAAACCAAGGCAAGAAAATCCCGCAGGGGTAGCCAACCATGGTAACTTGTTGTAAATTAATAATCAGTCCAGTGACACCTTTAAGACAAATGGATCAGCGCATGAATTTTCATGGTGAATACATAGTCTGCTTGGTTAGACATATCTGGGGAAGTGGGCTGTGTGTCCACAAAAGCTCATAGTATAGATACATCTAAGTGGGAAGTTCTGTTAGTCTGCTCCCTCTCTGAAGACCTTCCTGTTTTAAGACCAGCTTCCTGTTACTAATCTATCCCATGGCAAAAACAAGGAGCATTGTGGCATCTTATAAATGTTTTATTTTGCATAAGCGTTCATGGATTGTAGCCCACCTTAACTACATTAAGCCATATTGAACTGGTTAGTTCTAAGGTGTCACAAGACAAATTGATTTTCTTAGTGGGATACAGTTCTTTGTTGTTTCAAGGCAAGAAAAAATATTTTTAAAATGGCAGGTCAGCATTGTAAAGCAAAATGATTACAAGCAGCACCTGGAAGAGTAATGCTTCATAAGTAACAGTAATCTTTTAATAGAGCCCTCTTTTCTTTTTAAGAAAAAGATGCCTTATTTTGGGGCACCACTTCAAAGCACAGAGCCTGCTATTCCTTAATCCTCTAATTCCCAAAGTGCTTAGAATGCAGAAGTCATTTCACTTCCAGAGTCTGCTCAGATTTTACTTTAAAAATTTGTACCAGATGCAGACTGAAGGCTTAGCAGTTTATTTCTGTGTCAGAACTGGTAAGTGCTAGATGAATCAGACATTAGCAGGTTCATATTTACCTCACAATTACAATTTGCATATTTATGAAGTCTACTTCCTTTTCATCTGGCCATAATTTGTCCTATGCTAGCAGTTTTTTTAAAATGTGCATTTGAAGTTGTAAATAAATTCTACATTTCAAAATATCTGCACATGACATGACACAGTCTATCCATTAACCATAGCATGTTTAGACAAGATGATTTTCTTCCTGAACATTCAAAAGGAGCACATTTTCACACCTCTCACATTTGCCCACAGCTATCCACTAATATGAAGATTCTAGAGTCAAAATTGCACCAAGCCTATATTTGAAAATTACACAAATTGAACATATTACATACATTATGCAGGTATGCAAATATTGGTGAAGAAAACAGTCTATGAAGTAGATTCCTCACATGTGCCTACTTCTTGTGCTGTTTAAAAATTACTTTGGTCGGCTTATGGCCATAGAAGAGAACAGAACCACAAATCACCCAGGTGAAGTCTCTCAAAACATTGGGAGCAGATCAGGTTCACTTAATCCAGGAGCACAACTAGATCCTTCACATTTATACATTATATTTTCTTGATGCTGTAGTCTAGCTTTCTGGCTGATGGCAAAAGTTGTTAAGCATATTCAGAAAGTGTGAATGTAGCTATGCAAGAAGTTTATCAGTACTCACTTGCAGTCCAGACTCATATGGAAATGGAACACATTCATACACCATAAAGAAGTGAGTACTGGTGCTGGGTGTTACCAGCATTCAGATCATCGATATCATACCTCCATAGATGTGTCATAATAAATAACTTCCACAGCCATAACTACTATGTGACACTTTATGGACAATAAGAAAGGGGACTCTATTGCCATGCAACTTAAAAAACAACAACACACGCACAAAAAACTAGATCTCCCCTAGCTTGTGTCACCACCAGAAGTGTGAATATGCCTAGAAGATTTGAAAGAATGACACGTCCACTAGTCACCCCGGGTAATGCAAATGCTATTAATTCTGTGATAACGATTACTGTATTGGGCCATGGAACAACCAGTATTCCAGTAGTGTTGGTGAAGGTCAAGAAGGATTTGAGGCCATCCCCTTACAATTCCAGTGAGGGAAGCAACTCTACCAATGGAAAAACTGCATTGGATTTCACCCTGACTTCTACCAAAGGTTAAGTGCCCTATTCGTTATATTTGAGTAGTCCAGTATCAATGACCCATTTGTAGAAATCCAGAGGGCATTTCCATGAGTCCAGCACATTTGTTGGGATTATTTAGTGCAGGGCCAACCATTCAAAGAACCTTCAAAACTGATGCACAGAGCATTACTCTCTCTAGCACATGAGGACCATATCTCAGCCTCAAACTCCAAGGGGGAACAACTCAGCTGCTTTAGTAAACAGCCAATCAGTCCCAGTAGGTGGTATAAGTGCACTGATTTGTATTTTGGGGGGCTACAACTGACAAAATACATATATTCTGATGCATATAAGTAAATAAAAGTTGCTATATATATATGGCTGATGCATATAAATACATACCAACATTTTGTCATGTGTAGAGGTTTCTAGTGATACTCTCTCATAATATGGTCTAAAAGCCTTGCACACTCATGAGAATCCCATAGGAATTCCCCGTAAGTGACCCATTGTCATCTGATTTACAGAGGTACAGATTAAATATTTTATGATTATTAGAAAATACTTTGTTTAACTTTCATTGTCTAACTTGATTTCATCACTAGGCATGTGTTAATCAGCTTATGTATGCCAGGATGTTTGGGCTCCTGCCATAATAAATGACCCATTTAAGGTACTGGCCAAACAGCTCAGTGGGTTGGAGAGTGGGAGTCCAGGAAAGTTTGTGGAAAATCAAATGTATCAGGTTTTAAGGTGCTACTAGACCACGTCTTAAGGGACGTGGTGGTGCTGCGGGCTAAACCGCAGAAGCCTGTGCTGCAGGGTCAGAAGACCAGCAGTCGTAAGATCGAATCCACGTGACGGAGTGAGCTCCCGTCACTTGTCCCAGCTCCCGCCAACCTAGCGGTTCGAAAGCATGCAAATGCGAGTAGATAAATAGGGACCACCTCGGTGGGAAGGAAACAGCATTCCGTGTCTAGGTCGCACTGGCCATGTGACCACGGAAGATTGTCTTCGGACAAACGCTGGCTCTATGGCTTGGAAATGGGGATGAGCACCGCCCCCTAGAGTCGGACACGACTGGACAAAAATTGTCAAGGGGAACCTTTACCTGTGCTACTAGACTCTTTTTTGTTTTACTGCAATAGACTAATAAAGCTTTCCCTTGAAAACTTTGAAAAATGTTTTTATACATTTCAAAGTCAATGTCAAACCAATGTTGCAGGAGTTTTCTTGCCTTTAAAAATTCTGGCTTTTCCTTCGAGAGCCCAAGCCCAACAGCTTCTGTGGGCTACACTGTAGTACAAAATCAGATAATCTTGAGTACTTGGAAAAGTTAACTTTGTGCAGGATGATTTGTGAAATCAATTCTGACTTTTGGAAGTCTTTCCCAGGGTTTTCTAGGTATAAACTACTCAGAAGTGCTTTACCATTCTCTTCCTCTGGTGCTGGTGCTTTGGGACCATGCAACATGCCCAGGGCTGCACAGGCTGACTCTATTCTCAGAAGGAATGACAGGGAATTGAACTCATGACCCAGTGCTCTAACCCACTGATCCATGCCTTATGAAGTGACTTATCTAACCAGAGTAAATGCTTTTTTGGTGCATTGTACTGGCTCTATACGCCTTTAGGAGCAGGGTTTCTGTTTCCTCTGGTCTGGGTTTGCAATTGTATTTTTGCTTTTGCTTTTATATGTTGGTCCTGTGGAACTTCTGTGATTTATGGTAGACAATAAAGTCACCAAGATGCAATCTCTGCACCAGAAGCTAAAGGTTCACTCATTCCTTGTGGTTGCTCTTGTTCTGCAGGTAGAGTCTGCTCCTTGCAGCATCCTCACTGTCAAGATAATAAAAATCAAGAATCTCCGGAAGGCAGACCTTTGTAAGTATTGTTACACTTCCTAGAACCTCTCTTGTTCTGTGTGATGCCTCACATCATAAGGAACACATATACTGACATCATGGAAAGTTTCAAGCAGCATATATATAAACTAAAGTTAGCTCCAAGTAAGTTGAACATTCCATTTGCAAAGCCAGAATATTTTTGCCATATGGAATGACAGTAATGCATCTACTAGCTAATAGCCCAGCTAATAACATTTGGAAGTAATGCATTTATCTGACAGTTAACAAAATGAAACAGGAATTATTCATCCCCAGAGAACTGGGTAGTTATTAGTGCCTGTTATTAGGTAGTATTAACACAATGTTCAGTAATAACATGAGAACATAAGAGTTACCAGAGTAATGGTGGGAGAAATTGCAAGCAACAGAAAAATAGAACAAATATTTTGTGTATGATATCTGAGATGAATTGACTCAAGAAAGGGAGCCATGCCTTGAGTTTGCAGACCTGAGCAGGGCTAAAAGTAGGGCCTTCTAGTAATCACTGACTCATACGGTCATCACGGATCAGAAACAACTTGTGGCATGTAATAGAGATGGGCATGAACCACTGGTTTGTTATGGATCAGAAACAACTTGTGGCATGTAATAATGATGTCTAGAGATGGGCATGAACCACTGGTTTGTTTACCAGCCAAACAGGAATACACATTTCAGCTTACAACTGTTCTTCTTTCCTTCCTTCCTTCCTTCCTTCCTCTGGTCCCACCTCTGCTGACTCATTTATGTTTCACTGCCAAGCCACTGGGTTTTGAAAGGGTTGTGCAGTGTTCTGGATAAGGGATCAGCATTCCAACATTTTTGAAGTGCATAGAAATACCACCTATTACAGGAGCCTCTTATTTCGTATGGGTTGTTTCTGTTCTGTGCACAATTTTTAAAATTGCTTCCCTCATCTGGAAGTGATCTAGCACTAAACTAGTATATCAATCTAGTAATAAACTAATAAGCTGATTTAGCACTAATCTTATATATGTAAAAAGGAAAAAAATTCAGACCAGTGGGAGAAAAGAAGGTGGGGCAGGTATTTCTATGCTCTTCAGCATCATGCCCCTAATGCCTTCATCCCACCCACAGACACACACACCCCATCTTTACAAGAACAAATCAACTGATCTCATGTGAGAAAGTCTGTTGACATCTTCTGGCTTGAAAAAAGTAGAAGTAGAAGACAGAGAAGCCCCCAATGACAGAGGGGAAAAAGTTGGGAGCAAAAAGGACTGGACTAATTCGAATTGGTCTTTGCATTGTGTGATCAGAAAAGAAAAAAACATGCACTTTGTATTGACCCCTACAATAGCTGCAGTATTAGATTGTGTAGTCAAGGCCTTTGACATATTTGCACATGCTGTGGGAAGATAAATGCAAGAGAGGCTCATGGAACTAAAGAAGCCAGTACATCATGAATCATGATTTCTAGTAAGGCTCATTCTGACCTTTTTCTGTGCCTGGATGTGTATGTGTGTGTATTAATTTTAAAGCCAGTAAGGCAGAGTAGATGGAACTCTGTAACATGATGTTCATTAGTATCACATAATCCTAACACTGATCTACAAATTCTCTGTGTAAAGGAGACATTGATCCCAAAAAGTATTCAAAGCAGCACGTATTTCACCCATATAAATGCTGTGCTGTTTTACTTACTTACAGGAAGGACTCTGTGTCATGTCCATTGAAACATGTGACACAGCCATGTGCTAATTACTTAGCAAGATAAAAATGCTGCTGCCACCTAATAAGGGCAGCAGCTTGTGAGCAGGAGGCTAATGAAGAATCTTAGAGATCAGTTTCCGGAATCTGCCTTAATCCTAATGACAAGCTCATTATTTGCTTAGGGACCCCATGTAGTCTAGACAGCGCAAACCATGCCCACATAAGAGATATGTAAAGATTCCCATAAGCACAAACACAGAGAGAATTTTTTTAAAAAAATCACGAAGGAAGTAAGAAATACCCTAGAATAGTTGTTCTTAACCTTTTGCCCTTTGGCTTGTTTGGACTTCAGCCAACAAAAGCCTCAGCCAGCTTGGCTAAGGTAAGAGATTTGGGGAGTCAACATTCAAAAAGAGGTGGAGGACCAAAATTTGAGAACCACTACCTTAAAACAGCCTGAGGGAGAGAGGGAGTGAAATATCCTGGGAAAGGGCCCACCTGGCTGTCAGGTAGACTGAACAGAAATGTTGCACACATTTGTGTGGCATGTGGAACCCTCTTTCTATTTCAACAGCACCTGGATTCCAGGTAGTAGTTATTTCAATACCCAGCCTTGAGAGTTGGCATAAACCTTGCCACCATACGCAGCATTGGAATGGTGACTGAACAAAGACCTACTACTAGGCCGACACCAGCTTAGCTTTGTGGTGTTATCTGCGAACCTTTTCCTCCTGAATAATGGCAGCATCATCCCAGATCTCAATGAGATTTCAGTGAGACTGTGATGTGACAAGTTAGCATTGATGTCAGTCACAGGCAAGTTATGGCTTGTCAGTTGCTTAGAGCTGGAAGCATGTGATCAATATCCCCAGGTCATGTAAGGATGTAAGACAGTATTGTGGATGACAGGAAGATTTTGCATAAATTCAGTTGAAATTATACTTGTAGATGGAACATTTTTTTAAAAAAAGGATGTGACTCTCCCTTGTGTAGTAACAAGTTCCTTTTTTTTTAAAGGACGTGACTCTCCCTTGTGTAGTAACAAGTTCCCAATGCAAAAAAATGTGCAAAGTGGGAAGAACAAGGTGAGGATTTCAAGTGTGGGAAGTTATTATTGTAAACCTGTTCATCTAGCTAAGGGAACATCTCATGTTTTGAAATTGCTATTTAAAATACATGTGGCATTTGGAGACTTGCAGATAATTAATGTGTTGTGGTTGCCAGTGAAATGTGTACAATATGAAATGGCTCTTACCATACAGACATGCATTTAGGTGCTTTTTGTCACCTTTTTGCACAAAATCTCCATCCCTTTTGCAATGATGTGGGGGAGGTGCCATAGAAACGATACCCAAATGGCTTGTTTTGGTGGTGATGTGCTCTGAAACCACTTGCAACTTATGTTGACCTTTTGAATTAATGACCTTCAGGAAGTCCTACCATTAACAGCTCTGCTCATGTTTTGCATACTCAAGGTCATGGATTCCTTTATTGAGGCAATCCATCCCATATTGAATCTTCTTTCTCTGCTGTCTTCAACTTTTCCTACCATCATTTGCTTCTTCAGTAACTTCTAGCTTCTTCTGATATGTTCACATATATGTTCATAATAATACCCATGTGCCATCAAGTCAATTCTGACTTCTGGTGACCCTTTTCAGGATTTCCTAGGCAGAGAATACTAAGTAGTGATTTACCATTCCCTTTTTCTGAGGGCGCCCTAGGGCTGTGCAGCTCTCCCAAGGCTACATAGGATGGCTCTACTTGCAGGAGGCACAGCGGAGTATATAACTCTCAAACTTTGGCTCCTCAGACAGATACATAAACCACTGAGCTATCCATCCAGCAGAGTTATCGAACTCTCAAACTTTGGCTCCTCAGACAGATACATAAACCACTGAGCTATCCATCCAGCAGAGTAATAATTGTGTGCCATCAAGTCAATTTTGATTTTTGGCAACTAAACATGGGGACAAATAAAAAAAAGATCGTGATATTTGTCTAAAATAGCTGTTTTGTTAACTATTAATCCCTTCATGTTCATGGGTTCCAGAGATCCCCACAGATATGAAGGGATGAATATTTCCCAATTTTTATTTGTCCTCCATATGAAGAAAAAAAGCCATCCTGTGGCTTTTCCGGCTGATTGGCTGATTGGTGGGCCAATCAGCAGCAAGCCATCCTGTGGCTTTTCCAGCCGATTGGCTGATTGGTGGGCCAATCAGCAGCCACCCACCCCACAGCCACCCATCCCCACAGCCTACCCCACCCTCTTCCTCTCCCTACCTTACCGCCCCACTCCACCCCTTTACTGTAATCATCTCTGCTGCTGCTGAGGTCTCCATCAGGGAAAGGGAAACTGGCTGCCCATTACAAAGATGGTAGCAGCAGCTTCATTTAGGGTAGGGAAGCTGCAGCTGCCATCTTTGCAAAGGGCAGCCTGGATTCCCTTAAGGAATTGGGTTTTTTTTAGTAACACCTCCCACGAATCGACAAATACATTTGTTATTCATCGGTTCAGGGGGGCAATTTTTGACAACTCACAAAGCAGGATGACTCGCCAAAATAGCAACTCTTTCCAGGGTTTTATAGGTAGAGAATACGTTGAAATGGTTTATCATTCACTTCTTCTGTGGACACCCTGGGACTGTGCAGCTTGCCCATGACTACATAGGTTGACTCTAACAGCTGCCGATTAATGATATTATGTCTAGGCACAAATGCTTTACTATGTGATAGTAACAGCTTTCATTCTCAACTATTTGTAACCAACTCTTTCCAGGGCTTTATAGGTAGAGAATACGTTGAAATGGTTTATCATTCACTTCTTCTGTGGACACCCTGGGACTGTGCAGCTTGCCCATGACTACATAGGTTGACTCTAACAGCTGCCGATTAATGATATTATGTCTAGGCACAAATGCTTTACTATGTGATAGTAACAGCTTTCATTCTCAACTATTTGTAACAGTTTCAAATAGAATGGCAAAATGTTCCACAAGGGCTGCATAAAAAGGGCTTAAGCATGTTATATTGTTTGTTTGTGTGTACAAATACCTGTATATGTTTATTTATATGGATATCACACTGTTGATGGAAGTCCTTGTTGGGATGTGCCATACAAAGATTTTTAGATACTCACTGAAATGTAAAGATCTACATGTTTTCGGCTGTGGAAGGGTACCTGTCTATAACACAACTTTTATCCAGATGTAGCAATGAATGTAGTAATCACAAGAATCCCATCATCATATAATACATTCTGTAATAAATCTCAAAGTTATAAATGATAGAGTATCAGAAAGAAAACCATGCAACCATAAAGTCTTTTATTCTGCATCTGTAACTAGAAAGAGATTACTAAAAGAAAAAGAAAAAACACCACTTAGCTATCTAGACAGCAAGAAGAAAGGTCTATCATGTCTCCAAATTTTATATACACTTGAAAAAAAGCCCACCCAAAATCAAAACAAAAAAACTTTACAGCAATTTTGGTCTTCCAATGAGTGTCAATGAGAAAGCTGGCAATCTGGATGTACTAATTGGTTCAAATCTAGGTTACAAATTAAATTGCATGGAACCTGAATCACCAGAGACCAAACTGGGATCCATCACAAAGTGCTAAACATTGTCTCTGAAATAAATCAGGAGCCCTGTGTACAGCCCTGTTTTGCATACCTATAGCATGATGGTCTATTTTTATCCAGTATCATTATCATTAGAAGTGATTAATATAGGTGTAACTATATAAATGATAAACATGTCATCTTGAATCATGTTGGTAATGATTAGAATGTTGGACTGTAACTCAAGAGATTTAAAACAAAATCTTCACTTCTCTGTTGAGAGGAAGCACTCTTAAAACACACAACAAAATTTCCCAGAGTTCTCATATTGGCATTAACAAAATTTGAACAAAATAGTCCCATGTTAGTGTTGATTGTTGCTTTGGATAAGAATCTGAAGCACTGGATGGGTTATTTGGTTCTTTTTGAATAATCAGCTGGCACTTCTGTGCTTGGTGTATAATTTTGTGTTTTACTTCTGAAATGGGATGCATATCAGGGGTATTTTATACAAACTGTGGAGACTGAGTAGAAAAGAAAAGAGTTCCTTGTCTCATTTTTGGCTGGAGGTGAGAAATATGGCAGTGGTTGCTTGAAGAATTGTCATCAAAATATTTCATCAGGCGAAGACTATGCAAATTGATGAAAACGAGGAATTTAAACAGTATTCTTTCCATCCCTGGCTGGCAGAAAGTCATGCCAGCCAGCAGAGGAGACTTCTGCCAAATCTTTATTCCTACAGCCATCATATCTTTGAGTTTGATTGCACTGCTTTTAAAGAAACAATTAAGGTTAGGTTTAGCATCAGACAGAGTGATTTGCCTGCCTCAGGCAGGTACTACTGGGGTTCATGAACAAGTAGGAAATAGTTAACTATTTAATTTGCTGTTATTGCATTTTTACTAGAAGGAAGTGGTGCTTGAAGACTTTTTTTGTGTGTGGCTCTGCTTCAGAATCATCTCATCTTCCCTTGCCTTGGACATTATACACCTTCATCACACTGTTTGCTGTTTTACCTCAGAGAGAAAAATGTCTCCATTCACTTCTTATCCTTTTTCCTTTATCTCCTCTAATTCTAACTGTCCTCCTTCCTGAAGCCCATCCCAAATAAGTTTTGGCCAAATGACAGATGAAATAAAAAGATACAGTATAAGCCTAGACAATGTTTTACCTCAGAGAGAAAAATGTCTCCATTCACTCCTTATCCTTTTTTCTTTACCTCCTCTGATTCTAACTGTCCTTCCTGAAGCCCATCCCAAATAAGCTTTGGCCAAATGACAGATGAAATGAAAACATACAGTATAAGCCTAGACAATGTTTTACTGTCCGTAGCAATAAAAAGTGCTGCTCATCATAACTGTTGAATGGTTATGGCACATGGCTATATAACCACTAAATAATCTCTTTTGGAATAGTTACCCAGTCTGATTGCTATGTGACTTTATGGCTGCCAACTGCTTCAATGAAAAGAACCAAGACTCAGACTGTGAATGACACCAAAGATCCAGTGTGGAATGAAAGTTTTCACTTCCGGATTCAAAACCAAGTAAAGGTAAGGTGACCACACTCAACACAAATCACTAGATCTTTCTTAAGTGGTGCTGGTTAGTCAGTCACAAGTGGGAGCTGTGTAGCTGTTGCCAGAAATTTAAAAAAATAGCCAGTCTTTTCTATGGTTTAACGCTGAATCTCTCCTCCTCTCCCCTTGCAACCTCTTGGAATCCATCTAAATGATAGTATAAAGAGGCAAAATGAACATGAAATACTTCTATACTAACCTCTTTGGGGCACGTTTGACCAATTTGTGCGTAGTTGTGGATGGTTAAGATTCCTGTTGCTGAAAGTCTTATTTCTGCTTCCTGCATTGCTTCAACTCAGAAGCTGAGTGGAAAAAAAAGAAAACAAGAAATCTTGATGTCCAATGAGCAATAACCGGCCAGAGTCATGCACTCTTATTTTCTTCCTGCAGTATTAAAGTACTAATACGGTATTACCACAGTACATGAAACTTTGACTTTTCAGATAATTTTGGACTGTAGATCCCAAAGCCTGTCACTGTTAGCTTTGGACGCTGGATGCTTCTGGGAGTTGAAATCAATAAACTTCTAGAGGAACAGAAGTTCCCTCCCCCTGTGACAGGACATATGTGACACATAAGTCATTGAGATTCTGCCTCCCTTACTGTTTCCCAATAAAGTACTGTATTCTTTTAATAAGTATAAACAGGTCACATGGTCTCTGATGCCCATTACATGCGTCTATTAGGCCATCGTTTTTAGTCTCGCACAAAGCAATTATCAACAATGTTCTTGTTTATTTCCTTGAACATTAAGGTTAATAGTAGAGATGTGCACTAACACCAGGATTCAGATTTGGAATTACAGCCCTTTGGATTCAGAATATGGAATTTTTAAAATTCAGAATTTCTGATTATCTCGAACTCTGTTACAGTTAATATGAATACTATATAGTCATTGTTTCCCCCTTTTAAAAAACACTACCAGGCAAAACATTTTAAAAGGATTTTCCCTCTGACACCCTCCCAATGATGGTGGTCAAACAAAAAGAGTGCCCACCAACAGCCAGCAATGCCTAGGTATTAGGAAATGACTTTAATGGGCATACTGCCTGAACTCTGAACAGTTGCAATGCCAGCAGGAAATGCCAGCAGCATTGGGGAAACAGAGGACAGGCTGACTGGCCAGTGGGCAAACACCCTGGACAGCAACGGGAGATCTGAAGCAGCACATAGCCTGTGGTGGATGAGAAGTGTGCCAGCCTCATGGGGCACATCACAGTTGTGCGAGTGAGCACAATCTTGGAGTAGCAGTTGGGAGAATGAAAGAGGCAGAAGGAGGGGGCGGAAGACATGAATTATGGCATACCTAGTGCTGTGAGCAGAGTGTGCTGTTCTCTCTTACTTAAAGGGGACTTCAGGGAAGCCCAGCCAGCAATCTTAAGGGAAACATAAAAATTTCAACAAATCCACATTCCAAGTTTGAGCAGTGTGGAATGACAATGTCCCCTGCCTGAGAGAGCACACACTCTTTCACTCTTGTTAGAGAGAGACAGGCGTGTTTTGCATCTTGGCTGCTTCAGATGTCCCTTGTAAAATGGGCCACGTGTGCTCTGGCTACCTGCCACTTTACAAGTTGCCTGACAGCCCAATATAAATCTGGCACCACCTTGTGGCTAAAGGTCATTCAGGATGGCAATTGATATGGGATGCCAGTTTTGCCACAGACCTACTTCTGGTGTCATTTAATTTCAGAACTACTGTATCCAAATAGGACATTATTCAATGAATTCTGAATAATTCCAAATCTGATTGCACATCCAAAGTTAATGGAGAAGTTGTAGCACCAGAACTAATTGCATGCTTAGGAGCAAGAAGTGAACACCTAGCTACCCACTAGATTGCTAATGTCATGCTTAAGAATCTATACATGATCCTAATCACTGGCTCTACCCAAAGTTACTGAACTTTTAAACCAATGTTTGATGTAAGAGGAAAATCCACACAAAGATTTGATGCAAACTCATGCATTTACCTATTTACTTCAGTAGGACTTATTTCTCAGTCAATGGGTATTGCTGCCTTGGTGATAGTTCCTATAGAAGCCTAGTAGTGCCTTGATTGCATTTAAAGAAATCACAATTAATGTATATTATTATTTTAGTAAAACCAATATTCAGCTAACCGCATCAATTTTAATTATTGTAAGCCGCCCAGAGACCTCTGGGTATAGTGGGCGGCATATAAATTTGATGATGATGATGATGATGATGATGATGATGATGATGATGATGATGATGATGATGATGATGATGATGATGATAATAATAATAATAATAATAATAATAATAATAATAATAATAATAATCTGATATGTCTTCATATTTTATAGAGAAAATTGAAATAACGATTGGAAATGCATATTGATTTCAGACTTCAGTGAAAGTAGGCCTGAATCTATCCTATTAATCAGAAATGTGTGATACCGAAATGCTAAGTGGATGCCTCCCTTACTGTTTCCCAGTAAATTGTGTGTATTAGAATATGCCGTTAGCAAGCAAAATTGAGCAAAAGGAATGTTCAGTCTTCTGTTGTACAAAGAAAGAGGCGACAAGACAAAATGGTTCCTTATGGGGTGGCTGGATGCAAACCAAGGGCCATGATTCTCATTCTAACCAAGTACTCCTTTTCCTTTGCCTTCCCTAGAACATTTTGGAACTTAAAGTCTGTGACGAAGACAAACAGACTGCAGATGATCATCTTCTCACTGTTTTCTTTGACGTATCTAAAATCCAACTTGGAGAAACAGTTTGCCTCAGCTTTCAGCTGAATCCAAAGGTCTGTACCAAAAATTAAAAGAAGTCTGTAACCTTGAAAATGAGAGACAGGGTTTTCTCAATTTTGAGTAAATTTGGCTTTAAGTAAGAGAATTTAAAGCTACACATTTGATCAAAATATCAGGGTCATGTAGAAAGAAGGAAGTTTGTTGGGGCTGTTGTTCTCTATGTGACAGAGAGAATATGGTTAGCATGCTCCTATCGTGTTTTTGTCTTTTTTAAAAAAGTTAAATTATAAATGCCTTGAGAGTGGGGAAAAAGAAGAAAATAAAGAAAGAAAAGGGGGAAAGGGATCCATTGCTTATGATAATAGGCTAGGTATTTACCATAACATATGCCAACCACCTGTTTGAAAAAATATTTACTTGGAGGTAGTGTGATAGAATAGACAATAGCACAAAGCTATAACAATGATGAGATCTTTTCACAATTTAATAGGGACACTGAGTATTTCTCTTTCCACTTGTGCGCAGTGAGTCTTACTTAACAGCTGCAGAGAGAGCACACTGGATTCAATCACGAGTCTTAATTAAGTTCCAAGTCACAGGAACATAGTTTAAAAATACATATGCACCAAATACTTTTCTAATACAAGATTAATATGTGGCAATACATCTGGCCGGAAAAGAGCCACAGCTGGATTTGTCTACATTATGTGCCAACATTGAGTTGATGTAGCTAATATCTTTCTAACTAGACACAGTAGTAGGTCTACGGAACTTCAGTTTTGTTCAACCACATGTAATTTTACTTTAACTACATAGCCGAATGCCTGAATGTGCCCATATACGTACATTGTTCTTGACACCTTACTTTCACAACAACCTTCCAACACGATAGGGCAATGCTATCACCTGTCTCTCGGAAGTCAGACGGCTCTCTTGACGCCCATGCACTTAGTGTGGATATTTATTTATTTATTTATTTGACTTATATACAGCCCCATAGCGCTACAAGCACTCTCCGGGCGGTTTACAATTTAATTATACTATTTATTTATTTATTTATTTAAATAATGCCCTGTATCATAGGATCTTGGGGGCAGGTGATAAAACAATTTTAAATTGTAAGACATTTAAAACTATTTAAAAGCAAACAACGTAAAACAAAAACATTGCACTAAAACCTGTGTAGGCCACAGTCCTCAACCCTCAAAGGCTCTGATAAATGTGTCTTAACGTGGCACCAAAATGATGCCTATATTGGCACCAATCGATCCTCCAAGGGGAGGGCATACCAAACCTGGGGAACTCCCTTGTCTCCACACAACAAACTATTCTTAATCATGAGGCACAGAAGAGCTTCCCTCTTCCATCAGATCTTAGTGATCAGGCAGGCTTATATAGGGATAGGTGCTCCTTCAAATATCCTGGTCTCAAGCCATTTAGGGCTTTATATGTCACTGTGAATACCATAGACTCAGTCCAGAAGCATATCGGCAAGGAACTCTCTGTACTTACCTAATCAGGGAGCTCTATGCACTTAGGTCTCTGTGCAAGCTCGAGAGTTTTGGTTGTAGATGCTTGCATTCAGAAGGATCTTCTGTCCAGACAGCCATACTCAAAACATGGATGTCAAACACAAAACCAGGATGCTGTGTGAACAGGAACATAGGATGCTGCCTTATATCATGTTGGTCCCTTTAGCCCACTACTGACTACTATGACTGGTAATATCTCTCCAGGGTTACAGACAGAATTCTTTCTGAGCCCCACATGGGAGATCTCTGGTATCATCCAAATATTCTTCCCTCTCTTGAAATGTATGAGAGTTTGTACACAGCAGTTCAAGTGTAGTATTAAAAAACCACATAGAGTATGAATAGTATTCTCCTTTGTGCGTGCTTGTGTGCGCAGTTGGAATAATAGTCACTCGGTCGTGGTAAAAACTTCAAGAACACTTACTATAAAACGCATACTGTACGTAGGATAAACTAACAGTGCTTGAAACATTTGGACTAATTACAGACCTGTGCCTGACAGACTTATAATGGTTTCATATTATCTTCCTTAATCAGACATTGTAACAGGCAAGCAGACTCCTAACAGGAGTACAGACATCTCTAATAGACAATTTCCAGACTATCTAACTAAAAAATAACAGCCTCTTCTTTTTATCAATTTGGCAGGTAACCCATTGGCTAATGGCAGACATAATCATACTGTATTGGTTACATACATTAAGTTATGTAAAGTACACAACTCTACCATTTTTGTATACACATAGATAAATGCTGAGTTGCACTTATATATTCCAACACCCTCCAAGTACTAACCAGAGTCAACCTTGCTTAGCTTAAAAATTAGATAAGTGTGCATGTTCAGGGCAGTGCGCACCTCTTGTCTAGAGGATGTGGCCGATGGCGCACCTGCACTGCCCTTTCAAAGTGTTGGAACACATTATTAGTATGTGACAGGGAATTATTTTTGGAAGGAATGCATGAACAAGTAATCACTTTAAGTCCTTTTGAAAAAAATTACAGGGTAAAGAGGAACTAGAAGTTGAGTTCACACTGGAGAGCAGGTAAGGACAACAATTAATAAAGTTATCATGCCAACAAAACACACATTGAGGCTCATAACATAGCATTTGCTAATCTTCTACATGATTTTTCAGATCTACTGCCTCATAAGTACTTTTTGATGGACATGAATTTCCTTCAATCACTGCCAATATTTATGTACTTTAGTAGAAGCACAGCTGTGTGTCCCATTCTTGTATACTGAGATTCGGCTTCCACTGAAAATAAATGGAAATGTAGTGGATTTCAAGGATCTGTATGTGTATCACAGTTATCACATGTATAAGAAACTTGTGGATTTGGGCAATTATATCTAAAGCAACAAGATAGCTACAAAATATGGACAGGGTGTAAATTTTGACTTGTCTTTGCTTCTCTCACCATTTCAGTCAAAGTTGAGAAATGTCAGAATTTTTCTTTTGTTGGAAAGTAGGGCAAAGAATTTTTTATGAGTTTTGACAATGTTCTCACATTGAAGAATGTGATGTTTTGCACAAAAAGTGTCTCTTTTTTGCACAAAATCAGCCTCTTCTGCAAAATTTCATAATTTGCAAATTGTGCAGAATATATACAAATTGCCCAAAGTTAAAATGGCTGCTAATTTCAGAATCTGAAGCACTAGCTGGCTTGCTTCCATCTTTTTTTAAACAACAGGGCAGTATTTTTTGTACTTTTGTGTATTTATACTTTTAATGAGACTTTTAATGTAAATTACAGAGACCCTTGAGGGGGAAATAGTTTTTTCCTGCTTTTTTTATGGGGAATTTTATGTGTGTGCATGTGTCGAAATAGTTCTTTTTCCTACTGTTGGCTGGAGGTGAGAAATCTGACAAGACTTCAGAATTCCTTGTCGAAGTGTTTCGTTGTGTTGAGATAGCCTTAATAAAAAATACAATATACCCAGTAAAGCATTCTTTCCATTCCCAGGTGCTTATCTGCATTGCAGTAAAGTAGGAAAGGCCAACTCATGGACCTTCAGAGGTGGTTGGACTACAAATTCCATCAGTCTTTACTGTGTTGCCTAAGGCTAGTGAGATTCATAGTCTGAAACATTTGGAGGCTTGGATTTTGCCCAATGTTATGAACAGCTGAGCTGGCTTGATAGCTCAATGGTTTAGGGATCTGGCTGCATAGCCAGATGTTGGGTGTTCGATTCCCTACTGTATATCTTGGGAGAAGAGCTACTCTGTGTGGCCTTGGGGAAGCTGCAGAGCCCACTGTTAGTAACAATGGGTGCAGAAGGACTGCAGAAGTGGGATTTTCACTCACCCCCAGTCCTTTGTCCCTCTAATGATCCTATTCAGACCAGGGGGAAGTGAAACCAATGTGGAGGATATATCAAGGGTCTCCTACCAACTCTCCTCAGACTGAAGAAGCTACTTGGATAAGTAGCGAAACGTTTTAACCTAATAAGAAAGAAGTTCAGTTGCCATGACTCAACTTTCAGATAACCTCACCTGGATGACTGAGACTCTTCACAGATTTATCACAAATGATTACATTTATTCACTTGCTTACTTATGTCCCCAGAAGAAGGCCAAAATAAACCACTTCTGAGTATTTTCTACCTGGAAACCCTGAAAATAGTCACCATAAGTCAAAATTGACTAGATGGCATATGATTATTATTATGATCAACAAAAGAAGCTCTAGCAAGAGACAGCTAGCACATGGGTTACCATACAAAGTCATGTCTGAGACCTTCGAAATAAGCCAGTCATGCATCTGAGTCCCCTGCCTGGTACTGATGTTGTTGGGGGTGAAAATGTACTACCCAATCTCTTTCTTAGTAACGTTGTTCCTGATCTTCATAGAATAATAGAGTAATGGAGATGGAACTGGCTTATAAGGACATTGAGTCCAACCCCCTGCTCATTGCAGGTATACAAATCCCAGGATATCTGTCTGGCTTTCTCTTGAATGTCTCCAGTGCTGGAGAACTTACCACCTCCTGAGGCACTTGATTCCATTGCTGTACTGTTACAACTGATAGGAAGTTTTTCCTGGTATTCAACCAAAATATGGCTTCCTTCCTCTGCATTTAGTTGTAGCAGGAGTATCTATGTTGTTGGTAAGGTTTGGAATTATTGACTGCTCCTCTTTTATAGCTCCCACATTTATCTGTGAAGATTCTCAGTCATCCAGGAGAGGATTCTCAGTCATCCAGATAACTAGGTGAGGTTATCTGGAAGTTGAGTCACAGCAACTGGACTTCTTTCTTATTAGGTTGAAACATTTTGCTATTTATCCAAGTAGCTTCTTCAGTCTGAGGAGAGTGAGCAGGAGCCTCTGATATATCCTCTGCATTGGCTTCACTTCCCCCTGGTCTGAATGGGTTTGTTGGATGGACAAAGGACTGGGGGTGAGGGATAATCCCACTTCTGCAGTCCTTCTTCACCCATTAGGCAGAGACTTGTCTACCCAAAAGACAGGACACCAAACACAACAGGAACAATATAGTAGATGCTGTCCAATACAAAGAAGAGTATTCAGAGTGCTACACTGGATAAACCAAACATCCACTAAACAGGAAAATGGCCCAGCACAGGAGGGGAAATGGCTCAGGACCACAATCTGCACTGTTCCTTCACTTGGAGGGCAAAGGACACTCATTTGATGACCAAGATGTACTCATTTTGGACGAGAAGAGGTCAGGGAGGCTATACATGTACATATAGAAAATCCCTCGCTCAGCAGGGGTGGAGGGCTTAGACACAATCTTTGTCCTATTTATCGTGCTACCCTTTCATCTGTCCCAAGAAAGATTAGGACCACACACACCAGAAAGACCACTGTTAGTAACAATGGGTGCAGAAGGACTGCAGAAGTGGGATTTTCACTCGCCTCCAGTCCTTTGTCCCTCTAATGATCCTATTCAGACCAGGGGGGCGTGAAACCAATGTGGATATATCAAGGGTCTCTTACCAACTCTCCTCAGATTGAAGAAGCTACTTGGATGAATAGTGACACATTTCAACCTAATAATAAAGTTCAGTTGTCATGACGCAGCTTCCAGATACTCTCACATTTGCGCATTCTTGAAAAGGAATACTTGAAAGTGTTTCTGACTTTCTTTGCCCTTTACAGAACAATGCCTTGTCATTTTGGCTTTTGTCCTGATCTTGGGTTTGCTCTCGTATTTTGTTTCTCTCCCTCTGAAAACAAGGCCTTGTAGAATGACTGAGAATCAAAGCTTGGAAAACTACTTTTTTGGTCTATGCTAACTGGGGATTCTGAGACTTAGTCCCAAAATGTGATTTTGTCAAGCCATGATAAAGATGGCTATATGTTAATACAGCAGCTCCAATTATGGTCCAACAAATTTTTGGTTGCATGAGAAGCTGCAAAAGATACAGCTGGGGACAAACAAAGTGAAAAAGAAAATAGATGTAAAGTACCATCTTTGCTGTGCAAACAGTTACTGACACATTATTGATGTTCTGATCTTTTCCTCTCTTTTCAGCCCGGATGTTCCAGAAAAGATTTTTACTAATGGCGTCTTGGTGGTAATTTTAATCTTTCATTATTGTTCCTGAACTACATACCTGGTAGAGCTAAGGTTCCTAAAACGAGGGTGCTCAGATCCTGACATTCCTCAAGTTACCTATGGCATGCTATGCTAAAGAAAACCTGGCCTGAAGCAAGCAGGTTTGGTTTCAGCTTCTGTACATTGCAGCATTCCCACAATCTGAGATTTCCACCAAGCGGTCACAATGAAGAATGCATTGCATCTGTCATTTTCATCACAGACCTCTATGCCAAGGACGCTGGGAAATCACAGATTCTATGACTAGTATTTGTAGTCCATTGAATATGCGGACTCCTACATGTACTGGCAAAATATATATGGGTGTAATTCCTCTTGTCTTAGTAGATGGCTTCACACCCAAATAAACCCCATCCTACTTGCTTCTCTGGAATTTGCTTCCTCAACAATGGCATCTAGTGTATTACTTTTTTGTGTGGGAAGGAATGTCAGCTGATAGACTAATTTCTCCATCAAGATAATCCTCTCTCTCTCTCTCTCTCTGTGTGTGTGTGTGTGTGTGTGTTTGTGTAAAACTGGTTTCCCCCTTTCTTAAGAGTCCATTTGTTTGTCCTAAGTTGCAAGGAACCAAAATATTCTTGTTAAAGCCTCACCTTTCTAGCTGCAGAGCATCTGCCTATATTCCACCAGTCGTTCTGGATTGTAATAGTAGACTGTAATAAAAGCAGAGTGCAAGGAATTTGGCTCAGTTAAGTAGATGAGCATCTTGTTGATCAACCTGAAAGAGCTCAAGCTGTTGTGGTTGCTCTAATTAACAAAATGGCCAGAAATGTCCATCCAGCCAGTGGAAGATAATGACAGAAGTGGAGAATCTTCACCGTTATGCCCCTAGAATTCCCAGTTGGACACTGATACGACTTGTTATTCCCTCCAAAAAGAAGGGTTTCTTTTTCCATAATGATGTCAGTTTCTCACTAGGAGCTGTATGACTTTTAATCATTTTCTCCTGTGCCAATATTTCTTGGCCTTGAGTAAGGGCTGGAGTGGTTGAAATGCTTGCCATGCCCTACAGAAAAGATAGATATTGGAGATTAATATATATTCATTATACCTAGAAGGAAGTTTAAATGTTCGTCATCAAATGTTCATTTTCTGAAGTGAAAGAAGCCGATATTAAATTAACCTGACCACACATCCTTTGACTCAGAAATCTTAACATTAATCTTAACATGTGGGAGCTGCTCCATAGTGTAGTAAGAGCATCTTCCCTAACCTATTTAAAGGCAACTGGTTTTTATCAATTTGCATCTTCGAGGGTGGCATTTTAGCACAGGAAACTGATTTAAAAGAAAGTCCTTCTCAGAACAACCATAAATTAAGGGCAACTTTATTTCCTTTGCAATGATTTCCTCCCATAACATTTTGCCTGCATTATGAAGTCCAGCTGAAGCATAAAATGTATGCTTATCATGCATTCCGTAATTTCTGATTATTTGTCTTGATTTGTTACAGTCTCGTGAAGTTGCCTGTATGGAAGTTCAAGTGGATGGAGGAAGAATTAAAACAGGTAGATAGTATGTGTTAAATAACATGGGGGGCAGAAGAGAACCCCCAAGGAACCCCGCAAACCCAAGGTCAAGGTGTTGAACATGAGTCCCACTGCAGAACCTTTGGGCAGCCCCCACCAGGAAGGACCAGAGTCACTGTAAAACCATCCTTCCCAATTCTGCCTGTGAGAAATGGATCAGAAAGATACCAAAGTCAAAGTTACTGAAAGGCTTTGAGAGGTCCAGCAGAACCAACACCTTCTATCTAGTTCTCAGTGTCAGTCATTCATCAGACCAACAAAATATATTCCCATCCTGCAACAAGTCCTGAATCTCGACTGAAATAGAACTAGTCTTTAAATCTCACTCAGGAACTCCTAGTGGTTAGAGCCACCATAGACTCATAGAATCATTGTAGGGTTGGAAGGGACCTTGGAGGTCTCTTCTAGTCCACCCCCTTGCCCAAGGCAGGAGACCTCATACCATCTCAGACCTCATATCATCCTGGACAGATGGCTGTCTAAACTTTTCTTGAAAACCTCCAGCAATGGGGCACCCACAACATCGGGAGGCAAGCTGTTCCACTGCCTAATGGTTCTCATTGTCAGGAAATTCCTCCTTATTTCCAGGTTGGATCTCCCTCTGACAAGTTTCCACCCATTGATTCTTGTCCTACCCTCAGGTACAATGGAGAATAAATCAATGCCCTCTTCCCTGTGGCAACCCTTCAGATATTGGGAGAGTGCTATCATGCCTTCCCCTCAGTCTTCTCTTCATTAAGCTAAACATTCCTAGTTCTTTTAGTCATTCTTCAATAGATGTAGCCTCCAGTCCCCTTATCATCTTTGTTGCTCTTCTCTGCACCCCTTCCAGGGGCTCTTTTTTGTACTGTGGTGACCAGAATTGGACACAGCACTCCAAGTGTAGCCTCACCACCACATGGTCTAGTACCTTATCTAGGAAGGTACACCTGGTGAAGGAGAATTATGATAGGTTACTGAAACTACACCCCCTGCTCCCCTACAGTCATCACCTGCTGTTGTATAGAGAAATAGGTGGACAAACATGTCCACCTAGATAGGGTGCTGTAATACTGGCCAAGTCCATGTACTAATCTAGAATCAAACCTGAAGTGGTTCCCCCTTTGGTTTTTTTAAATCCCCTTTGGCATTAGCTCAATCCAGGGGCAGTCCTGGACTGACAGGAATCCAGACTTTTATCACTCAGTCCCCAATAGTGATGTGAAGTCTTAGCTGGAATCTGAGGTGTCACAAGCCAGGGCTGGCAAATAGGTTTACTAGTCAAGCTGGAATCCCAGTGGTAAGGTCACAGGCAGTAAAGACAGAAAGCTGTCTGACTGGCCTACTTTCCCTCACCAGGCAGATTGCGTTCTGGAATTCCTTCTCTTTGTGTGGCATATAGATGGGTAGGTGTAAGATTTAATAAAACTGTGGAATGATAGTATGTCAGCAGTCCCAGTACTGTCGAAAATGAATCTTTGTTTGAAATGCTGGTACTCTAAAAGGATGTATAATGCATCACAAACACTGGTAGCCCTTTTGAAATATTCTGTGGATTTCGCAGAGTAATTCTATAGTATGGATTAATCATCATTTGACATTTAATTGTGGATTAAATGGAATTTACAGCTTTCAGTTGATCCATACCAAGGGTGGATAAAATGGGCTTCCACAATAGCCTTACCTCCCTCCCGCCAAATATTTGCATTTCTGCCCCAAAACATTTAGCTCAAAAGGTCTCACCTTATGCTCTTTAAGGGATATGGCTCTTTTCCACAAGTGAAAAATGTCATTCCATACACAGAAGAGCTACTCGGCATCCAAATTATGCAGGAAAAGTGTTCTATCACAAGTACTTTCATGGAATCATCTCTCTTTTTTTGGTATATTCTTCTCTGCCTCCCTTTTTGCCTTCCTCTAGAAAGAAAATTCACCCTATCTTTGGATGGATCCTATGAAGAAGCTCAGAACCTCACACTACGTACCTGGCTTTGCCGTGCGTCTCCAGCTAAATTCCACTATATCAAATATAACCAATCAGAACTTGGCATTGAACTGCCCAGAAGACAGCTATGCGTGGTACGTTATTTCTTGTCACTATAACAAGACTGCGGGAACTACATCATCCAATGAGTTGATGAATGAGAGAGGAAGCATAAGTAGCCAGCCACAGGCTGCTCTGAAATGAAAGCCACTAGGGGGCAGAGTAAGATTCAGAAGACATCAGAGCCTACAATAACCAAGTCTCATTTAGAAAAGTTGTGGTTTTGGACTACAAATTCCAGAAACGTTCCCAAGTTCTGATGAGAAAACTTCCTTGCTGTAAGAGTCACTCCAGTCTCTTACGCAACTTCTTACCCTTGTGGTTCACCAATAGAGGACAGCTGCACAGAGTTCTGGAATCTTCATTCTAGCCTCAGACATTCCTTTCAGGAAATGTAGACTGCTTTTTATAAAAAGTTATCTGAGAGTTCATTTTATTTTATTTTCAGGCTTCCCAAGAAAGAAATGAGTCAACAATTGTTCCCTTGAACTCACTTCCTTTACAAGAGAATGTGACTATACCACCGGTGAGAATCGACTGTTGAACAAAACAAAAACTGAAACAAACAGAAAAAACAAACAAACCCAAAAGGAAAAGCAAAAAATTGAATTCCTGGGGTAACATACAATGCCATTATTCATAGTAAAATTAGATTACTATTTTCTAAAATAATGTCTGTAATTGTCTGATTTATATCTATCCTTTGTATGCTAGTACTTCTACCATTACTCAGCAACATGTCAACATGTTTCCTTCTGCAAATTATTTTGTCAGCTCGGCTCATCATTATGGCTCAGGATGAGGCTGGAAAACATCAAATTGTGGTGCTGGGAATGATGGAAATACCTAGTTCACACTTACAGTGGTGCCTCGCTTGACGACATTAATCCGTTACAGCGAAATTGCTGTGGAGCGAAATCGTCGTCCAGTGAAATTAAAAAGCCCATTGAAATGCATTGAAAACCGTTCAATGCGTTCCAATGGACGAAATACCTGCTCGTCCCGCGAAGATCCTCCATAGGGCGGCCATTTTCTGCTCCCTGTATAGTGAGGAATCCGTCCCTAACACAGTGGGGAGTCATTTTGCATAGCGGGTGGCCATTTTGGAAACCCGACGATCAGCTGTTTTGATAGTCGTTAAGCGAAAAAACGGTTCCCGAAGCAGGGAACCAGTCATCATGAAGCGAAATTCCTCCATTTAAACATCGTTTTGCAATTGCCAAAACCTAATCGTTAAGCAATTTCCTCATCTAACGAGATAATTGTCAAGTGTAATTTATATTTGCTTGAACTGAATAAACATCTACAGTTGTGAATCCATGCTATCCCAGTCTGTGTCCAGTGCAAAGCAGATATATTGCCTATTGTGGCATCGGACTCAATTTCTGTGAGGCAGAGATTATGATTTCTTTCTTCCCTTTGTCTAAGATTAAGGGGTGTTAGGCCAGGAAGGGGAGCCTTTCATAGTCAAAAATTCCCGCTGGATCACTGGTGGCAGTGATCTGGTGTTGATTTTTTACTATTAAATGTTCACCCCCATTCTGGAGCTCTCAAAGGCTTCACCAGAGCCTCAGAACCTGGAAGTGGGCGATAAGAAGCCTTCCATTAAATCAATTTAATGATCCCCAGTGCCAGATCCTGTTTATGCCAGCATAACTGTACACAGCTGAGTCTTGTCCATTGGATTTGATCCATTAGGTGGCTCACAACATGCTGAGGGCTCTTCCAAATTTTTTGGAGTGTAGTACAGTATGTCCCTCTAGATCTACATGCTGCTCCTAGTTTGATTAGACCCAGTCTTACCAGAAAACAGAATAAAGTAGCCACCAGAAGTGACAGATGATGAGGAAGTGCTTGCTAGTGCTTGTCTAGTGTAGCGCCTTCCCAAGTATTGAAAATCAGTTGTCACTCTTGAATGGAGGGAGGCGCCCCTGTCTCCTTGGCAGGAGGCAATTAATTATCTTGCAACAGCACTAGGTTCCCTCTGTTCAGTTTCTAGAATACAGAAACTAATTTTCCTATATTTAGGAACATGGTAATTTCTGTGTCTTAATTACTTGTGTACTGGAATACATACATACACTTCATGTTATTTGAGGAAGTGTGATAAAAATGTGAAAAAAGTATCATTCCTTTTGAAATGCAAAGGAATAGAAGTTCAAATGGTGCAGCAGTTAAACTGCAGTATTGCAGTCAAGACTCTGCTTGCAATCTGAGTTCAATCCTGATGGATTCAGGTAGCCAGCTCAAGGTTGACTCAACCTTCCATCCTTTTGAGGTTGGTAAACCAAGCTGAGTACCCAGCTTGCTGATGGCGTGAAGGGGCAATGTGTAGCCTGCATAATTAAACTGTAAAGCACCCAGAGAATGCTTTAAGTGCTATGGTGTGGTATATAAGCAGCACACTTAATTGGTCCATGACACTGTTCATTGATACCTGTATTCTTGGTTTTTCTCCCTCAGAACAAAACATTTGATTTGAGTGTGAAGACAAAAGATTGGTAAGAAATCAATTTCTAAGCTCCATCGTTCATGTATGGTTCCTAGTGCCTCTCCCACCTAGCTCTGATCCATCCATCCTTTTTTCCTTTCCTTTTCTTTTTTTCAAAATCTGTCTTCCTTTTATTCATAATCCCATTGATCTTGGGTGCTTTTAATGTCAAGCGCTCACAACTAATGAATCATTGCTGACCATTTGTCAGGCATCCACAAATAGTTATTATGTATTTGTCTGAATATAATATGAAATAGTGATCATTCTTTTAAAGATGAATAGTCGAGCATGTTCTTTTCCTTGTCAGGGAAGAATGGAAGATGTAATTACATTTAGGAAATGAAGTTTCTCTCTTGTTAAACCACTTCAAGAAACTGGCAAATGAATCACTTTTTTGTCTCCATGGAAGGACTAAATGAAATTTATATATATACATTTTAAAATATATACAGTATTTGCTTTCCGCTAGTCTTTTAGGTCTTTAAAGTGATATCCCAAATCATTTCTGCATATATATAAAACACTAAAAGACTAGTGGAAAGCAAATGTGTATTTTGATAATAGGCAATTTGACAGCAGGCTGAGCTGCACAGTGCTAACACACCTTTTCCTTGGTGTTTTAGGTCTTTAAAGTGACACCACATATATTCACAGCTGTATTAAAAATACAGTTTAAAATATACATGGCACAGTGGTGAAATGGGTCAACTGCAGCCAAAACTATGTTTACAACCTGGGGTTCAATCCCAGGTAGCCGGCTCAAGGTTGACTCAGCCTTCTATCCTTCTGAGGTCGGTAAAATGAGTACACAGCTTACTGGGGGGGGGGCAATGTGTAGCCTGCATAATTATATTATAAACCACCCAGCGAGTGCTTTAAGTCCTATGGGGCGGTATATAAGCAGCACGCTTTGCTCTTTTTTCTTTTTCTTTTTTTGCTTTTACTTAAGCTACTTCTCTATATTGCCAAGTTGACAGTAGGCCGGTGTAGACCAAACAGGGTTGCTTGAAGTCCGTAGGCCATTTGGATAGAAGGGTGACTCAAAATGGCCAAGCAGACCTCCTGGTGGTCCTGTTTAGCCCTCTTCAGCCCACTCCTAATGGAACGTGTAGACAAGCCCTATGGAAGTGAAATCTCATTCTGTGCAGCCGTCTCAACAAGCTGGAATCTTACTTAACTACACAGGCATGTTTAAGAGTTGCCTGCACAGAATTGCAATGTGTCCTTTCTCTCAGTACTGAACCATGAAGGTTCCAGCATCCTATCCTACACACTATAGATATGCATAGAAATGTGTGTGTGTGTATGTATGTATATATATGTGTATATATATGTGTATATATATGTGTATATATATGTGTATATATATGTGTATATATATGTGTATATATATGTGTATATATATGTGTATATATATGTGTGTGTGTGTATCTGTATACACACACACACACAGAGAAGCAGTTGTCCTCTTCAGCCTATTACTCTTCAGTTGAAGATAGGGATGGCAAAATGGGGAGGAACAGGCCTATTTCTTTTCCTCATGTATTCATATATTTCCCTATCCTGAATGCCTAATTAGGTCTATGCAGAGATACAGAGATCCAGCTTTTTGTGTAAGCACAATTATTCCAGTTGGTTTTAAAGTCTTAAATCTCTGCTGTGTTGTATGAGTATTAACTAGGTTTGTTGACGGTTAACAAATCCCACATTTTGAGTGCTGCCAGATGCCTGTGTGCTGCTGTTCCTTTCCCTGCTTTGGACTACAATTTTGAGCCTTGTTAAAGAACCACCTATTCTGTTGGTTTTAAAAGCAACATGTTATTCAGTCTGAGGTGGGGAAAGAGGAATCCTGCCAGGCCTGTAGCTCGAGAGAGCTTGTGGGTACCTATAAATCCATATGCTGTTCTGACTTTTCACGGACATCCTGGCCATAGATTTCACCAGGACACATCGCCCTGTCTGGGTACCTATTTACGTCCTGTTAGAGGATGTGGTCCCAATTATGTTTTATGAGTAATGTTTAATCTATGCAATTTACTGCCTTGATATTTGTCATATCATGAACAACCTTGTCCATGGTAAGTAGTAGCAGTATAATTGTGATTTTCTGCCTCCAGTTTTACTCACCTAACTGCACAAAGTGTGCACTGAACCTCCAAGATGATAATCCGTGTATCCAATGACATGAATGATAATTCAAGAAATGTCATGCTGTTGTTTCTTAGTTTTAAAGGAGCCATACAACTCTTGCCATTTCTTTGCTAGGTGGCAGCCTAGCAATAAAGCAGCATGTAAAACTTGAGTGTGTACATTTCCCCTCGCTTTAGGACCCAGGGCCTGCTGTTTAAAAGGCCGAAAGATCTGGATGTACGTCTGAGTTATGACCTGTGCTTGGATGAACAGAATTTCCTGACAAAAAGGAAGAAAGTGGTGGCTGCTACATTGAAAAATCTTCTTCATTTAGGGGAAGGCCTGAAAGACCAGGAAGTAAGTGACACATAATGGAAATACAGTGGTGCCTCGCTAGACGATTACCTCACAAAACAGTTTATTCGCAAGACGATGAGTTTTTGCAATCCCTATAGCGCTTTGCAAGACGGTTTTCCCTATGGCCGATTTTTGCTGGACAATGTTTCAGTCCGTGCTTCGCAAGACTTTTTTTCAGGACCGTTTTTCGCAAGATGACGATTTTGACAGCTAGGCCTGTGACTCACAAAATGGTTTTTTAAGGGACCGATTTTCACAAGACAGCGATTTTGACAGCTGGTCCGTGCTTTACAAAACGGTTTTCCCTATGGGCAATTTTCCCAAGACGACGACTATTTTCCACATTGGAATGCATTAAATGGATTTCAATGCATTCCAATGGGGAACCGCATTTCGCAAGACAATGTTTTTGCACAAAAATGATTTTCGCGGAACGAATTAACATTGTCTTGCGAAACACCACTGTACCAGGAGAGCACAAATCCCTGCCAGATTTCTGTATCCATTTGGAGTTTGTCCAGTTGATCCAGAACTCTAAAAAGTCCTTGTTTTTGGCCTTTCTTGACCCTGTAATTTGAATACAACATTAATTATGTTTCTTTAATAAAAATAGATTTCAGAAATAAATGAAACCAAATAGCATAATAATGCTAGAAGTAGAAAAAGTTACTTTTTAAGGTTACAGCTCCCAGAGTGCTTCAGCAAGCATCAGCACAAAGCAACAAAGCTGCTCTTGAAAATTGATTTCTCATTATTTCAGAACTGAACAAGTTGCATAACTACATCAAGAGAAGCAGTTATAAATAAAATAAACATAAATATGCATAAGTAAGCAAGCATACAGCTTCACTTCCCAAACAAAAAGGAGTTGAAATTAAAATAGATTTATGGACTGCCTAACAGGGAGCAGGTGAAATGTATATTTTGAAGGGAGAAATTCTACAGATGGGAGGGGCACCTCCTGAAAGGCCATTTCCTATTTCCCTATTAACCAGTTAGTATCTATTTCAGAAACTTTCAACAAGGCTTATGCCTTATCTTAAGGCCTAGGCAGGCTCCCCTGAATGCACGTGGTCCATCAGGGAAGGCTTTGAGGTCTGCATCAGTGTGAATGTCCATGCACTTATAAATGGTTCATTTTCATACCTTGTCCCATATAACCAACATACATGCAAATACACAAATGTACAAGCGTCATTCATAGCAATGAATGGATTTTCAGAAAGAGTCAGTGACAGAATGTCTTTCATGTACTTGTTATTTCCTGAATTTAAAAAAAATATAGACACTTTGTTGGAATATGATGTGACACACAATCATTGCTCTCTCTCAAAGATTTAAAAAGTAGAAGTTGGGCTGTTGCCATCCCACAGTCACTCTTAGTTAAAAACAAAAAACAAAGAAACAAACCAAAAAAAACACACAAAAAAACAAGAAGTCCCCTAAAGTGGTTTTATTTTCTTAGCTTAAACCTGAAGTTCTCCAACTTGATCAGCAGTCTTTGTGGGCTTCTTTGTCACCTTGTCATCATGTTTTCCTGATAGCTGGCCATTTTGCTCTTTTGAACAGGTGCCTGTCGTTGCTGTGACAACCACAGGGGGTGGGATGAGAGCATTAGCAGCTATGTACGGCACTCTTTGGGGCCTCCAGAGAATGAAGCTTCTAGACTGTGTTTCATATATCACTGGTTCATCAGGTACAACATGGTAAGGAACAATGTTTTTATCTATGATTTACTTCTGATACTTCTATACAATGTTCAGTACTTTGTGCCTCAATGGAGTTTTCAAAGCTAGAATTTCCCCTGTTTATGGTCAATAGATCATGCAGATGGCAATTATAATTTCATTGCTTCCATAAACAACCCAACATATGGAAAACAGGTGGTGCCATTCAAACTCAAAGATAAAACCAGCTGCTATGGATTTTGAATGTGTAGAAAACTCGTGTCGACACAACTGCCACTGTGATGGTACAAATGAATCTGATGGCACAATAGTGATTATCAAGCAAAAGAGACAAGGAAGGAATAGAGAAGAGGAACAGTGGAGGAGAACTGCCTTACACTAGCACTAAACCCATTCAGCTCAGACTCATAGCTGCTCTGCTAGCGCAGAGTTAGTCCCAACTAATTTCCAAGATCCCAAGACTGGAAGAAGTTTAGATTCAGCACAGCTTCAATTGGCTTTTAGTGTCAGCTCACCAGACCCTCAGCCATCTTAGATAAGTTAAGGCTGTGCTCTAAACCAGCTCTATAGGAAATCTCAGGTGGCAGATCTTCTGTAGAATTTGGAACACTTCAAACAAAGGTTTGGGTGTTTGGCCGTGAAGTCAGAGTTTGGGAGTTCAGTTTCCTTCCCTGTGCCTCCCTGACAGGGGCTGGACTTGATGATCCACATGGTTCCTTCCAGCTCTGCAACTCAAAGATTATTATTATTATTATTAAAGGACAATTTCAGGGAAGGTCCTTCCAGCTCTGCAACTCAAAGATTACTGTATTATTATTAAAGGACAATTTCAGGGAAGGAAATGGAGGAAAATATTTACTTCAATATGATGTATAGAAAAAGTGTAATGTGATATCAAAGATACTGTTCTGTGGGCTAAGATCTGCCGCTAGACAAACTCCAAAAGGGCGAGAGAAGTTATGGAATGGAACCAGGTGATGCCAGCTTGAAAGCTCTTTTCTCCATTTACAATGCTGGCACAAGTTTGAATAAGACCGACAATAGTAATATATATAAATTCCAACGTCCATAATTGGTCATTTCAAGTGAGCCTTGGCTATACTGGCCAGTTATGTTTGCCTTCCTAATCAGTATATGCTTATAGCCAGCTTCTGTGACAACCAGCGCCTGCTATAACAAAAGTACATCGCCTTAAAAAGTAGATGGCAGCTGAGGAAAGGACCTTCAGTGGTTGTGAATGAAGCATGGAACGTGTCTCCATGGGGTCCAGTCCTAGGACAAACTTTTAAAAACATTTCTCAGGCCTTATACTTCAGTTCTGAGATTTAACTTGGCTGGGTTTATTATCTATTTCTGTTGCTCTTTCAGAAAAACAATTTTAATTTTTTAATTGTGCTTCAAAATAAGCCATTCTGGGCATGTTATTGAAGTGTTGTTGTTGTTTCATCATTAAGTCGTGTCTGACTCTTCGTGACTCTATGGACCAGAGCACGCCAGGCCCTCCTGTCTTCCACTGCCTCCCACACTTGGGTCAAATTCATGTTGGTATCTTCGATGACACTGTCCAACCATCTCGTCCTCTGTCGTTCCCTTCTCCTCTTGCCTTCACACTTTCCTAAAATCAGGGTCTATTGAAGTGTAGGGATGTCTATTTCTTAAGTAAATGAAACCAGAAATTTCATGGACAATGCGGCTACTCTCCATTATTTAGATGGATCTTCTTTATTACATCTTTTCTTTCCAGGACCATGACAGATTTGTACGAAGATGCTGATTGGTCATATAAAGATCTTGGGGAGATAATCAAGAAAGCTCGGAAGCAAGCCGCCAAATCTAAAATAAATGCCTTTTCCTTGGAAAGTCTCAAGGCATACCATAAAGAGCTGTGTCTGAGGACCATTGCAGGATACAAGACATCATTTATAGATCTTTGGGGACTCATGATTGAAGCCATGCTGAATGATGGGGTATCCTATATATGTGATTGTTTTCAGATGTATTATTTTCTTCTCCCTTCAAAATTTTCTGTGCCTCCAGTGTTTTTCATCTTTGCAATTTCTTTTGTTCATGAAGGCAAGGTGGGGCCTTCATTGACAAGACTCATTATCCTCTTCACTCTGTTGTCTTCCAATCTGTATTTCTGTTTATCTTTTGCAGCAGCAGCAATCTATTCCCATATTTATTGTAGAATATAGTCTTCCTGATCATCTTGGCTAATTTTCCATAGGGTTTTATTTTAAGATTACCATTTGTATATAGTATCACTGTGATATGAAAGATTTGACCACTGAGAATACAAGGAACATTTTGATAAGAGTAAACTGTAATTTTAGCACAATTAGTTTTGTCTTCTATTCTCAAGACAGCTCTTTTATGTTGAACACCCTAAAACAGGAGTGGGAAGCTTGTGATTCTCCAGATGATACTGGATTGAACCTTTCATCACCTCTAACCATCATGGCTAGTGATGAAGGATGGGGGAGAAGCCTGTGTGACACTGGCCTCTCAAATTTTGTGCTTTATGAAACCTAAACCTTTTCAAGACTACTGTGCACAAGGAAGAGGAGATTAACCCTTTCCCCCATACTGTTTTTTCAAAAACAGAAAATCAATCAGACCTTTATTGGCATAGACAAGACAACGTATAAAAGGAAAGTTAAAAGAGGAGTACAGTTTGCTGGTCTTTGTTGCACAGGATTGTAACATAGTGTAGAAAGGATGCTACACTCGCAGATACATCCTGTAAAGAGTCACTCAACATAAAATAAACTTTGTCAGCTTCAGAGAGGCCTGATTTGTTTTTTAAAATTGGTTCTGTCGTCAAGTCGTCTCCGACTCTTCGTAAAACAGAAAATCACCACCTGCAGCTGCTATTAATCCCAACAGGAGGGCTCTTTTCAGTGAGCTGTTTATCTAAGGACAAGCAGCAGGTTGATAGCAGAAAGTCAACCAGGAAAATGGCAAAGAGAGGAAAGGGTTAACTTCCTTGGATTCATGCACTGCCCTTCTGAGCCTCAATGAATTTCTCATGTGTTCTTTGTAACAAAGAAGTAAATGAAATGGTCAGTGTTAAGCATGGTTCAAAAAACAATAATTTGATTTTTGCCCTCTTTTGAGCTTAATTTGGAACTTAATTCAGAGACAGCTGACTGCTCCTGTACACAAACACACACACACACCTCTGTTAATCAGATGTATATTTTCCTTCCCCCCAAACTCCAGAGCAACAACCATAAACTCTCAGATCAGCGACGGGCAGTGAGCAGAGGTCAGAACCCTCTTCCTATCTATCTGGCTCTTAATGTTAAGGACAAGATCACCACAAGAAATTTCAGAGGTACTGTGCTTCCAAATCTTTTTATATTGAAAATGTTATTGCCTGTTTGGATACGGCAGCCTACTGCCATGTTCAAGTACCTACATCCCAATTCTGATATAAAGGAAGGTCAAGCCTGGGAACAGCAGTTTTATTGGTATACGAGTTGGGAATTCTCTCTTCGACCTCCTTGTCTCCCTAACAATTATGGTCAACCTTTGGTAGCGACTGACATATGCTGTTTTATCAGATTAAAATGTAAAAAGCAAGTGAAATCCCTTGGGTGGTCAATGTTTGGAAAGTTTATATAAGAAAAACAGCCTCTCTTTGATATGTTATTTGTTTGACTTCTGTGCAGAGTGGGTGGAGTTCACGCCGTACGAGGTGGGATTCCTGAAATATGGAGCCTTTGTTCAAGCTGAAGATTTTGGAAGTGAATTTTTTATGGGTCACCTGATGAAAAAGCTCCCAGAATCAAGGATCTGCTTTATGCAAGGTGAGTGTTTTACACTAGGAAGGGGAATCATTTTGATAAGAACAGAGATGACAGTGTGTCTGGTGCAACACCATCATATATCAGCACGATGCTGAATATCGTATTTCTGTGATTTTTTTTTCATTGTGTTCATTTGGGCTTATGGAAGAAAATGCTGCAATCAATACATCATGTCTAAAAGATGAGAGAAGGAATTCCATGCTGGACATGATTAGCAGAGGGATAGAAATAAAACTGCCACTATCATTCAGATTAGCTGGAGAGACAGCTCAGTGAGTGAGGTATCTGGCTGTGGAGCCAGAATCATTCCTCATTGGGCATCCCAGGAGAAGACTTAGCCTGTGTAGCCTTGGGCAAGCTGCACAATCCCATGGTGCCCCTGAAGATAGTGATGGTAAACCACTTCTGAGTACTCTGGAAAGAATTGGCATAAGTTGGAAATGACTTGACGGACATAATTATTACTTATCATTCAGAATGGGTGTGTGTGGGAGGGGAATAAGAGAGAGGGAGCGAGGGGAGGGGAGGGGAGGGGAGGGAGAGTCCAAGGCACATAATTACACAAAACCTAATGGCCAAAGACAGCAGAGTTTCCAGGTCTGAGTAAAAAGATAGCAGAAGTTCTCATGTCTTTTTGTGAAAAGCTCAGTATACATGCAGGAAACTGTATCATTGAGTCTGACCATTAGAGTTCATAAGCCAGCATCTCTTTGACAAAATTAATGAGTCTTTACATGGAGGATGCAATAAAGAGTTTTGTAGAATCTGAAGGATCCTTTAGGTCCTGAAGGCAGGATAACATTCTGAGTTGACACGCTTCACTCCATTAATATCTTTGCTCCTTTCCCCCCACCCAAAGGGATGTGGAGTAGTGTGTTTTCCAAGAATTTGTTGGATGCTTGGCATGCAGCAGACAATTCAGAGGATTTTTGGAACAGGTGGACCCAAGACACTATCACAGAAATTGGTAAGTAATCCATGTTCCACGTTGTTACAGAAGTAACAAAATGTAGTATAGTAGGATGATGTCATCTTTCCTGAAAATGCCAAAGTCTGAGATTTGCAATGGAAAAGCATGGCGGAAGTGGAAATGTAACAAATATTTGCAGTCCACCTGGAATGAATGCAAAACATCTGGACTGCTGTGATAAGACCCAGGTTAGGTAAAAGTCCTGTGTGGCCACTCTTTTATTGATTTAATAATTTCACTTTATTTATACTCTGCCTTTCTCTAAGAGTTATTAGCCCACTTTAATTCATGTGTAATAAATCTAAATAAAATAATGTACCTAATTCCAATTCAAAGGAATGTTTCTATTCATTTCTTCTGTCTTTCTACAGAGGAAATACCTGATTTGCCAGAGAAACCCCATGAGATGCCAACTCGGATGTTTACCCCAGCAGGAAGCCTTTCTAGTTCTCTACGTGATATTGTAACAGATCGCCCATCAGTGTCCAAGTATCACAATTGTTTACGAGGGTTACAAATGCATAATGAATATACCCAGAATCCACAGTTTTGTAAATGGAAAGGTACAACACCGTTTGCTTCCTCTACCAGCAATAGCCTCTTCCTGACTGCTCATTGATCATATAGCATATTTTTCCACTTCTGGGATATCTCACAGAGTGTGACAAAGTTGCTTTTTGGACTGTTACTACTAGACTGCTCCCTCTGGGCAGTATGCTATCGTGTATGTAAGTTGCAGTGCAAATTAATAACCTTCCCAAGAACTGTATCAGTGCATATGGCAGAAGCTGCTCTGCTCTGTACAGAAGTGAAACCAACGTCTTGCTCTGGAACAGAGTTTGAAATGGCTATTCCCGGTAGGCGAGCCTGCAAAATGTAGTTCATAAAGGGTGTCTTTTCTAAGCATTGCACAACAATACACTCACATCAAGACACACTAATCACCCATCTCCTGAAAAGGACAAAAACTGATATCACAGCCATAAATACTCCACTCCCAAACAAACTGCACCAGAGCACAGAGTGCTGTCCTCTGAAGATGCCGGCTACAGAGATGGGCGAAACGTTAGGAAGAACAACCTTTAGAACTCGGCCAAAGAGCCCGAAAAACCTACAACAACCATTGCAAATTCATTCATTCATTCATTCATTCATTCATTCATTCATTCATTCATTTATTTATTTATTTATTTATTTATTTATTTATTTATTTGACTTCTATATCACCTATTTGACTGCCAGAGTCACTCTGGGCTGTTTACATGTGCTCATCTTATGCTTTTCAGGATTTCTGTCTGCCAGGTACCTTTTACTATAATCGTGTCATTGAGATAAACTTCTTCTTGCAGAAGTCACCCTATGTTATGTACTTCTGTATATATGCACTGTGTCTTTAATAAGACCTGCACAATATGCACATCATGAAATCTGAATGCAGCTGCCCAACAGCTTAATGAGTTAGACTGGCAAACAACAACAACAACAACGTACATCATAAACAAGGGTGGCCAAAGCACCATAGTAGCACAAAGTTTGACCATGGTGTAGATTCTGGATTTAATCCATTCTTTGGCCTTGGCACTTTCTCTGCAGACCTTCTGCATGTTGTTGCATGTGAAATTTCTACCTTATAAGAAGGCAGACCACAGACTGTACAGGGTGTAAGTCTAGCACATATATGAGTCCAGTCTTTACTCCCACATCAGTTGTTTCCAAAACTGTCCTCTGGTCAGACCTAGAGTTGCTTCCTTGGCTATTTTTTAAACTGAGGATTTACAGATTGTGAAGACAGATTCTCAGCCAACAACATATTCTAATTTAGAAATCCTGTCAGGCAAAGGGAAATAGCTGCTACAGTTTGACACACACACACACACCTGGTATCCTGGTTCTAAGCCCTCTCACAGATGCTGAAAAATGGGGATAATAACAAACACTGTTTTAATAGTAAATGCTATACATAGCAGAGTTTCTTGCTCCCTTTAGTGGCCAGTTCTGATAACTTCATTTTTAGAAAAATGTATTTATAGATTTTTCTTTAAATATTCTTAATACTTTCAGACTGAATAAGTGAATCAGCAGATACTGATTGGATGGATATGGGGGCCCTACTATGTTTCTAAATCTTACCAATCTCATTTTAATCTCTATCTCTCCTGCCTGCCTCCCTCTCTTCCTAATACAAATATCTTATTTTTCAGACACAACTCTCGATGACTCCCCTAATCAGTTGCGAGATCCTGAAGACAATCTGGAACTGGTAGACACAGCATTTTTCTTTGATACCAGTTGTCCTCCACTTCTGAGACCAGAAAGGAAAGTTGATATCATCCTGCACTTCAACTATACTGGAGGATCACAAACCAAGGTTAGAGAAGTCTATTTGTAGTTTTTAAATTGTATTTCTGAAAAAGAAGTCAACTAAAAACTATCTTCAAAACATTATGTATAAAACAATATTTAGAAATTAATATTTAGTATTATTACTTTAAAGTTAAATGAATATAATTTGTATTAAAATAGCTAGTCATTGGAGGCAATGAATATTTTTATTTTCTTGACTTAAATTTGCTTGCAAAAATCAAATGCATATTGATAAATTGTTTTAATCATTTCTAATGTCTGATGCCCTCTTAGTTGTGTGCTGGAAGCTGAGAACAATACCATCAGGAGGTGAGACTCCATTATGAGTCTAAAGTCATATCAGGGTCATCTGACCCAGATTAAGATTTAGTTCTGTCTTCAGAAATTAATGGTTATGTCAGCAGACGAGAACTGATATATCAATTTGTGACAGTGCAATGAAATTCCTGAAGGGCAGCAGTAGTGGGAAAGTAACTCTGCTGGAATATCTTTCAAGGACAACAGCAGTGACACTCTATTAAACTCTTGTTAGTACTGTGCAGAGGAAGGCAATAGTAAATGATTTTTGAAATTTTTATATTATGAAACCTTTGTGATGAAATTTCCGAAATAAAACAAGAAATATTGATGGGAAAAGAGAGTGAGGTTGGAAGGCACTTAATCAGCTAGTGTGGAATAGCGAAGAAAAGTACCAATAGCGCTGTCACTAAGGAAATAACTGGAGTAAAACTGAAAGGACGTGTAGGTGATTGTGTGCACAGCCACAAAAGGAAAGCCCAGTGCTGCATGATGCATATACTGTAGTTGGTAGATGGAATGTGAGAAGTATGAATCAAAGTAAGCACAAAATTATAAAACAAGAAATAGAACACATAGAAATAATACTTTATGTGAAGGAAAGTGTGGGACATTTTCAGTTGTATAATTATGAGCTGTTTTACTAACAGTTACTGACTCTCATTCTAATTCTGCAAATTAATCTCACTCAGACTTCATAGAAAGCCTATCAACATAACAGTAATTCAAATCTGTGCTCCAACTATAGATTTTATTTAGGTGTCTAGGAAGAATCTGATTACACACCAAAATGGGTGTACCAATAATCATAGGTGACTGGAAGGCGGAAGTATTTCATACTGGAAGTATGAAATAAAACAGAATAAAAAAGAATTGGAGAATTTGTCTTGAGAGTTAGAACTGAAACGAGAATGACTTATAGAATACTGTGAAGCTAACTGTTTGCTTATTGCAAATACATGCTTCAAGTTGTTGGGCAGATACAGTATATCACAGAAATTGAGTACACCCCCTCACATTTCATAAATATTCATGTGACAACATTGAAGAAATGACACTTGGCTACAATGTAAAGCAGCGAGTATACAGCTTGTATAACAATGTAAATGTGTGGTCCCCTCAAAATAACACAACACACAGCCATTAATGTCTAAACCGCTGCCAAAAAAAGTGAGTACACCCCTAAGTGACAATGTCCAAATTGGGCCCAAGTAGCTGTTTTCCCTCCCTGGTGTCATGAGACCCGTTAGTGTTACAAGTCTCAGGTGTCCAAACTGGGCACAAATTGTCAATATTTTGTGTGGCCATCATTATTTTCCAGCACTGCCTTAATCCTCTTGGGCATAGAGTTCACCAGAGCTTCACAGGTTGCCACTGGAGTCCTCTTCCACTCCTTCATGATGCCATCACAGTGCTGGTAGATGTTAGATACCTTGCGCACCTCCACCTTCCATTTCTGGATGCTGCACAGATGCTCAATAGGGTTTAGGTCTGGAGATATGCTTGGCCAGTCCATCACCTTTATTAGCTTCTTTAGCAAGGCAGTGGTCATTTTGGAGGTCTGTTTGGAATTGTTATCATGTTGGAATATTGCCCTGCAGCCCAGTCTCCGAAGGGAGGGGATCATGCTCTGCTTCAGTATGTCACAGTACATGTTGGCATTCATGGATCCATCAAATAACTGTGCTCCCCAGTGCCGGCAGCATTCATGCAGCCCCAGACCATGGCACTCCCACCACCATGCTTGCCTGTAGGCACATCACACTTGTCTTTGTACTCCTCACCTGGCTGCCGCCACATACACTTGACACCATCTGAAGCAAATAAGTTTATCTTGGTCTCATTGGACCACAGAACATGATTCCAGAAATCCATGTCTTTACTCTGCTTGTCTGCAGCAATTGTATGCTGGCTTTCTTTCTTTTTTATTATTGTTTTGATAACTTGGGTTAGGGTGTAGGATAGAGAAGGTAAGAGGGGGGGAAAGGGTTGGGATGGGGGGGAGGAGAAACAAAAAATATGCTAACATCCATTCTATTCATATTGCAATATCAAGATTCAAACTCCGCTTTTCTACTATTTTCTGCCTTCCAGATTTTAGTTCACATTTTGATCTATGTTATTTAAGCACTGTCTGGTGACTAACCATTTGTAGAATAAGTCCCATCTTTCAGTTGCCTTTTGTAAAGGACAGTCCTTCACTGCTTCTGATAGAATGTCCATTTCTGCCGCTTCCCTTATCTTCTCCGTAAGATTTTCTTGCTTCGGTACCACCGGACTTTTCCAATTTTTGGCATAGAGAATTCTAGCTGCGTTGAATATATAATCATACTCAATAAAAACAGTTCTGGGGTTAATGGAACCTTACAAAGCAATATTTGTTGTAACACAGTATGCACTCCTATCCAATATTGTTTCGCTACTCTACAAGTCTACTCTACAAGTCCCATGTGTGCTTCAGATTTCCAGCAGACATTTGATACATCTGTATACATCTTTGACAATTTTTCTGGAGTCATATGCCACCTATAAAACATCTTATATATGTTCTCCTTAAAATTAACCAATTTTGTAAGCTTTATATTATTTTGCCATATTTGCAACCATTGATCAGTATTAATATTATGGCCTATATTTTGTGCCCACTTAATCATACATTCTTTAACCATCTCATCTTGCATTTTAATTTCTAACAAATAATCACACATTTTCTTAATTATTTTATCTTTTGAGCCTAGTAAAAATTTATCAAATGTCATTTATTCTGAATAGAAACCCTCTATTTTGTCTTTGCTATATCTAGATTCTAGCTGTACTCTGGACCACCAGTCTATGTATATATTCTGTGTCTCTAACTCTTCTTTAGACGTTAGCTCACAGTCCTTTTTCAATAAATCTTAATATGCTGGCTTTCTTGTGCATCATCTTTAGAAGAGGCTTCCTTCTGGGACAACAGCCCTGGAGACCAATTTCATACAGTGCAGCGTATGGTCAGAGCACTGACAGGCTGACCCCTTCAACCTCTGCAGCAATGCTGGCAGCACTCATACGTCTATTTCCCAAAGCCAACCTCTGGATATGGTGCTGAGCACGGGCACTCAGCCTCTTTGATCAACCACGGAGAGACCTGTTCTGAGTAGAACCTGTCCTGTTAAACTGCTGCATGATCTTGGCCAGCATGCTGCAGCTCAGTTTCAGAGTTTTGACAATCTTCTTATAGTCAGCATGCTGCAGCTGAGTTTCAGAGTTTTGACAATCTTCTTATAGCCTTGGCTATCTTTATGTAGAGCAACAATTCATTTTTTTCAGATCCTCAGATAGTCCATTACCATGAGGTACCATGTGGAACTTCCAGTGACTAGTCTAAGAGAGTGAGAGTGATGACACCTGCTTCTCCTCCACACATGAGACCTGTGACACTAACAGGTCTCATAACACCAGGGAAGGAAAACAGCTACTTGGGCCCAATTTTGACATTGTCACTTAGGGGTGCACTCACTTTTGTTGCCAATGGTTTAGACAATAATGGCTGTGTGTTGCATTATTTTGAGGGGACCGCACATTTACATTGTTATACAAGCTGTATACTCGCTGCTTTACATTGTAGCCAAGTACACCCCCTCACATTTCATAAATATTTTAGTATATCTTTTCATGTGACAACACTGAATAAAGATATACTAAAATATTTATGAAATGTGAGGGGGTGTACTTGCTTTTGTAATATACTGTACTTGTACATGTTAATGTCACCAGATGGCCAATACAAAATCAAGTAGCTTATGTTCTTGGAACACAAGATAGAGAAGCTTTATTCACACTTCAAAAACTTGTCTAGGAGTAGATTGTGGTACAAACTAGGAAACTGGTAATTTAAAACATTGGAGTAAAGCTGCAGAAGAACACTAGAACAATTGCAGCACCAAATTATGACTTAAATAAAATTATTAAAGAATTCAAAAAAACACCAATAAATTGATTTCCTTTTCCAAACACAATTTCCCATAATCCAGATGAAATGTGATTTTGTCATGGAATGATGCAAACAAACAAAATTCCTGTAGTTGAAAGAAAAGCCAGGATTGTTTATAGAAGAAACTCTGAGCATTTTAATGACAGATGAGCAGCAGAAGGAAAAAGTTGACAAAAACAGAGCCAGAATCCAAAATGCAACTTTTTAATGACTGGCAAGGAAATGCAAAAAGCACTGTTACAATTGCAAGAAAATGGAAGAGAATGACAAAAGAAGAAAAACAAGAGATTTTTTCTATAAGACGAAAAAGTTCAAAGGAAAATTGGAAACAAGATTAGGAGTACTGAAAAATAACAAGGGAATATATTATATAAACAAGATAAAAAAATAGAAATAAAAACAATATACTGAAGAACAATGTAGAACAGAACTATGGATGACAGATTCCTTTAAATAAGCACCTCTTCTTTTAGAAGATTAAGTGAAAACTGTTCCTGAAAAAAATTGGAACAAAGAATTCACCAGGAACAAATGGGATATCGATAAGAGTTTTTTTAAGATGCAAAGAGTGAAACTTTTAAAATTCTATTAAGACTATGCTAGCAAACATGGAGTACAAAACAATAGCTCACAGACCAGTCTCCCAAAAAGCATATGCCAAAAAAACTGCTGTAGTTACAGGAACATTCCATTAATTTCTTGTGCAGGCAAACTGATGCTCAACATTTTGCAATGAAGACTTTTACCATATCTGGAGTGAGAAACATCAGATGTTCAAGCTTGGTTCAGGAGAGGAATAGGAACTTGAGATCATATTGCAAATATACATTTACTACCGGACTGCACCAAAGAATCCACGAAATTGTTTTGTGCTTTATAGATACCTATGAACTGTACGTGGTGCTGGAGGAGACTCTTGAGACTCTCCTGGACTGCAAGGAGAACAAACCTATCCATTTTGGAGGAAATCACCCCTGAGTGCTCCAGTACTTTGGCCATCTAATGAGAAGAGAAGACTCCCTGGAGAACACCCTGATGTTGGAAAAGTGTGAAGGCAAGAGGAGAAGGGGATGACAGAGGATGAGATGGCTGGACAGTGTCATCGAAGCTACCAACATGAATTTGGACAGTGTCATGGAAGCTACCAACCAAACTCCGGGAGGCATGGAAGACAGGAGGACCTGGTGTGCTCTGGTCCATGGGGTCACGAAGAGTCAGACACAACTCTTCTGTTTTTTGTTTTAGTTCTTGTGTTAATTCCCCCCTCCCAAAAGGATCAATCAAAACACAAATGACTGTGGCTTTCCCTCTCTTTTTTAAGCTTTTCTTTACCTTTTGTCTATCAAACTGCCCAGGAATTTTTTCATCCAATAGTGTCAGAGGGCTGCTATGACCAACCAATCAGAGCATCTAGGGAGGAGCAGGAGTCTGTGAAAGAACCTGGATTGTTTGGAACTCAATGAGGAATTGCTTTTTTGCTTCAGTTGTTCTTTGTGGGTGTAATTACTGTGTTTCTGGTACCAAAACTTGTTTATTGGGAAAGTATATAGCAAGTGACTGAAATCTAGTGATAGCTGTGTGTTATTAAGTTTCTGGTACCAAACTTGTTTATTGGGAAAATATATAGCAAGTGACTGAAATCTAGTGATAATCTTTACGATTGAAATGACAATATAATTGAATGCCTGCCTTGTAAGGATATATCTCTGTCAGTTTTGTAAAAGAAAAAGTATTTGAGATTTCAACACAAGTCTGGGGGACTAAAGTGCCCCAGCATAGAATAAACAAATTAAAGAATTGTACAAATATTGACTATATCAAATTGGTATTGAATGTAAGCATTCATAAATAAATTAGCAAATGTGCAGGAGCTTTGGTGTTTCTCCGGTCTATATCAGATTTTAACGTGAAGGAGTAGTCATTCAATGACATTGTCATTTCACAGTTGTAAAGATTATCCTTAGATTTCAATCACTTGTGATGTGAAGATGTTAAGATATAAAAATGTTGAATTTAGAAATGTTACTGAATTACAAAATTTAGTCTCAACTCTAGAGTGAGAAATCACAGATAGTTTAAGTCAGTGGCAGCCCTGTGTGGTGTAGTGAATATAGTAACTGACTAGGAGTCAGGAGACCTGGGTTTGAGTTTTTGCTTAGCCATGGAAACTCATGGTGGGGGTGGCAGTGGTAATGCTACTCTTTAAATATCTCACTTACCTAGGATATTATCTTAGAGTCACTATAAGTTTGTTCTGATACAAGGCCATGTACACATTTTTCTGTGTATAAGATGCTACGTTTTCCTTTTTTTCCATTCAACTAAAAATTGATGGGCGTGTTATACACGGCAGTAAGCTGAGAACATGGAGATAACAAAACTGCCCGTACCTTGCATCTGTAAACAGACTTCCTTCAGTCACGAGGCTTAGCTTCCTACAGTCCGGAGATTTTGCTTCCTCCATTCACGAGCCTGATGGAACTGACGTCAGCTAATGCTGAACAAACCAATTGGAACACACCTTGTTGGAGGTGGAGACTGTAGGCTCAGATGCAACAGTGACTTGTAATGTCTGAATGTTCTGAGCCCAGATGCAGAATACTCAAAGCTAGGTTTTCTTAATTTGGGGCTTAGAAAAGGGGGGCATCTTATAAATGGAAAAATACAGTACAGTAGTATATTTTATTTATGGTTATGTTTTTGCTCTTACTAAAAGTACTTTGCTTTGTAATCCTTAGCCTCTGGAGAGGGCCTCCACATATTTCACAGAACAGGGAATCCCATTTCCCAAGGTGGAGCTAAGTGATGATGAAAAGAAGAACTTAAAGGAGTGCTATGTGTTTGAAGACACAGACAACCCAGAAGCTCCCACCGTGATCTATTTCCCACTTATAAATGATACCTTCCAAAGATACCTTGCACCTGGTAAGATAATGGCAAATAGTATGGAAGTGAAAACATTTCTCGCCATAAAAAGGTAAAGGTTCACCTTGACAATTTGTCCAGTCATATCCAACTCTAGGAGGCAGTGCTCATCCCCATTTCCAAGTCATAGAGTCAGCGTTTGTCCATTGATAGTTTCCATGGTCACGTGGCCAGCACAACTAGACACAGATTGCCATTATCTTCCCACCGAGGTGGTACCTATTTATCTACTTGCATTTTTATGTGCTTTTGAACTGCGAGGTTGGCAGGAGCTGGGACAAGCGATGGGAGCTCACTCCGTCATGTGGATTTGAACTGCTGATCTTATGACCTTGCAGCCCAGAGGCTTTGCAGTTTAACCTGCAGCGCCACCACATCCCCTTCTGGCCATAGCTTGAACCTAAACACATTTGGGCATTCTTTGGTTTTAAAAGCAAATCCAGAGTCTGGAAATTTGACTGTTTGGAATATAATCCCCAGAATCCCCCATTCAGCTCTCCTGGATTCATCCGGATACTCTGAATCTCGAATAAGCCCTAAATGTCATTTACTTGTGACATTTGTGACCTGCCCTTCATCTAAGGAGCTCTGGATGCTGTGCAAGTCCCACAAGAATCCTGAAAGCAAGATAAATAGGGGCTAGTCTATCTCTATTAATGGAGCTTTCCAGATGATATCTGTCAATCCACAGACAATCCACAGACAAAAGTGCAATCTTTGAACTATAGCTGTACAGAATGGAGCCCATCTCATTTCATCAAAGACCCCTTATTGTGAGATGTAGATAATGATGGTGGTGCTGCCCTTCCAAATATGACATCCCTTACTACTACCAGTCCTTCCCATCTTGGTCCTTATCAGGTCAGACAAAGTGCCCATTGCCCCTGATCATGTTGGTTGTGGACTGGTGAGGGTTGGAATCCACCATATCTGGAGGGCTTCAGGTTGTTAAAGGCCAGCCAGGGCTTCTGAAACAGCTTGCTCATGATGACATCATCTCCTTCTTATTTTCTTTAGGTGTGGAACGCAGTGCCGGTGAGATGTCTCTGGGCCACGTTGATGTTTCTAGTGCCTTTTCTCCCTATTCCACAAGACAGGTCTCACTGCAAGAGGAAGATTTCAACAAGCTGCTGAATCTAACTAATTACAATGTCCAGAATAATGCAAGCACAATCATGCAGGTTTTGCACAACACCGTAGAAAAGAAAAAACAAGCTCAGACATCTCAGATATCTTCATAAATGTATGCATCTGAAGTGGGGGAGGAGTGGGAAGATTGTAGAAAGGAGATTATACAAAAGAATTAGTTGGTGGTACTATAACCTTACTTATTCCAGACCTGATGTTCTGTAGTTGCTATAGCTGCAGCAGTTCTGGTGCACTCAACATTGTGCAGTAGAGACTATGAAAGTTTGGAGAACTATACACACCCAATGCCATTGTCTTCCACTTCTTGGTCTCTTGATTATTGCACCTGGTTACCAACTCTACATGCTCATTAGTTAATTGGGTTTCATATGAAGAAACATCCAAAGTCAGGAATAAACAATAATGAGCCATTACATCAGAGTGTCACCTCATTCTTCCTCACAAATTCTGATTTTCCTGCTTTTCCGGAATGCCCATGCTTTGACTCCTTAAGGATAAACACACTGCATATCTTGAAATTCCTGATTTTTAAAAAAGATAAGCATTTGAGACAAATATGTATATATTACTTAAGCTCTGTTTAGATGTTTGCAGAATACCTAAGTGTTATATGTGGGTAGAGGGGTGGGGCTAAAGTGTTCACTGCTTTTAAACTCTAAAAGCCATGAGCTATTGCAATATAGGTACTTAAGTTATGCAATTTTCTTAAAATGGGTCTTGCAAATGCAAAAATTGTCACAAAGACCAATAGTAAATTCATTGCCACCTCATTGGTGAAATTGTGTGGTTTCTTTGTATTGGAAGGAGACAATGATTCATGTCTAGTGTGTGTATGCTAGTGTGTGTACATGGAAGAGAAGTATGTTTGTAGACAGGAGTTCATTCCTTTAGCATTTCAATGGATGATACTCACTCACTCACCCACTATATTTCTAAGTGTGCTCTTGTACCCCCAAAATGTTTCTGGACTCTCTCCTGCCCTGATTCCCCATGCTGATTTTCTCTCAGTTTGATTCTGGTTGCAACAAGGAAAAGGGAAAAATACTCATATTTTGAGCAGTGTGGATTTGCACAGTCCTTTGGGCAGAAGGAGGAGTTGTGGGACAAAAAAGAGATTTGCTGGCTGTTCTCAAGTATTAAGTGCCAGTGGCCTAACAAAAAGGGAATCTGTCAGACTAAGCTTCTTCAGTTACTTTTGACTCCTTGCTAATCTTTTCTGTTGGAGTCACTAGCTTTAAGGGAGTCTGCTCTTGACCAGTGCCAAATTTGGGGAAGTTTGGGCAAAGAGTTTTTAAGTTGGTTGTTGTAGGTTTTTTGCACTGTTTGGCCATGTTCTGGAGGTTTTTCTTCCTAACATTTCACCAGTCTCTGTGGCCGGCATCTTCGGAGGAAGGAGTTAGAACTCTGTCTTTTTTCAGTTGTAGACAGAGTTCTAACTCCTGTCCCCTGAAGATGCCAGCCACAGAGACTGGTGAAACATTAGGAAGAAAAACCTCCAGAAAATGGTCAAACAGCCCGAAAAACCTACAACAACCATCGGATCCTGGTTACAAAAACCTTCAAGAATACAGTTTTCAAGTTATGTTTTTAAAAAAGTAAATCTATTTTCCCCCATTCAGAAATAAGTGCATGCTTAGATTTGAAACAGATCAGAAAAATTGAAAATATTAATCTTGCTTATCTTTAAAGAAAATGTTTGGACACACACAAACTTTTTATTTGGAAAGAATACAAGCTTCAGGGGCTGAAATATTGATCCTCAAAAAGGCCTTTCAAAAGAGAAAAATATAATTTAGGTAGTTATAAGTCTGAGCATGTGTGGAACTGCCCTATCAGCAAGAGAGTTCCAAAGGAGATATATTGTTCCAGCTTTGTAAGCTGGGAAGGAGGATATTTGGAGGGTAATGAAAGGTCATAGAAACAGGCAAAAACTGGTTTTCTTTGAATAGTTATAAAAACAGACTTGTATAAGAAAGTAATGGAGTAACAGTCCTCTATAAAGGAAGACATTTTGCCATGTATCTCTGGGGAATTCATATATAATTTTGAAAGGCATATTCAAAGTTATTCAAAGTATTTCTGCATTGCAAAAGCACAGAGCAGTTTTATTAGTCCCAGCCCTGTGCGTTTTCACTTAACAGTCTCTCAGGATTTCTGAGACCAGGCTCCTGACACAAGTCTTCAAAGGAAACATCAACTCCAGATTTGGAGGAATCTAAATTTTTGATCCTGTCAGTTAGGACCCAGTTAGCTGACTCTCAGGAGAACATTTTAACTCCTTTGTGGCAAAACAGACATTCATGCTAGCAAAGGTATCCTCTGTCTGGTTGTATAAATATTTCAAAAGCTAATTTAAAAATAATAGATAGAACAAATATTCAGAGGCTCCCTTGTTTAAGCTGTGAAATTACTTTGCTTTGTGCTTAAGAATTATTTTATTTGATGCCAGCAGAGCTTTGGTGCTGATTCAATTCACTTAAAATCTTCTGTTTTATGGATGTGGAATATGTGCTCCTATATCCATGGTTCAAACACCAGGAAATGGTCAAACATCACTGAACAATATCAGGCCCATGTTGCTAGCTGGAAAAAAGATGCCAAGCAAATGGCAGCCTGATTGTTAACCAGTGGCAAGAGTCAAGATAGTCTACACTATACCCTCTTGTGTGCATTACCATTCACAAAGTGACACCAAGCAAGGGAAAATTCCAGAAGCTGACTCCTTTTTTCATCAGTAAACTACTTCTCACCCAAACAAAAGCAATTGCCCTCCCAACCCCAGAATAAAACGTGAGACAGTGAGATGGGTTAAACACGGGCCACACTTTATTAATATACATTCATAATCAAAATTGCCATTGAGAAGGAGGGGGCCTGCTGTAGTGCGGAAACAGTTAAATGATGTGAGTATCATAATGCTCCTAGATCAATGAAAGGGTGAGTCCCCGGCCCCCAGGCTCCAGTGATCTTAAGGATAGCAGGAACCTGGCTGGACGTTAACAAACTCCCCCAGACCTTGATCCCCCTTTATTCAAGGGTTCTTAGTCTGGAAGTGGCCCAGCACATCTTCCCGCCACAGGCACTGTAATCGCACGATCCACAGTGCCAGGCGGTCGGATGTACTGTTGGCTTACTTCAAATTACAGCGGGACCCACCATAAATACCTGTTTTTTCCGCACTACCCGCCACAGCATATGTCCCATGCCCGCCACAGAGCCCTGTGAGCTTGGCAAGCAGGCCCCCCCAATGTCCTCCAAGAAGACCTCTAAACCAGCATCTAACAGATGAACACCATCACTTCGGAACAATTCGGAATTCTCGGCTTGAATCCTTCGGTGACCTATCACTGATCCAATGCCATTGCAGACGCCTCTGCATACTTCCCTGTTGACGCCCCGCCGGGCCTTGTTAACAGTGCCACTCCTCTCAGAGCCTCACCAGGCTAACCGAGGAATAATCGTAGACCATAAGATCCGCATCACCGGGTATGTGGCCTTCAACCTCTTAAGATCGCGCAGGATGTCCAATATCAACACCTTGCCCAGTAGTCAAGGCAAGTCGTTGCTTCCAAGATGAATCAATATCTGGTGGTCAGTGGCCAAACACCGTCATTCTGCACAGTTGACCCCATTGCATGCCATGCAGCCCTTCCATGTAATGTGAGCCCTTGCTCCAAGCCCCAGATTGCTCCCCCAAGGAGATGCAGCAGCATAGTGTTCTGCCCAGTATATATAGCTATGCCCGATTATCATGATCTGCTTTCGTGTTCTTGACCCCAGGCAACCTGTAAAAACATAAGTCAGGCCCTTGCCTACAAAGTAGTTAAGATCCTAATATATCTTTTATAACAAGAAGAGGACCATCGGCCTAATTGCTTGATGTCATGTGTGTTGTAGCCCATGGCCGCTGCAGTGGATGCCACTACAATTCTAAATGAATGTGTGCCAAACCTTGCATCCCGTAATGCCAACCTTGTGTAAAACTAATTCAGTCAATCTCCAAAACTGATATTTTGTCAATGGAGACTTATCCACATGCTGGGAAAAAAAACCTGCCTCTCTTCCTCTATACTCCAAGTATGCCTTTGTGGCTCTAACCGGGAATATGCACTTAGTTGAACATTGCCCCAAAATTAACTGCCTACCTTTCCCCAATTGATTGGCCTTGGATCTTCTATTATTTATTTATTTATGTATTTATGTATTTATTTATTTATGTATTTATGTATTTATGTATTTATGTATGTATGTATGTATGTATGTATGTATGTATGTATGTATGTATGTATTTATTTATTTATTTATTTATTTATTTATTTATTTATTTATTTATTTATTTATTTGATTTATAT